TTCCATGGAATCGCCTGGAAGAGGGGAACGCCCCGGATGAAAATCGAGTCTGAAAGGTCTGACGCGCCAAAAAGAAACATCGCGACTTCCCTGCAATTTGCTTAAGAAAATGCGATAGTGTCCCTGTTGGTTTTAAGCCGAATTTATTACTGCTGGACATATTGCTTTGTTTCTCCCCCAGGAAAGTGTTCAGCAAATGGAAGTGACAAGAGCTTGATTCAAGCCTCTGAGTGGTGGTTTGGAGCTGTGGAGGTTGGATGGTTTCCCATGTGCCTCGACCAGAACCAGAGGTTCAACTCCTTAAACCCCAAAGGGCAGCCTGATCACCCCCCCCCGGGGGAAAAAAAGAAGAAGAACTCGAGCGCTAACAGGGGATGAAGAAAGCACCGACGCAAGGCCTAGACAGGGTGCCATCAACCTCTTTGGGGCACTGCACGCTCCAGTGGTAATTGAACTGCACATGGGCCTCGCTCAATCAAAGCCATCGCACAATCTTGGCCTACTGCGCTCCAACATACATCATATGATCTGACTCTGTTCCATGCTTAGCCGTAAAAAAAGAACAACACAAGGAGGAGCACTTCAAGAAAGTGCTTGTGTGTTCTCAAGCTGCTTAACAAGAAGGCTATACAAGGCTATAAGCATACGGGCACTAACCCCAGTTAATTCAGTAACATCCAGTAACTATCGCTATGACCAATGTACCTGACGTTGGTGCACCACCCACTCACTTGCCCAAGGGACCCCAAAATCAAGGTTCACTTTGGCAAAAATCAATTTGGTCAAGGCCCCAGAAAAACATATCCAGTAGTGACGAATTCCTTTTAAACCCAACAAGGGGACAATAACAAGTATTCCTTTCAGCCAATGGAGGAAAAGTTGACCCAATTTTTGGACCACCAAAAGGTCAGATCAAGGCGAGCCGACGCGTCGGCCGTTTTGAGCGCATCCTTTGGGCCCCTCGAGTCTGGGCTCCGCCATGGATCTTCCCATGGCTTTTCGGTCCGAGCCGTGACGACCATCGAGGCTTTGAGAAACCGACGCTTCGTGCCGCGAAAGCGGCGGTTTTGGGGTTGGACGAACCGCTGAAGTTTGGTTTGACCTGTCACTCTTCAGCTTCGCTGGTTTGGAGGGGTGGAGGTTGGCTATAGTTTCCCATGCATTTATCCTCGACAAGAGCCGGCTTCACATCCGAATCCAAACCACCTGATTGGGGGTTCCCTGAACTATTCAAAAAGAAGCAATCTTATTTTGGTTACCCTCCCATCCACGCGAAAACATGGAACCTCTCCTGGTTTGGACGATGTTCCTTTTGACAGGGTCCGAAACTCTGGGTTCGATGCATAGCGTGGACCGGAGGGTATCAACATGGCACCTGACAGAGGGTCCCAAGAGGAAATTGAGCTTCCAGGACCCTCCAAGTGCTATGTTTGTAGGAGGAAGGCGATCAGTTGCAAGGGGCAACTGGATTTCTTCCAGTTGCTTCTTCGCCCTGGAAAAATGAGAAACATAGATGTCCGGTAGTGATATCGATTTCCTTTGAAACTGACAAGGAAAACAATTGTAATTTCTGCTAATCTAGGTCCTCCAGTAGAGAGGTTAGAATAAGGGTACCCTTTTTCTGTAGTCTATTAAAGTAGGGGAACCCTCCCAACCAAAAAAGGGGTGAGAAAGGGCACCCAGCTGGGGAATCAACTTCGCCCAGCCCATCTGGAAAATTCCGCAAATCCGTCCATGGGCTTGGCACCGCAAGGTGGAACCCAACCAGGAAGAAGGCATGGCAAGAAACCAGCTAGTGGCTCACTTCCAACATCCTATCACCCCCCAAAAAAGAAAGAATAGCTGGATGCCTTCCCAGTGCAGAATGTTTGACTTGCCTTCTGGAATCCTAAGGGGGGGGCAGTACCATTGGGGTGGGTGGGTAGCGGAGAGCCCTTTTTGAGCCTTAGACAACCGCCCCCGCCTTGAACCACCCCGGCCCCTTCCATTTGCTTTTAAGCCCCCTGGGAAAATAGGAATACTGCAATGGTGGTAGATCCAGATAAATGAGTCTGTCCTTTTGCAGGGGGTGCCCCATTTCTGGTGGTTTTCAAAAGGGACGCTGCGATTTTCAGATAGTGGGACCATCTACGTGTTTAGAATACGGGACCAATCGTCCAAGTTGCTTCCTTTCACGGCAAAAAGTCGGACTCGCCACACCAAGCTCAAGGCGCAGCTTCAGAAGCACGGAACACGCCTCTGAAAAAAAACAAAACTAGGTCCTCCAGATTTGAGAGGTGAGAATCAGTGAGTACCACCTTTTTTCGGCTTTGCCGATTTATTCATTTTTAGTAGGGGAACCCCATCCCGAACTCTCCTAACCGAGGGGCTAGGGGTGAGAGGTTGGGCACCGACTGGGGGAAACCTGGCCTATGGAACCATCGGGTGGGCTGGGTTTCGAGGTCTGGGCATTCGGGGTCGAGAAAAATCCAAGCGGCCTGGGGGACCAAAATCGCCCCAGGCCATGGGAAAAAGAGATGCTCACTCCTTGCTTCGGACCAAAAAATGGCGCCCTTCTTTTAGGGCATCCCCAAAAAAAGGCAGCAGTTCGTTTGGTTTTCTCCTGGTGAAATTGTGGCTTCTTGATTTTGTTTCAAGGGAACCCCCCCTCCAAATAAAGATAAGGGAAGCAATGGAGGGCTGGGTGCCCCTCTGCATACCACTCCCAGGACGGCTTGCGGCTGAGCGCAAGGGTGAAACGAGCCCCGCAGCTCTCGAAATTTGGACATGTCGCAGAACTGGACGCCCGTTTTGTGCATGTTGAAGTCGTTGGAATGTAACACGTCATGATTCTCGTGATTGCAACAAACCTCAAACTTAGACATAGGTGGCTACAATCCACTTTCCAGAAGCGGACCAAAGGTTTTGTTGCCCTTTTGCTGGCTGGATCGATCCAAGGCTTGCAGGGCACAGGGCCAAATGAAAGGCACCGGCGCCTGAGACATTCCAGAGGCCAAATCCGGCCGTCGCGACCAGCGCGCCCTGTGGATGGACGAAATCCTGCACCACCTAAGAAACCATGAGAAACCATTGTTCGTTGGTATTTACAGGGGAATCATCATTCCAGGGTTTCTTAGGTGGTGCAGGATTTCGTCCATCCACAGTATGTGGCAGCTTCTGTTGGGCCGATAGAGGCAACAGCCACTCGGGCCCGGATGCCGCGAATCCTGCCGGACGGCTGAATTCTAAGGCCGTGCTTACATACCCCAGATGGACGTACCAAGAAACCAAAACAACGGTAAACGGACTATATGTTCCGAAAGCCACCCTTGTCTATGGCTTGTAGGTGTTTGGGGCATGTAAGTAGGGCCTTAGACGAATTCAACAATTACACATTAGCCACAGCCTGGTCCTTTCAACCAAGCGGCAGAAATGAGTATACAAGAATATCCGCCCTACATTGGCACATTTTGTTGGAAGTCCCGGATAAAACTCTTTGATCGGTCCAAGCAAGTGAAGGATTGGGCATCATTTCCCCATCCATTAGAGCTTCCATCCAAACTGCCCGAAGGATGGCGAGATCGCGCGCTCCCGGCGCTCACCCTAGCTGCCCGCCGGGCGCCTTGCAGCACTTTCGTGGACATGGTGGGGACTTATGTCCAGCCATTCCGGCGAGTGCCAGTCACTTAGTCAATTGAAACCCTACTCCTTCCCAAGAGGGTTTCTTACCGGAGAAGCCTCCATTCTTGAGAAACAAGCAGAATATGGGTGCCTCGTCTTATTTGGAGTTGGTACAGGTATTTTTGGTGATGCCCAAAAGCTGATGCTCACATGAGTGTCTGCTTTGGGAGACGGTACCTTTTTTTTTGCGGTTCTTTGAAGGGACGCCAAAAAGGCCCACCAATTCGGGTCCCAAAAACCAGATGGCTCCGTTTGTGGATGTCCCCGTTCGGAGTTGTGCAACTCTAAAAGATCATAGGCCTGGCCCCTCAGGGCAGAAGAAAGCCACCTGACAGAAACCAAAAGAGTCCTCAGTGTTTTGCAGCTCGTCTTTTTCTTGGTTGGTAAAGGGGGGGCCAGAAGGGAAACCGAAGACACTTTCGGGGGGGGGGAGGCGCGAAAACGAAAAGCCTGATCAAGGCCTTGGAGGGGGTGACTATGCGCTCCCCGTGGCTTGAGCAAGTCGGCACCTAGACTCACTCCCAGAAAATCAAGGCCGAAGCTTTTGGGGCCATGACCAAAAAATTGGCCCCGAACAGGAGAACTCAATACTCACTTCCTTCAGTTGTTCAGTGACCCGAGAAAAAAAGGAACCCTTTTTGGGAAAGACCATTTTAAGTGGGGCAGCCACAAAAAAAACAACAACTGAGTTCCTGCGTGGCACCAAAAAAGCGTCCCACCAGCCCAGGTCTTCCCTCAACAAGTCCAGGAACTCTGGCAAACATGACCCCGCTTCAAGGCAAAATTCATGCAAGAAGTGCAACCGAAAGCTTACTGATACAGAGCCAGGTATTTAAATATGTGCACAACACACACCCACATCAATACATATGAGCCACTCATGATATGGCATGTGGTCAAGGCCCCCTTAACAGGAACCATTATAACGATGTGCACGCCCATTCGGATGGCCACCTCGCTTAACCCCCAAGTAAAGGCAGTCTTTTGACCATGGCGCATATATTGCATATACCCTCCCACCAGAACGGGCTCCATGTTAGTCGGCGGGAAAGTAAATGACCTTTCCGCCCCCTACTGAAAATGAACAGAACCAACAAACAATCTCTCAAAATCTTTAAAAAATGGATCCAACAACCGTGAACGTAGTTCACCATGGCAGATATGTTGTTCTAGGGGTTGTTTCCCCATTCTTTTCAGCTATCGTTCTTTTCGAAAACCAGCCATTTTTCCCCGGGTTTCTGTAGGTTTTCTAGAAAGAAGGATGCCTGGAAAGAATGGGGGAGGTACCCCTAGAGTTGTATATAAATCAGCACCTCCCCCCCGCCTTCTACGGGTTCTTCTCACCGCTGCGGGGGAGAAACCAAAGCCAGCCGCATCTGGTGCTCGTACTCGTCAATGGCAGGGCCCCACCGGAAGTCCTGTGCCATCGCCTGGATGTGGACGTTTTCTCTCGAGCCAAAAAAAAGAGGACGTCTGCTTGTGTCGGTGTTTAACGTTTGTTGTTTATTTTGTGGTGGTCAAAAAATGAAACGACTTCTTGATTCCCCATTCTGTTCTAGAAAGAGTCGGATCCCTGGAAAGAATGGGGAAGCTACCCAGGGTCTGCTTTCTTGTTGCTTTTCTGTTGGCTGGGTGCGTTCTGAAGGGAAAACAAAAGGACAACGGAAAGCCCGCCATTTGGGGCGTGCCCTAAACTCGACTTCCGGTTGGATGTGGGTCACCCCGCTAACCCCTCTACCCACCTGCTTTCTTTTCACATGGACCAAACAACCTTGAAAAAAAACACCAAGAAGCCCTTTTGGGCGTGTCTTCAAGGGGAAAAAACAAAAACAACAACCACCATTCGGGGGGGTCCCCTAAGAAAACAACACGCATTTGCAAGCAAGAGGAATGGAAATCAAGTAGTGCTAGATTCCCTTTGGAACACACAAGGGAAATGAACCATACCCTTAAGCAAATGAAAGCCTAGTAAAAATCGCTGAAGGCACTGCTAATCCCGGATCTTTGTAGAACCCGTCCCCCTCCAACAGTGCATCCCCACTAAAAGGGAACACCCCCCCCGACGGAAATCAACCAGGACCTATTTGACAAACCCCTAATGAGGTTCCCATTCCCTACTCAGTTGCCCAAAGGACCCAGAAATAAAAGGTTAACCTTTTGGGGCCATGACTAAAAATGGACCAACAAGGGGAAACCAAAAGGTCAAAAGGTTGGCTTTGGGCAAGTGAGCCTAGGAAGGGCACCAAGTGCCCTTTGAGTAATGCGCTTTAATGTTTCCAATCATCTTCCATAGCTTTCGTATTTCCCCGGAAGGCCTCGAATGTGGCCTTGGCAAATGGACTTGTAAACCTCCATGGCCTTTCTGGGTTCAGAAATGGGGTGGGGCTATACAATAACCCAAGGCCCTTTCTGGACTTGCTGACGCCTAATAAGGAATCCAGAGAAGGGGTTGGGCCCGCAGACTAAGACTTTGACCCAGTTTGAGCTTTCCTTTTAGCCCCGTCCCCAACTTCGGGATAGCCTTCTTACATGTTTACATGGAATCCACCGATGTGGGACTGTTGGAACGGGGGGAAAGGTGATAGTTCGCGAAAAATGGGCCCTGATTCTGACAAGCCCAGGCACATTGCGCTGCATCTGCCTCGGAACGTTCAGATGCGAGGTCATGAGTCAAATTCATGACGCGTCGCCAGATGTGTAGTAGAGAGGTGTCAAAGAAACCACCTTACCAAACGGTAAGAGCCCAAATGGACCCTAGGTTCCTCGCTGCCTGAGTGAATTGGCCCAAAGAAAGTGGTAACTTCTTTCTAGGGGTTGATTTATTTTCAAAAACCAGCCATTTCCCCAGGACTTTTGGTGGTTTTCTAGAAAGAAGGATCCCTGGAAAGAATGGGGAAGATACACCTAGATCTTGTCTACCACTAGAGATGCTAATAGTCCAAACCCTAAAAACCAAAGTCCAGGAACTCCGGCTGAGGGGATGAGCTTTGCACCAAATCAGGAAAAAGATGTCAAAAAGGTCAACTCCTCACGTGATGTAGCCAGTCGTCAACGCCCCGGCTTGAAAAGAACGCAAAACCCCCACCCTCCAACTGCAAAAAGCCTTGGAAGCATTCAATCACGCAGGTGGCAGGGGTGCTGGTTGATCGTGTGAATCTGCCTGAGCTGAGGAAATGACATTGCCACTGGCACGATTGGGAAAAAGGGGCATGCTATACATTCACACACCTGAAGCCTGAACCCAGATTCCCAAGCAAACAAGTCATGCGCAAAAAACAGGGGTCGCTGGAACCGGCTTCCCTTGAAACCATCGGACCATCGACTCTTGGCTCTTCCGTTGGGGAAGTGGCTCGGACACGTCCCAAAGCGAAAAAAAATAAAGTCCTGGCAGCTCAGTGGGGATGTCAACCGCTAGACCACAACAGGGATCCTTACACAATACACCTGAACATTGCAACTTGTAAATGGCGGGTTCCCTTTACTTTGGTGTTGAAAAAGCAACATGTTTCAAATGGTTGCAAATGGTTGCAAAATGGAGATCTTTTAAGGAGCCCTGCACAACGAGCAATGGGAAGGAGGTTTCCCAGCCATGCCGAGGGGCTGGAACCGTCCCGGGGACTGGAAGTAGAGCATCATGGCATCCCGCAGCGCCTCCCAAAGAACCAAAGGAGCAAGGAAGGAAAAACGCGAGAAACAGCTGCTGGTTGGTTTTGGAAGCCACAAGGGGTGAACCAAAAATAATAAGTAATCACCACGCCAACAGGGAAACCACTTAACATTGGCAATTGACAGGTGGTGTTTAAAGCCCACCACCCGCACCCACCCACCCGCCCGCCCATCTTGATACCTTGCCTCACTCATCCTCCATCCATCCAGTCGCGGGACAAAATACCTTCCCACAAGGTTCCCTTTTTCATTATTGGGGGCGGGGCCTCAAAAAAATGACAGACACCTCAGGGAAGGGGGGGTATTGATCCGGGGTACCCATTAGGTTGAAGGGCGGCCTCCTCCAAAAAGTATATGTCTGGGAGTTGCTCTAAACCCGCAAGTCTAAGGAGCTGGTCAGTGACCCTCGAAAAAGGGAACCAACTTGGAGTTCAGTGACCATTCGTGAGGAACCTCCAAACGAAAAGGGACTCTGAAATGCCACAACTGTCCACCCCTTGGCATGGCGGCAACTTGTTTTGTTGGCAGCCCCCAAAAAAGAAAACAAACAGATCAGAATCAACATGAATCAACTCAAACTAAAAGCCTACACACATGCCAACAACAGTGAAGACAAGCAAGCTTCCGTATGCATACTCCGCCGGTGCGGACGGTCCGCTTTTTGCGCCCGGCCTGACGCAAGCTGGACTCAGAGAGCGGGGGCTGAATCAGGAATCCCGTGGGGCGCTCCTGCTGCACACCTGGCGATTCCGGTGGGTCGCGGTTTCTCGGTTTTTTTCCGGTGCGCGCCGTTGCGCTCCGTTGAAGGTTGACCCAGGATGAATAAAACCGTCCCATTTTTGGAAGGGGGTGAAAACCCCTCCAGAAGTGGGAACTGAATCCTCCACTAAAAGGGGGATTCACCCCCCTATTCACCAGCGGTTTATGAATCCGGGGTTAACATTAGACATGATTCAGCTTCCCTTGTTGTTTGGTGGCTTGGAGCCCTGTGCTGGAACGGGGGGGAGGTGGCTTCCCATTCTCTACAGCCAACGGGTTAAAATCCAAACCCAAACCACCAAATCCCCAAAACCGCCAACTAAAGGACACCGATGACACCTACAAAGCTAGCCCTCCAGGGATGGAGTTTCGAGGTGTGCAGGTTATAAGGCTATGTACCACGTTTCTATGGGGCTCGTACGGCGTTGCAACCGTATACGAGCGTATATCCGTCTCATACGCCTCTGAAAAATGGGGCAAATGTCATAGGGCCTTTGCAGTTGGGAGGTTGGTAGCAGGGTGCTGAGTGTACGGTAGATGGACAGAACCCGGCATTTGGGGGGTGATGAGTGCATATCAATGCTGGGGTTCAGCACCAACCAGGTGAAAGATGTGTTCCACGGTTTAGGCTGTGGGTCAAAAAAGGTACCCAAAATGAAACCCTGGCAAATGGAACAAAATACTGAAACCTGCGGTCCCCTGTTTCATTTAGACCCACACCCGTATGTTGCTCCGAGTGTCGCTTGCGACACGCAAGCAATTTTGGACAAATCGAACCGACGTTTGAGTGTCAAGGTCGTTTCCTTCGTTGATGCCCCTGTTATTACTTCTCAGACCTTTAACGAGCGCTTCCATCTGCCGAGGTGTCTTTCTTGAGGGCCCATGTGTCTGGAATGGGCAACCATTTGCTGTTGCGCACCTTCCCGGCAAGCTAACACATGATTGATCATCAGCACACTTATCGGCATGAAAATGGCCCCCCCCCGCAACCATCAAAAAGAAAATTCACAGGCGGCCGCGCCCATTTGGGACTATCCCGAGCTATCCCTTTTCCCTTCCCAAATGAGCGGGTTTTGAACTCCAGCGGCCACTTCTCGCAGACCTTCAGGCCCGAGCCAAAAACTCCCAGGACTGCGCCCCCCCGGCTTCTGAACCTCCGACCCCGCCAAAAGCGTCACTGGGTTGACGTTGGGTTTGGGGGAGCAAAAATTGAAATTCGAGCAGTTAAGTGGTTGGAGTTCCCACTACTAAACCGGAAGCAAACAAGTAAAAAATGTGTCCCAACAACAAGTGGTTGGATTTCAACCACTAAACCGGAAGCAAACATGTAACATGTGTCCCAACAACCATGGTCCAGCGCAAAGCGATCCGGATCCGGCCGCGCCTCGCACTGAGTCTTTTAGCCCCCCGGTGCAGGTGGCGATCGGCAGCGCGCCGTAGGTGCAAGCCGCCATCCTCCGAGAGGCCAGTGCTCTGTCCGTTTTCTGATCTGCGAAAAGTGAAGAACTCGAAGAGCAATCCGTTTTTTGCGGTGGGAATAACCCTTGTCATAACTGGACTCTCCGTTTTCTGATCCGTTTTCTGCGAGAAGTGAGAATAACTTCTAGTGGGTTGAATGGAAACCCCTGCAAAAAGTGAATAACTTTCAGTGGGCTGAATGGAAACCCAACCACTGAACCAACAAAAAAGTTCTAAAAGAATCTGAGGGGATGACTGGGAACGGGTAAGTTGGTTGAACATCCAACTCTCAGTCGTCCAAAGCGAATCGATGTTTCCCCATCTTGGTTCCCATTGTTAGTTGCAACCCAACAGGTGATCACCTTGCATTCCTGGGTCCAATCCGGGGCACACAGACAATATGTCCAGAATATTATTCTGATTTAGTCTGTATCCCCCGTATCAGATCGTTAAAATGAGGTGCCCCAGATTTGGTCGGTTTGCACCTGCAAACTGGCAACTGAGAACTTGGAAACGGGCACATATGCATAGAAACATTGCCATGACAGTGGTACCTGGGGGGTAACGTTGACCCCGGATTCAAGTACCTATGAAACGGTGGATTACAGAAACGGTGCCACAACTGCACTTGTCTCTAAAATTCGGAGGGTTATACTCGGGTTATACTCCGTTGACCCAGAAATAGAAGGTGATCACCTTGTTGGGGCCCACTAAAAATGGGAACCCAAACAGGAGAAGCAAAGGTCAGATCCGGTCGATTCGATTTGGGCTGAGCTATAACCATGGCAAAGGGCACTCAGCTAAACTATCAAAGTCCATGGGTTGGAACCTACTAAGTTGGTTGTTCAGGCCGGGGGTCTAGGGCTTTCTCTTTTTTTTTTTTAGGAAGGGTTGGTTTAGAGAGACACCAAAGGCAAACATATGCCGAATGCAAAGGTCGGGGGCGTTTTTTTGGGGTGGGGAAGAGTTGGTTTTTTCGGCAAAGATATGCCGAATGCAAAGGTCTGAGTTTCGATCTGGTCCAAATGGGGATGTGCCAAAGTAGGGGGGTTTGGACCCTGTGTTGTCCTTCTTGTTTTCCTTCAAGCCCAAAAAACTACTGTTGCCCCTGAGGGACCCAGAAAAAAAAGGTGATCACCTTTTGGGGCCATGACTAAAAATGGACCAAACAGGGGAACCAAAAGGTCAAAAGGTTGGCTTTGGGCAAGTGAGATTATGCCAAACAGCCGCCTTTCCAAATGTATCCTAGGGACTCTGGCGGTCGCCGCCCCAAACCCCGTTTACCTTTTGGCCCGGAGAGCAATCCGTTTTCCGGTGGATAACCCTGGTCATAACTGGGTTATCCGCTTTCTGGCCCCCTGCAAAACGTGATTCTAACTTTTAGTGGGTGAAATGGAAACCCGACCACTAAACCAACCAAAAAGCGAAAGAGCTGGGGGACCAAATGGCTGGGAACCGCCAAGATAATGTTAACCCAGGATCCAAATAGAACCTGTCCGATCTTCGAAAAGGGCCTCCAAAAGTGGCGTGGATGTTGGTTCATCCACAGTATGACGACGTTATCACTGTGCAACTGGCCATGCACATGGGTTGGGGATATATACTAAAAGAGGCTAAATAGTAATAATAATAATGCTACTAGTAGTATGGGAATTGGGGTACGGGTACTATGTAACTATCCTCCCCCAGGCTAACATGGAAGCTCCATGATTCTGGTGGAAGACTTGGTTCCATTTACAGAGGCCTTCGGGGAGCCTCCATGTTAGCCTGAGAGGCTTACATTAGTTGCACTAGGCAACCAGTGGAAATTCATGCTAGATACTTGTTTTACCCTAGGGCTGACAATGGAAACTCCATCAAAGTGGGAAGAGGGTTTATCTCAAAGGGGACCCCCCAACCCCAAAAACACGAACTTCCATTTGCTTCAGCCCCGGGGAAAAAACAGAAACATGCCCAAGAGTGAAATGGATTCCCTTCAAAACCAACAAAAAGAAGAAAAACAAAAACACATACATTCTTTCCAAGCAAATGGAAGTAAAAACCACCACCGGCTCCCCAATTGTTTTTTCCGCCTTTTTGGGGTATGCCTCGAGAGGTCCCCATTTTGAAACTCCGCTTTCCGCGCGCCGAAGAACGCGGGCGACGCGGGCGGCGCGGGCGACGGGAGCGAGAAGTCGAGCGCGCGCGAGCCGAGGGCCCGGGCTGCGGGAGCCCGCAGGGCTCGTAGCGCGAGGGCATGAGGATGAAGTCGCAGCCTCCGCGCGGGGCGGGGCGAGGCGAGGCGCGCGGAGGGACGTGTCTGTCTGTCTCTGACTCGGTGGGAAAAGTGGCCGGTTTTGTTTTTCCCCCCCCCCCCCTCCCCGCGGTTTGAAGGAAACCTGGGTGAAATCTGGGTGCATGATTCAATGCAATATTTCACCCACCTGGCATAAGGTTGGGAGACCTGGAAATAGTTTATTAGCCTGAAATCAGGTGCTCGGGGGGCTACTCCCCACATAAACCGCTTGCGGTGAATGAGGTCGTGTGAGGTACTTATAATTCACCCAGAGAAATGAACGGTGCTCCTGAGGAGTCATCATGGGGGCTGGGCGGGAGGCAGGGAGGGCAGGGAGCCCCAATAAGCTTTTTGTTTGGGCTTGTTTGGGCTCCCTCCCCCTCGCCTCCCCCCCACCCCCATGAAGTCAAAAGGGGAACCCCAGATTTGATCCGGAAAGCCAGTTCATTTCAGGTGGATTCGCTTACTGAGCTTACCCTCATAAGGATAGATGGGTGTGTCTTGCTTCAGGGGACCAAAGAGGAGAGTTTCGGCTTGGTACCCTCCATTAAGACCACCTGCTTTACAAGAAAGAAGTCCAAACCAAGTGGACTGAGCTCGGTTGCGAAATCTGCGAAGCCCTGCTAAAAGTGACTAACTTTCAGTGGTTTTATACGGAAAACCCATTAGTTGGCAAACAGTTAAAGTCCTAACATCCAAGCAAAATGCACCAATGTGAGAGTGTTTTCTGGACCCCAGCTGGTATCCTTGAAGGGGCCCTAATCCCAAAAGGCTATGCAACCTTTCCTTGGCGATGCGGCTTCACGTTTGCTCAACAAGAATGTTGGACGGTCCTTGAAGACCAGCCCAAGACGACCCCGGACATACAAAGCGGGACCTTGGCTAGGGCAAAACTGGAAAAAGAACGATACATGTCTCAGCTCTCAAACAAGAGCTAAAGAGTCAGGAAAAAACGAAAGCAACAAACAAACCTGCGAAAAGCCCGCTTTTTGCCAAACAAAGCACACACAAAAGCAACATGAACAAGAAAGTCCCCCCCCCAAAAAAAAAAAAAAAAAAAAAACAATTAAATAAAAGAGGAAAAAAAAAGAGAAGAAACACAGAGGAAAACAACAAACAAAAAGAAGAGACATGCAAAACCCGGGTCTGAACCCAAGGGTTTCTTTGGCGCCTGCCATCATCTGGTGCTCCAGCACCGGGTCGAAGCCTCAAGCCGAAGTGGGCAACCCCCTGCAGGTGTGGGCTCCTTGCGTTGGTGTCCAACCCACAACCCTATGGCCCTATGGCTTGTTTGTTTGTTTTTGTGCCGTGTGCAGCCCCCAAACGCAAAAAATGGAGAGAACCGACCAAAAATCGAAAAAACTGAAAAGCATGCCACCAATGCTAGTGGCAGTTGCCGCCAAGAAAGCATGCCGAGTGGCGTCTCAAAGAGTGCTAGCTGCAAAACATTCTTTGGGAGTCCACCAAATCCACAAACACCACCCAAACAACCCCTTGGAAAAACATTGGAGGTGTGTTTTGGGCGGCGTGGTGCGTCTGAGGTGGTCCCAATGGAAGAAGTTCCACAACAATGGCGGGCTCCCGGGGCGCGCGCCCCCCCCCCCCCGGATTTCCGAAGAACCGGGCGCCTGGTGGGTCGACTGAAGCTTTGCGGACCGCGAGCCAAGGAGCCCGTGAGCCCGCAGACCGCCCGGCGGTTCCTCATCTCAAGGTCCTGCACCAGGTGCTTGTACTGCTGCCTCACGCGCGGCAGCAGGAGACCCAAAAGAAGGGTGGGGTGGGGGGGGTGGTGGGGTGGTTGGGTGGGGTGGTTGTGTGGGGGGGTGGGGTGGCGGGGGTTGCTGCGGATGGTTGCGAAATCCTCTTCGGCATGACCTAAGAAACCCTGGTTTCTGATGCTTCCCCTGCAAGTACCAACAAACAATGGTTTCGAGATTCCAAGTCGTGCAGAATTTTATCCATCCACACCAAGGTCAGGGATGGCGAGCGGGAAATACAAGGTGAACCCTTCACTACACCTGAACCCAAATCGGAAAACCAAAAGGTCAAAAGGGCGATTCACTTCAGGCCTTGGTGAGTAGAGCAACACGCGAAAGCCGAGGCGCTCTCCCTCACCCAATAAACTTGCTTGCCCAAAGGGCGGTTGATTGTTGACCTTTTTTTAGTTGCTGCTGACCCCGCTGCGAGTTTGACTTTTGTGGGTCCAATGGAAAATCAATTTTCCGACAAGTACAAGTGCCAAGATCCAACCAAATAGCCATCAAAAGGTGCTTTTTCCAGGTCGACTCGCTGACATGCCCCCTACCACAAGGGGGAGAGGGGTTGGTCCCCAATTCCATGTATCTAGTTCCCATAGAACGGAAATGGGTTACCGTAAAATGGAGATCTCCAGCGGTCATTCTCTCCCCCTCCCTCCATCAACCATATTTCAGGGACCCGGTGGGATTCGCAAAAAAAAAACTCAGTCCTCCAGCAGAGAGGTTAGAATAAGTTGGTACCAACTTGTTTTTCGGTTTTGTCTATTTTAGTAGGGTCCCGAACCCTCCCCAAAACAAAAAAAAAGGGCGAGAAAGTTGGCACCAATCGCTGGGGGACCTAGACCAAACACACTTGACCCAAGAACCCGCGGAGAGGACCGCGCAGAACCTGATCCATGAGTTCAAGTTTAAACCCAAGGGAAGCTTAAAAATATTATTAAGCAAATGGAGGGTGCAGAGAAGGAGCTTTTTCCCGTGTTTCCTTTACGCGACCCAAAAAAAACAAGGAGAGAAAAGAACGGTTGTGAACCAAGCACTAGGTTCACCTTACCCACAGTTGGTGGTTTTGGTTTGGTTTGGCCTTCCCCAAGTGGCCAAGAAGCTGGAGCGCACAAAACCAACAGAAAATAACACATGGGTGTGGCTCAAAATTAAAAAGGTGGGGCAAACCGCAGGTTTTGGTCCATGCTTCCACTTACCAGGGTGGTTCAATTGTCCATTTTGGGTATCGGTTTTTTGAGCCACAGCCACATATTCTTAAGCAAATGGAGGACAAAACGCACTTGATTCAAGAAAACCAGGTCGACACCAGCCCGGTGCTCGCGGCGGCAAAAAACTCGATTGCTTTCTGCTCCCCTGCTAAAACAGTTTGCCTTTTAGTGGTTTAGTGGAAAACCCATTGACGTCCTAAAAAGTTGAAGTCTAAAGATCCAACCCAGCAGTCAAGAAAAGAAACACCAGCCCGGTTTCCTTTGGGCGACCCCCCCCAAAGAAAAAAGAAAGAAAAGAAAACTCGGTTGCTTTTTGCTCCCCTGCTAAAAGTTTAACTTTTAGTGGTTTAGTGAAAAACCAAAACCCATTGACTTCCCAAAAAGTTAAAGTCCTAGCAGCCAAGCAAAACGCACCAAAGAGAAGCAGCCGAGGCGCTCGCCCTCGCCCATGATCACTATCTGCGCCCGGGGCCCCGTGGATGGCGCCGCCTGCGGCGCCAGGCCGGCGGTCAGCAGCCAGGGCGCCACGCGCACCAAGACGTCCACGCCTGAGGCGTGGAGAGAGGTGGTTTTAACGTTGGTTTGAGTATGTAAACTTTAGCAGTTCAGTGGGCATTATTTAACAAATAGCAGTTAAGTGGAAGGGGATTTCAACCACTAAACCACAATAAGCAAAAAATGTAAGTAAAGTGTTTCCTAACCAAGCAGAGAGTGGAGCTATGCCCCGACTGCAAAGCGTTTTTGTTCCCGTCTCCCGTTGAAGCAACCCCAAAATTAACAACTTCTCCCCTGACCTTGGGGGAGGGGGGTGGGGGGTCCCCATTTGTCCGCCATCCCCACAAAAGAGAGAATGAAACTATAAACGGAATTTCAGGAGCCACCCCTCTGCAACAACTCTGTTTTTAAGGGGGTGGGGATCATACATAGCTTGCAAGCAACCAAATACACAACTTGTTTATATGTGCTTAAAAAATTGGGTTTAGGCCAAATTTCCGTGACTCTGGGAGAGCCAAAGCCGACAAACCTCCCCAACATCCCAACACACCGGCCCTTGTCGGGGCTCATAGGATCCACCTCCCCCCCCCCCCAACCCACTGGCCCCTCCTCTTTCCCAAAAGCAGACTCGGTGGCGAAATCTGCGAAGCCCTGCTAAAAGTGACTAACTTTTGGTGGTTTAGTTCGGAAAACCCATTAGTTGGCGAAAAGTTAAAGTCCTAACATCCAAGCAAAATGCACCAAAGAGACCCCAATGAAGCCGTTAAAGCCTCATTTGGAGGAAGGGGGTGGGAGGGGTTGGTTGGATCATGATCTGGGTATGGGTCAAAATTACACCACCAGGATATGGACAGCAGGTTTTAGTCCTTGCCTTTATTTACACGCAGTTCATTTGGGGTACCAATTCTTGACCCACGTCCATCTTCTGGGACGGGCTTCCCTCCAAACCCCTCCAAAACATATTTGTGTCAGCTGACGACTGGAACTTCAAAGCCCGTGTCTATTTGGGGAGGGGATTTTGGGGACATGACCAAACAAGCGGAAACCACAAGGTCAGATCCGGTCGATTGGCTAAAAGGGCTGCGACTATTCAAAGGGTGAGGACGTAACTACTCCCCATGCCGATTCGGCCATTCCATGCAGCATGCATTTGCAAAAAAAAAAAAGAGTGAGCAATGAATCAGGATTCGACCACCACCGGATGATTTTTGAGTTTTCCAACCCGGGTAGCAAAAACGGGATGATTTTTGTAAGCAGCCCCTGGAATGTCCAGCTGGATTTCCCCAAATCACAAGCAGGTGGTGTCCATTGAAACGATGGGAAACCGCTTTTCGAGGTTCCAAAAAGGCCAATGGCTCAGAACCCCCCGTGCCACCGACAACTTTCAACAGGACTGGCTTTATTTTGCCACGATCAAAGTCTCCCGTGCAGTGGTGGCTGAAAGGGAAACAACCCCCAAAAACTCGGACTTTGCCAACCCCCCCCCCCCTTTTTCCAGACACAGCCAAACAGATTCCTCATTTTCTGACTTTGATCACCCCCAGAAACCTCGGTTGCTTTCTGCTCCCCTGCTAAAAGTGACCAACTTTTGGTGGTTTAGTTCGGAAAACCCAAATTCGTGGGCAAAAAGTTCTCCAGTCCTAACAGCCCTTGGCAAACTGCACCAAAGAGACCCCAATGAAGCCGTTAAAGCCTCATTTGGAGGAAGGGGGTGGGGGTTGGTTGGATCATGATCTGGGTATGGGTCAAAATTACACCAGGATCACCCCCAGAAACCGTCCAACTACCGACTTCCCAGGAAGGCCACGAGCCGAACTCGGAGCCCAGCTGCCCTTCTGCCAGGTCAGACGCCCCACGAAGCCGAAGAGCACCTGTGATCTCCACCCAAGGCGTAGCCAAGCCAAAGACTCGGTTGCTGTAAGGACCCCCTGCAAAAAGTGGACCACTTTTTGGGGGTTTCATGGGAAAAACCACCACTTGCTTTCAACCAAAGTTGTTGAAGTCTAAAGATCCAACCCAATAGCAGTCAAGAACATGGGTGGCTCGTTTCTTGAGTTGCTACCCTTGTAAGTTGGTATTGAAGGGAAACTTTAAAGTAACCCAACCCTTGTTTGGTTGGGGCAAGGTCCCCAAAACACGCCACACCCACGTGGCCGACCAAACAAAACGGGCAATGCGGGAATCCACACGTACGCCCTCCCACTAAAAAAATATATATATCCAAACCAACCCTCCAGCCCAAACGTACCTTTCGGAAACTTGCCAGACGCGGCCCTTTCAGGAGAAGGGCCCGGAGTCCTTCAGGTTCCCCGATCTGGAAAAAATGGGAAAAGGAAATATTTTTTAGGGCCCCAACTCCCGGAGTTTAGGGTAGAACTCGCGGCCGTTGGATTCCTGCGGAGACTTGAGCCTCAGGAAGAAGAAGCTTGGTTGCTGTAAGGACCCCTCTGCAAAACGGTTAACCTTTTGTGGGTTTCATGGAAACCCCCACTTGCTTTCAACCAAAAAGTTGAAGTCTAAAGATCCAACCCAATAGCAGTGAAGAACATGGGTCTAGGTTGGTGTTGAAGGGAAACCAAAAGTAAACCAACCCTTTGTTGGTTGGGGGAAGGTACCCCCCCCAAAAAAAACAAACCAAAAAAAAAAAACGACACACCGGGCTAAAACAAAGGCACAATAAAAAAAAAAAAAAAGAAAAGCACGCGCCGGGCGCACCGCCCGGGGCGACACGCTGAGGCCCAGCTTCTTCTGCAGCGCGGCTTTGCACTCCTTCCTGGCGGGGCGATGCTTCGGCTGCGCGCCGCAGCTCCGGAACTTGCTGAGGTTGGGCTAAAGGAGGCCCAAAAGGAACACCCCCAAAAGTGCGCTTGCTTTGTGTTTTTTTTTGTTTTTTTTTTTTTTTTGGGGGGGGGGGGGGGCTCTCCTGTGTTTGTTCGCTTTGTTGTTTGTTTGGTTTTTTTTTTTTGGGGGGGGGGACACTCCTATTTTCTGGGCTGTCGTCAGATCCCCTGATAATCTGTCGACAACTTTTGTAGTGGCTAGAATGGGCAAACCAACGAAAAAAAACTGAAAACACCTAAGGAACTGGATGGGATGAACCGGACGGCTGGGGACGGATGGGAAGCATCCCGCCCTTTGGATCCAAGGAGTAAGTTTTCCCAACATCGAAACCACCAGGCTTCAAGCCAGCGAAAGCTGGTGCCAACCCCCAAGGCGATCCAAACCATCAAATGCGAGTCGATGAATCTGCGGAGTTTTTCGAGAACCCACAAAGTATCCTCTTGCCTTCAATGCCACCAATCACCTGCCAATTCGCCCAGTGACTCGAAAAGAATGCGTGCCCTGTCAAAAACAATAATATATGTTTTTTGGGAAAAAACAAAAAACATGAGCTTGGGCCGCTTCGACATCCCCCTACCACAGGAGTTGCAGCCACTGACCCGTTCGGGTGTTTTCAGGGAACCTATGAAAGGAACCGTCAGGGGAGGGAGCAAACCGATTTGGCCCGACTGGGCTGTCAAAAGTCGACAACTTTTAGTGGGTTAAATGGACACCCAACGGCTAAACCCTAAAAAAATTATATGAAAACCTAAGTTGAACCGGATGGCCGGGAACCAGCAAGGCAAACCACTCCGTTTGCGCCCAAAACCGTTCATCCTCAAGGCTTTCCACGGCGCTGGTCGCCTTGGCTCTCCAAGACGGCCCTGGTTTTCATGCGTGGCATGACTTTGAGGGGGCCGAATCCAAAGAAAGAAATGGCCGGCCTCCCGGCCAGGAAGCTTTCCTGGTTGTACCTGCGGACGATGTGCTTGTCCTTGGTCCGAACAACGGAGCGACCGCTCGCTGACTCGCCCATGCTCTTCACCAATTGGGGAGCCAAGTTAGCAAGTTGGCACGGTAACCTAGGTCAGAACCCACTTATAAGTCCCCCCAAGTGGGGTTAACCTTGTTATTCGGGGGCTATACCCCAATTGGCTGAGCACTTACTAACCCGGCGAATCGAGCATCCAAACAGCCTCCTCCCCAGACCCCTTGGAGGTCTATGTCTTTCCCTTCCCTCTGGGCAGGAAACCCGGCTCAGGAACTAGCGAACTGTCTGGCATTCTGAGCGCGTACAATTTCAAGAGGCCAAACCGAGCGAACCACTCCAAAAAGTTAAAACATGTTGCTGGTTCAGAAGGGGAAGAGAAGCAACGCCAACAAGAAATGTTGAATGGGAGATGGACCGGGGATCCTAGGATTAACAGACCCCTGGTTGATTGATAGTTGATAGAGGCCATCCCATGTTTGAAGGGGTCAACTGCACTGGTGGGTGAAACATACTATCAATTTGCCAGGTTGGTTAACTCCGAGGTGGTGTATGCAACTGCATGGCCAGAATACGGCTGGCGCTGGGTGTTCTTCTGCGCTCGGTTGCTGTGGAGAAAAACAAAAAACGCTCCCTGCACATGTGCTCCGTGCATGCCAGAAACGTTGGTTGGCATAGCGTGGGAGTCCAGAACCCCCCCCCAAAAAAAAAAAACGAGGCGGCAAGCACCAAGCTCACTAAGACATGGCCAATGCATGATTTCAAGGAGCGAACCCAATACCATCCCAAGAATCGACGTAGCGCGCTTTTCATTGAAACTGCGCCCTACCAACCTCGTGCGGACTCCTCATTGGGCACCAGTTTGGGGCTTCTCATCTATCCTCTACAAATACCACCGCAGAAACAATCGAATGCAGCATCGCGGAATATTTGTTGACTTTTGGGTCTGCACATGACGCCAAGAACCATCTTGCCAACTAAAACAACTCCTGGGACTCGGCGGTATGACAAGGAGCTCTCGTGCACCCCTGGGAAAGCCCGGAGCCTTTTTGGACTCGGCGATCCCTAAACTCCCCCGAAAAAAGAATGGCTCGCGGCCTCGGAGCCCCCGAAGCCCCGCCACCCCCCCAACCAAAAGCCCCCCAAGCCCCCCCACCCCCCCAAGCCCCTTAAAGCCCCCCAAGCCCAAGCCTTGGCCAAGGCGCGCTGCTGGGGTCCCAGTCGTCATCCAACGCATTCCGAATCCCCGCCAACCGCAGCATCCTCTGCTTCTGGCTCAGCACCTCCTCCAGGCCGCAGCCTCCTGGATCCGGCGCTTCGGCACGCAGCGAGCCGCGAGCGCTTCGCACATCCCAGGCGGAAGGCGAGGATGCCAGCGAAAAAAAATATAGGGAAAAACGGAGTGGAAGCGCCATTCTTCGAGGGGTTGATTCCTGTTCCATTCTTTTCAACCATTGTTCTTTTCAAGAACCAGCCGTTGTTTCCCGGATTTCTGGAGGTTTTTTAGAAAGAAGGATCCTGGAAAGAATGGGGAAGGTACCCCTAGAATTCTGTGGATTCCCCAGGTTGTTTTGCCAGTTCTTCCTTTTCCTTTTTGTTGAGGAACCCCAAGGGGCTCAAGGTCCGAAAGCCAAAAAATAGGAACTTGACAGGGGGGCAAAGGTCCTGGTCTTGGAAAATGAACCAGCAAAAGCGAATTTCCGAGTGCCGAAAGAATTACTCACCTTCTATGATCATGACTTAACTTGGCTTTAGCAACCTTCGGAGAGTGGCAGTGTAGCACCGATTTTGCTTTCGTGGATCTTACAGGGGACCCCTGGGAAGGTTTACTCTTTGGAACCTTTGCTTCAGATGCTTTGTTGCTGTTGACCCCTCTGCAAACAGTTGCCCACGTTTTGCGGGTTTGGTGGAAAACCCAACTTGATTTCAACCAAAAAGTCAAGTCTAAAGATCCAACCCAGCAGTTAAGGATGGACCAATCAGATAAACCCAAGGGTCAGATCTGGTCGATATGCTTTGGGCCTTGGAGACGCAGAATGGGGGGGTTCTGGGTGTCCAGCTGAGTCACAATCGAAGCCCGGCACCCCACACCAAACCATGTAAGAGATCCAAAAGGCGGCACGCCACGCCCATGTTAGGGCAAGGAAATTCTCCCTTCATCAAAATCCGGTACTAAATCCGTGCACCGACACCCATGCAAGGAACTAAAGAGGCGATCCCTCCTACCTGAAGGGGGTGGGGGGGTCCCCAATTCCATTTCTCTAGTCTTCCCCATAAAAGGGAAAATGGGTTGCCACAAATGGAGATCTCCAGGGGTCGAAATCCCCCCTCCCCCAACTTCATTTTTGAGGCACCCGGTGGGGATAAGAGGCTGCAGCACCTCGGGTTTTCGAAGGGGCGCGACTCTTCTCTCCTTGAGGCGTCTGGATCTCCCTGGCGTAGCTGGGCGAGACCTCTGCCACTGGGTTGCCCGTGCAAGCAAGGGCTGAGAGCTGTTTTTCGTCGGAGTCCCTTACTCCCCTACGAATTATCGGAAGCAACCCGAATGGGATAACTCTTCCTCTACAAATGGCTCTATGTTTACCTGTAGAGGAGTATCTTATCACGTCTTCCGGCTTATGGTGTGTCTTGTTGAGGGTAGCTCTTCTTGTGGTTTAAATGGAAACCAATGGAAACCCAACCATTGTAAGGGGGTCCCTAAAAACTACACACCCTTGTCATTTCAAAGCGTTCCGTTATCATAGATTGATACCTCAAGGTTGGATTCTCCAAATCATTTCAAAAGTTCCCTTGTCATAGGTTGATACCTGAAGGTTGGATTCTCCAAATCATTTCAAAAGTTCCCTTGTCATAGGTTGATACCTCAAGGTTGGATTCTCCAAATCATTTCAAAAGTTCCCTTGTCATAGGTTGATACCTCAAGGTTGGATTCTCCAAATCATTTCAAAAGTTCCCTTGTCATAGGTTGATACCTCAAGGTTGGATTCTCCAAATCATTTCAAAAGTTCCCTTGTCATAGGTTGATACCTCAAGGTTGGATTCTCCAAATCATTTCAAAAGTTCCCTTGTCATAGGTTGATACCTCAAGGTTGGATTCTCCAAATCATTTCAAAAGTTCCCTTGTCATAGGTTGATACCTCAAGGTTGGATTCTCCAAATCATTTCAAAAGTTCCCTTGTCATAGGTTGATACCTCAAGGTTGGATTCTCCAAATCATTTCAAAAGTTCCTTGTCATAGGTTGATACCTCAAGGTTGGATTCTCCAAATCATTTCAAAAGTTCCCTTGTCATAGGTTGATACCTCAAGGTTGGATTCTCCAAATCATTTCAAAAGTTCCCTTGTCATAGGTTGATACCTCAAGGTTGGATTCTCCAAATCATTTCAAAAGTTCCCTTGTCATAGGTTGATACCTCAAGGTGGATTCTCCAAATCATTTCAAAAGTTCCCTTGTCATAGTTGAATACCTCAAGGTTGGATCTCCACATCATTTCAAAAGTTCCTTGTTCATATGTGTGATACCTCAAGGTTGGATTCCTCCAAATCATTTCAAAAGTTCCCTTGTCATAGGTTGCTCCTCAAGTTGGCTTCTCCAAAGCACATTTCAAAAAGTTCCCTTGTCATATGTTGATACCTCAAGGTTGGAATCTCCAAATCATTTCAAAGTTCCCTTGTCATAGGTTGATACCTCAAGGTTGGATTCTCCAAATAAAATTTCAAAAGTTCCCTTGACATAGGTTGATACCTCAAAGGTTGGAAGTTCTCCAAATCATTTTATCAAAGTTCCCATGTCAGAGGTTTGTATACCTCAAGGTTGGATTCTCCAAATCATTTCAAAAGTTCCCTTGTCATAGGTTGATACCTCAAGGTTGGATTCTCCAAATCATTTCAAAAGTTCCCTTGTCATAGGTTGATACCTCAAGGTTGGATTCTCCAAATCATTTCAAAAGTTCCCTTGTCATAGGTTGATACCTCAAGGTTGGATTCTCCAAATCATTTCAAAAGTTCCCTTGTCATAGGTTGATACCTCAAGGTTGGATTCTCCAAATCATTTCAAAAGTTCCCTTGTCATAGGTTGATACCTCAAGGTTGGATTCTCCAAATCATTTCAAAAGTTCCCTTGTCATAGGTTGTTACCTCAAGGTTGGATTCTCCAAATCATTTAAAGGTCATAGGTTGATACCTCAAGGTTGGATTCTCCAATCATTTCAAAAGTTCCCTTGTCATAGGTTGATACCTCAAGGTTGGATTCTCCAAATCATTTCAAAATTGATCTCAAGGTTGGAGTTCCCTTGTCATAGGTTGATACCTCAAGGTTGGATTCTCCAAATCATTTCAAAAGTTCCCTTGTCATAGGTTGATACCTCAAGGTTGGATTCTCCAAATCATTTCAAAAGTTCCCTTGTCATAGGTTGATACCTCAAGGTTGGATTCTCTTGTCCACCCGAAAAGCACGACAAAAAACGCACGTGCTTAAATGTCCCTGTTGATGTTCCACAAACTCCTTGGACCCCCAGCTCCATCTCTTGCTGGTGCTCAGTAGGGATGACCCAGAGTTTTGGGAATGAACCTTGGGCTTCCCTTAAAGGAAGCTATAAAGGATTGTTTATAGGGGTCATTCTCTCATTCCCTGCTGAGAACCAGCAAGTAAACTCCCATGTGGATTCTTCACAAACTCCTTGGACCCCCACCGTGTCCCGTAGTAAAACCTCTGGTACGAAATGTTGCAACCAACCCGGGCTTGCTCTGAAGGCGGGCTCTGAAGGCGGGTGACAGCCTTGCCTCCAATGCGCTTGCCACACCAGTTGCAATGTGGACTATGGACTGCGACCGAGCAGTCACCGGCAGCGTGAGTTGCAGTCTAAACCGTGGGACTGCAGATCCCACACCCCTACGGGGTGGAAGACAAGAAGAAGAAGGCGGGTGCACTTCCCATGCTTGCGCTTCGGCGCGCGGCGGGTCACGGCTTTGCTTGGGACCCATCCGCCTTTGTCAAGCTTGTTGGCTGTGCCTTTTTTTGACGGTACCCCTTGCTTGTCGCTTTTTGAAGGTACAGGAAACCAACAGGGAACCACTCATTTAGGGGTTCCCCACATTTTTGAGACAACCTCTAGTGCGAAACATGTTTGTGACTCTGGGTGTTTTTTTTTTTAATATTGTTTGGCGAAAAACAACTGCAGGGGCCACGAACAAAGAAGCAGAGACGACAGCGTTGCCAGGTTCGCGGAGCCGCTGTCACCACGCGGTCTGCACAAAGGACGGCGGCCTTGCAGATGTTCAGATCCGCGTCCTGGTGCCTCGGAGCCGGGACGACCAGAGGAAAAGTCGGCCGCGCATCCAGTTTTCGGAGCCGGGACCTCCCAAGCTGAAAGATGCCTTCCCCCACATGAGGGTTGTTCAAACCGCCCCCCCCCCCAAAAAAAAAAAACGAAAAAAAAGAAAAGAGGACCTCATCCTAAAAAACAAAGCAAGGGTTTTAGAACGACTCTCACACGGAACCTCCCAGGCCGTAAATGGAACCAAGTCTTCACAGGGGTTCTGGGAGTTTCACAGGATGGGATTCAATCACACCCTACTATAGGTCAGCTTCCCTCTAATTGCTGGTTTGGATTGGTGGTTTTTAAGGAAGGGTTTCCCAGGCACCTTCTACAAGATCCAGGGGCCCGTTCAAATCCCAAACCACCGATTCAGCTCCAAGCCACCAATTAAAGAAAAGCCAAGTTGGCACGGAGCGCGCGGGAGTAAACCCCAACGGACTCACTCCCCGGTTCAACGAAAACTTCCATTTGGTTAAGGCCCCAGGAAAAAATAGAAATATGTCCAGTAGTGATGAGCTCCTGTTGAAACCAACCAGGGAAAATAATTTAAAAGAAATCTTCATGTCAGCAAATGGAGGTGGAGTAATGTCGTGGTTGGGGGGCTACTGGGTTGATAACCCTATCTTTTGAACAAAGGCAGGGCCTAGGCTGGAAGAAGAGGACCCCAGCAAAAAATAGGTTTTTTTTGCCTGGTTACTGGAAAACAAAGGGACCCAAAAAGAGAAAAAAAGGAAAGAGGGGAGCTAATTGTGGGGAAGGGGGGTCAAGCAAATGGAACGATCTCCACTTCCCGTGGCCCCGAATCGTTGCCTCTTCCCCGCGGATCGATCTCCCCCGCCGCGGCGCAGGTCCTGGCCCGCGGGTTCCTCCAGGCCCAGCAGGGTGTGCACCGCGGCGCGAGACGCCGGGAACTTGCCCTGGTAGCCTTGGAAAGGTCTCCCTTGGCTTTTTGTTTAATGACTCTGAGCCTGGCAAAGGGATGTCTTCAAAGGTTTTATTAATGACTCTGAGTCTCTGCGTCTGGCAAAGGAATTTCTTCAAAGTTGTTTTTCTTTATGGCCCTGAGCCTGGCAAAGGAACGTCTTCAAACCTCGAAGTTCCCACGGTTGGCCAGCGTTTTGTCTTGTTTTGCTCCTTTTGGTTTTATTTGATGGCCCTGGCGTCCGTCCATCTTCCCGAAACTGGCAGGGACACTCACGGGCCAACATCGCAACACAAGGTGATCTGCATTTGCAACCATCAAGGGCAACAGAGGGCAGCCCAAGCAACCTGGAAAACTTAAAGATTAACCTTTCTGGGCCTTCAGCATCTCAGATGCTCAGTGGATTTCCATGGCAAAAAAGGGCATGCGATGTTGGTTGGTTGAGTTTAAGGGGAAAAATTGGGCGCCACTGGGCAACTGGGGCATGGATACCCGAAAAGCTTGACAGATGACAGGTCCGCCAGTAGAGAGGTTGGAATAAGGGTGCCAACTTTACTCTGTAGTCGATTTTAGTAGAGCCCTCCCCTAAAAAAAGGGACCAAGAGGTTGGTTTTGGGATGTCACACCTGCCACCGGTGGCACCTTCTTCTTATACAGCCTGGAGTCCTTACCAGTGCAAAATAAAGAATATTCTTAAGCAAATGGAAGGCAATGAGTCAAACTGAGCGCCCTGAAACATCCATGCTTGACCTGGCTTCCCAAGCCGACCTCATTTTGTCTGTTGGTTGAGCCCGAGAGCGGTCAGCGTGGCCAAAACTGGCTGAGGGCCAACGAGAAGGGCGCGCTTTGGCAGAGAAGGAACCCTCGCCGCGCACCTGCCCTTCACCAAACCATGCCGAGACCATGCCGAGACGCCACAGGTCCAACCGAACGGGAGACTGCGCAGGTGAAAACCCGGAAGCCAATCCCACGAGTTCGAAGCCTGGTCTCAAAATAGGGAGGGGGGCCCTTTCGGGATGCTGCGAATCGCAGGAAAACCCGACCGATTTGCGCGCCTATGCTGACACACCTGCACCTAAAATGAGGGATACCCCAGCAAAGGCCCAACATGGTGAGCTCATCTGGTTCATAGGGAAAACCGAGGGACTAAGAGAGACTTGCCGTTGCTGGCCAGAAAACGCTGTTGACTGAACGTTTTTTAAGATTCAAGCTTGCAGCTTCAACAGGTGGGTTTGTCTCAAAATAGGAATCGGACCCCAAAATGGGCTTGGTTCCTTTTGGCTTCCATCCCAAAACTTCCATTTGGTTCAAGCCCCAGGAAAACATCACAATATTTCCATTAGTGATGAATTCCTTTTTGAAACCAACGAGGAGTGCCCTCGAAAAGCGAGACATCCAGGCCACCCAGGTAAGGTAAACGGGCGCCACTGAACCACCGGCAGCTGCCAGTTTAGAAAAGGCAAGACACCCAGGTTGTGAATGACGTGCAGGGTCCTCGGCTGCAACGGTGAAATCGTTCGTGCCTTTGCCGCTCCACATAAACCGGTGAAGGAAGCAGGAACCACTATCAAAAAGCAAATCGATGGATCTAAGCCCTTCCCCCATGCCACCTGCTTCCCCCCCCAAAAAGAAACAAAAGAAAGAAGATAAGATGCGAACAGGATAGGTCTCCTTTTCAAGGAAACGAGCGGGAGGGGGGTGGGATATGGTGGGATCCCATGAGCCTTAGAGCCATAGATTTTGCCACTCGCCGTGAAGCAAATGGTCTGCAATGAATGGCTCTCCCGTTGCCTCATTGCCCAAAGGACCCAGGAGAAAAAACTTAGCCTTGGCCGTGAAGCCAAATAAAATGGACCAAGGAGAACCCCAAACGCCCAGATCCGGTCGACTCGCTTTGGGCTTCCTATAAATTTGCCGCGAGGCGCGGGGCCTCGATTTCGTCACGCTTGGGACTGGAGCACTCAGCTTCCCCAGTTGGTGGCTTGGAGGTGCGGAGGATATAACCTCCACAAGAACTCGGGGTTCAAATCCCCAAACCGCTAATCTAAACGTTTCCTGAGCCACTTCATCAGCAGAAAACAAAAATCTCTTGTTTGGCCACTTGCCACGAGGTTTGCAAACTGAACAAGGCGTAACATTGCGAACATGTGTCGAAAACGCCAGCTCAGCCGCGGCAACAACTGCATTTGTTGCAAATTAAGACATGTTTCCCGAAAAAGGAAAACCTATGCACGTCTCAGAGCAACTGTGTTTCATCTGCATGTTGTCCTGTTAAATCCGCTGAAAACTCTGTAGCTATTGCTAGCTTTTAAAAAAAAATGACGCTTTGTGGTCAGTGGGAAACACACACGTTTTCAAACATTTGAGGGCCAAAGATCAAACCAAAACGACAAGAAACATTTGAAGTTCGGAAACTGGCCCGACTTCGATTCGATGTTCAACAAACTTGGCCAATAGGTCTCAACCATGGCTCAAAGGGCACTAACCACAATTGCCAAAGTTAGAACCATGGGTATCACCTACTTACTCGGCGTCTTGAACACCCACAGGGTCCCTTCTATTTCCCCTTAAAATCCATTCCCCTACCAAAGTAAACTCACCCTACATACAAGCCAAAATGTAATAAAACAAAGAAAAAACCAACCTTCTGCGGAATAACTCGGGGCAGCTGGCCCCCAAAACGCCGAGCTCCATTGCGGGCAGGCGGCCGGGCTTCCCGATATACCCCGGCGCGGCGGTACTGGTGCGCCAGGTACACCGGCAGGAGACCCGCCTCACAGCGACTCCGGCGCTGTAACACCAAACTCCGCTTCCCTCAAAAGCGCCTGGAGCCTCAAATTACCCACAGACAGGGGAGGAAAGACTTGTATTTTGAGGGTGCGTTCGTTTGGTAGTTGCGGGTTCCCGTCTACCCTCTACAATGAACGAGGGGTTCAATCCCGCCAACCCACCAATCCAAACCCACCAATTCAGGGTTACCTGAGCCTGGTTGCTAAATACGGGGTCTGGCCAAAAACACAACAGTCGCAAATCCCTTGTTGGTGTGATTAAGCATGTTTAAACCACTCCTCGTATGTGCATGCCGTCTGTTTCTTAACATGCTTAAACATGCTGAACAACCACTGTCGTTTCGACCAGAAAAAGGAAGCTGTCCCCATCTTCGCCTGAAACATCACTGTACCGAGACTCTTTCCTTCTTTCTTCCTTCTTTATTCCTTCCTCCCTTCCTTGCTTGCTTGCGTTCTTTCTTTCTTTTTTTTCTGTCTTTCTTTCTCTCTTTCTTTCTTTCTTCCTTCCTTCCCTTCTTTCTCTCTCTTTCTCTCTCTGTCTCTCTCTCTCTCTCTCTCTGTCAAGCCGAAGGCTGTGCTCGGGTGTGCCTTTTCACTGCTCTTGACAGGGTTGGCCCCTGGACCACCTCTCCACCGAGGGAGTCGCTCGACGCTCTCTCACTCTCCACCCGCCCCTCGCCTGCCAGTCGTGCGAGAGGAACATGACCTCGGCACAAGAGGCATGCACACTCCCGGGTCAGAAGCAAGACAACAACCAGGTCAAAAGGTCGGCTTTGGTTTTAACCGAGTACCCCGACTCGAAATCGTCCAGGACGATTTAGTGTGGCGAGATCTTGTGAGTGTGTCGCTTTTCGACGGTACCCTTTTTTGGAAACACCACTTCTTTCTGGGTTTTGGGGGAGGGGGTAGGGTCCCCTAGCAAAAGTCACGCGCTTGTTCTTCTAGCACCCCCCCCCCCCACCCCCCGAAAGAAAAGAACTCCGAACTACCCCTTCTTTTTTTGCGGCCAAAGGGACACCAAAAGAGAAGCCGAAGCCATTTTTGTAGGGGGGCGCAGCAAGAAAGTACAAAGCCCCATGGCAGCAAACCCCGCTGGCATCTTGAGCCGCTGGCTTTCTTGCGGGCCCCTTTCAATTTCAAGGGACTGGGCGTAAACTGGATCAATAGATAGGGCTTCCCTGAACAAACAGATGGGTTCCTGCCTCACATTTTTTGAGGAAGGATCGGCCAAAACAGGCAACCACACTTGTTGTTTGCCACTGAAATGGCTGTGGCTCAAAGGTAAACAGGAGGGGGCAAACCGCAGGTCTTGGTCCATGTTTTCCTCTTACCAGGGCAACCCATTTTGGAGTTCCGGTTTTTTGAGCCACAGCCAAATGGCCTCCCCAAACCCCAAACAGCGAAGCCCCAGAAACGGAGCCGTCGGAACTCGTCCTGGGGCCGCGGCCCGCTGCCCAAACGGCAGGCCGCCAAAGTTGATGCGCAGCGCGACCTGCGAAATGGCCACCGGAGTCTGGCCCAGGTTGGAGCCCCAGTAAAAAGAAGCGAGCACCTTTTGGTGACTAAAAACAGGGAACAAAGGGGAAACCCAACCTGGGGCAACTGAGGGTAGAAAACGGGAACTCTGAAAAGTAATCGTTCTTAGTCTAACAAAAACTCGCCAAAGGAAGGCGCCAGAAACACAGTGCCACAACTGGAACCCACTTGCCTCGAAAAATCGCATGGGCCTTCTCAGTTGCCAAAGGACCCAAAAATAGAGGATACCCTGCTGGGGCCATGGCTAATCATGGCAAGCATGCACCGAACAGGTGGATTCGCTTTGGGCAAGTGACCAATGTGGTTTCCCTGCGTGTGCGGGAAATTGGGCCAAACCCATCCGGGGAGGCCAACACACAATTCGCAGCCCGTCAGCCCGTCCGCCGCGTTTGGCGCCTCCAAAGCCGCCAGCGAGAGCATGGCGAAGCGGTAGAGGTTGTCCCCATAGTCCTGCCCCGTCCTAAGACCGAGGGCAGAAAGGGTGCCGCCACAAAGGGGCGGCTTGGACCTGAAAGATGCCACTTTGCGGAGACACGTTTGAAAAAAACAAGAAGTGCCAAAGGACCCCAAAATGACTAAAAATGGAGTCGGAACTAGGTGAAGCTTTTGGCCTGTTGGCTAAAAATGGTTCCCAAGAAGGGGAAACCAAAAGGATCGGATACGCGGATACCGGTGGGCTTTGGGGCAAATCAGGCCCGTGGCCATCACACCTCAACCTCCCTCCCCCGGCCCCCGCCCAATAAAAAATGAGGGGCCCTGATTCAGGGACACAGAGCCATTTTCCCACTTCCCGGCCGAGTCCGACCTTTTCCCTGAGGTTCCAACATGGTGGATCAACGTCGTTCTTGCGACCGATGGAAACAACACGGTTGGAGAGGTGGGCCAAATCAAGGGGAAAAGCTCACTGGATGTCCACAAATCAAAAGTTGAAGTTTTTTCCCACGTGCCTCAGGTTTGCACAGCACAAAAGAGATCTAAACAAGACTTTCCGAGTGGATTGGCCCAATCAAGTGTATGTTTTGTCTTTTTTGCCACTAACAAACTGTGCCAACCCAAACAGTCCAAAGTCCCTCCACTTGGATAAGCCCCTGAACAAAATCCAGTAGTGACAAATTTAAAAACCAACAAGGACAAATGCGACATAGTCTGAAGCAAACGGAAGAGTCCAGGAGCCCAAGTGAGAAACTGCATCCGCGTAACCGGGCTCAACCTAACTTCCGAGCTTCCGGGAGTCGCAGTAGAGGCCATGGGGCCGGTGCTGGTAGCAGCCGTGGTCAAGCAGCACGTGGTCCTTGGATGTAGGCAGCCGTCTTTTGAGGCTATCCCTGGCGTGGTTTTCTTCCATGTGGTTAAGTCCAGTAGTGAGGAATTCCTTTTAAAACCAACAAGGGATTTTGTTTTATTTTATTTGTTTAACAATATATTCTTAAGAAAATGGAAGGTTTGAAGGGAAGCCAAAACGTCAGAACTCCAGTAAATCCTATCCGAGCAAATTATGATAATTCGCAATGAAAAACACCAAAAATACGGGGACCGTCATGAGTCAAAGTCATGCTCAGTTGCTGGCCACACAAAATGCTTACCACCCAAAGGTGCTCGCAAACAAATATGCCCCAGTAAATTCGGGAACTGAGCAGGCTAAACAAGACACCTAAAACACGCACTGGTGATGCTTGCATGATCCTTGCAAAGAAGATTCCATTGGTATCAACTATCGTTCAGAGAATGATAAGCCGCTGGTGTTAACACGTGTATGCTGGCGCCAATCAAACACCTCCCACCCACCCCCCGGCAATTAACATTTTTCTGGCAAGAGGAAAAGCCTATTGGATTTATGTGGAGGGCCCTGCATGTTAGAGTCATTAGAGGACCCCTTAATGGAGATCGTTTGCTCACGAAAAGGGGTCCACCCTGATATCAATCCGAAATTAACATTCAAGAGGGAAGACGCTGAAAAAGAAAGCCTAAGGGGCAATGTTTCTTGGTTGCTGTTGACCCCTCTGCAAAAAGTCCAACTTGTTGTGAGTCTAATGGACAATCCCACCTGTTTCAACAAAAAAATGACAGTGTCCCAAGATCCGCTACCAAGCAGCCATAAAGGTAAAGATTTCTCCGATCCCGCTCCCCGCACGCAAGCCTTTGGCTTCAAACCGCTCGAGTTGTTGGCCAAAGGGGCGCAACCCTTGCCATCGCCATAGCTCACGTACTTGTGCCTCGGATGGCCGGGACTGGACCCTCCTGACAGCAAACCACGGCCCAAAACAAGCAGACCAAGCAACTTGTCTGTGGTCAATTAGGTAGACATTAACGTCGGGTGGGGTGACGTTGGGCAAAGAGCTCGTCTCTGACCCGCCCTCCTTTGCGCCCGTCCAAGTCACATGCACCGAACTTCCTGGTCGCTCTTGTCCAGACGCACCCATGCCTCACAGGAGCCCAACCGCGCCGCATCATGGCGTGGATGGTGGCGACATCCGTTTAGCACGAAATGAAACCATGGTTGAATTACTTTCGTTGGCATTTACGGCAAAATCATTCCAGGCGTTCTGAACGGTGGTGCAGGATTTCGTCCACCCCCACCACCTTTCCCTTGCAAAACGGAGGAAAAACTGGCAGAAGATACGCAGAAACGGAGCTTTACCCTCCCAAACGAGCTTGGCCTGCACGAGCATCCCAATCCTCTCAAAAGTATGTTTTTGTTTGGCTCCGGACCCTCCAACATGACCAGGTCATCCTCTTGGTCTCCCTTTCAACCGGCCGTGGGTCAAAAACGGGTACCCAAAACGGGACCCTGGCAAATGGAACCCGGGATTAAAACCTGTCCCCTGATTATTTAATCTTGACCCGCACCCAAATCCCAGGATTTGGGCGCCCTTCCTGAACCGCCCACCGCGCGGACGGGCAAGCCGGCCAAGGCCGGGCCAAGGTGCGGAGCCAATGTACTTGAAGCCTTCCTCGGGGGGGGGGCGCGTGTACATGGGCACCACGGTCCTCGGCTTGCATCAAATGAAGTCGTCTTGGTGGACGTTGGGTTTGGGGAGGCGAAAACTCTCAAATTTCAGCAGTTCTCTCTCTCTCCCTCTCTTCCGTTGCATCCAGTCATGGTCCAGCAGCGCCAGGCAACGAAACAAGACTGCCAAAGCTGAAATCGAGTGGTTGGATTTCAACCACTCCACCACAAGAAGCAAACACGTAAAAAATGTGTCCCAACAACAATTACTTCGCTTCGAGCAACCCCCACCCTCCACACTCGCGAGCTTACGACCGTTACAACAAATCGGCTCCAAATTCCCATCCGCCCCCTCCCTTCCCATCGGCCACTTCCACTTGTCTGCGAGCCGATCTCGAGAACTCAAACATCGGTTCCGTTAACAAAAGCCAAGCCCCTTCCAAAAAGAAACCCGACGGGGGATTAAACAAAGTTGCTTATTCGCAACCCAAAGGAACACAACAGCATCACTCTTTCCGAGTCTCAGGGTGCACTCAAAACACGAAGGCACCAACATGGAATGTAAACCCAACTGTGCGCCGGGCGGGACATTAAGCGCGAGCTGCTGTTGCGGGATACTGACCGGATACTCGGCAGGATCCACCAAGGGATACTCAGCGGGATACTCGGCGGGATCCACTGGCGAGCTACTCTAGGAAACTCGGCGGGATACTCGGCGGGATCCACTGGCGAGCCGCTCTGGCGGGATACTCGGCGAGATCCACTGGCGAGCAGCTCTGACGGGATACTGGGCGGGATCCACCCGCGACCGGCTCTGGCGGGATACTTGGCGGGATCCACTGACAAGCTGCTCCGGCGGGATACTCGGCGGGATCCACTAAGCTGCTCTGTGGCGGGATACTGGGTGGGGGCGTGGTGTAGAAGCATCGCAAACGCGGATTCCAACATAAAATCTAACAACCCCTTCCTGTCGGGTGGGGAACGATGTCAAAAATTGGACGCTTCGCTCCTCGGGTCAATTTGTTTGGTGAGGGGTCCCGGCCAGACAAACCAAAAGGAACGCCGAAGCCATGTTTGGCGTACTCCTGCTTTGACACATACCCATAGTGAAACTCACACTGGTCCGAACCAGAAAGTGGCCAAAGTTTACCACAAAGCCGCAAAATCACGAAACCACCCCACCCCACATCATCCCCACCCCAATCTACCCTCCCCACCCCCCCACTGTCCCCCCATCCTACCCTAGCTCACCCCCACCACCCCCCACCACCCCCACCACCCCCCACCACCCCCCACATCCCCCACACCCCCACCCCCACACCCCCCACACCCCAGCCCCAGCGGCATGGTCTTGCGGCCCCGCAGGGCGAACTGCCGCGCCAGCGACGCCACCACGCGGCCCAGGCCCCCCGAGTTGGACCACGGCAGCAGCTCGCTGGCCGCCAGCACCTCGACTCGAATGCACTCGCATCCGATCCCGATCCAGTTCGATCCCGTCGACGGAGAGGCACACCTCCTCCAGTAGTTTGAGGGGTTAGAAGAAGTTGGTACCGTTTCTTTTTTCCGGTTTGGTCGATTTTAGTAGGGTCCCGAGCCCTCCCAAGCAAAGAAGGGGTGAGAAAGGGTACTGGGAGACCAGGCCTCGGATCGATCCCATCGATAACGGAGAGGGAGAGGGAATTTTAGGGTCCCCTATTAAGAGGCACACCTAGATCCTCCTGTAGAGAGGTTCGAATATGGGTACCACCTTTTTTCTGTAGTCTATTTAGTCGGGGGGGTTCCTCCCAACCAAAACAAGCGGGTGAGAAAGGGCACCAATTGCTGGGGGACCTAAACACGAAAAAAACCCTGAAAAGCTTTCGGGTCAAAACAAAACCAACACACTTTGAGGGTCCCCTATTCTCAGTTGCCCAAAGGACCCAAAACTAAAAAGGTTAACCTTTTGGCACCTCTACTAAAAATGGACCAAAATGGGAAAACCAAAAGGTCAAAAGGTCGGCTTTGGACAACTGAGTATTTTGAGGCAAGAAAAAAGCCCTTAAGCTTCTCGGGTCCACTCTGAAGGGCCGTGGGCCAAATCCAGTTCCAGGAGTCTTTCCTCGCCGCGGCGCAACTGGGATGTCGGCCTCGCCCTCTGAGCCACTGGTCTCGCCCCAGGACCTGAGCCACAGAACTTCCCGCCCCGGCGGCTCAAGACTGGCGTGGGCGGGCATAAACTCATTTGTTCAAAGCGAATCGACCGGATCTGGCCTTTTGGTTTTCCGATTTTGGCACCCATATTTAGTCATGGCAACCCAAAAGGTGATCACCTTTTAGTGCCAGGTCCTTTGGGCAACTGAGTAAAGCATTTTGGCCACTACTCCTAGGTCGATTCTTTCCAAAAACCGGCCGTTCTCCCTGGGTTTCCGAAGGTGTTCTGGAAAGAAGGATCCCTGGAAAGAATGGGGAAGGTACCCCTAGCTAGAACTACCATGCCCCTCCAAGAAAAGTGCGGAAAGTCCGAAGATGTTTTTTTTTTGGGGGGGGATCACTGGATTCCCCCTTCAAAAGTGGCAACTTCGAGGTGAAAAAAGGAAGTGGAGGAGAGGTTTGACCCTGAGAAATGCAGGGAGTAAGCAGCAATCAAACACAAGGACAAGGATGCGATTCTGGCGATTCATTGGCCTGACACATCACACACGACATGACTATCTCACGTGGGCTTGCTGTCAGTTTCGCTTCACCTCGTTCCTTTAGCCATTGATTTGTACTGTGTAATACTTCCCTCGCGAGTCAACCGAAATCTTTGCCCGCCCCGTGAGAACCAGTTAGAGCACGCTTTATAAAACAATAAAGTAATAAAGTACTAGGGGGCCCTGCAGCTTGTTTGTATGTTCAACCAATTCAAAAACCAGTAGGTTCAAGCCAGCCCGAACTTTTTGCTTGGCACTTGTGTGGGTTCGTGGGCCAATGCCACATTTCCACAAAGCTCAAGGACAAAGATTAAACCAGTTGTTCGAGGGGACCCAGCAACAGAAAGTTTGTCTCTTGGAACCTTGACTAGAAATGGACCAACTCAGGGGAAACCGTTTCAAAAGGTCGATGCGCTTTGGGCTGAGAGCCAACCAAGTCCCCCAACATGGTGGCAAAGTCCCGGTTTTCTTTTTTTGGGTCTCCCTTCAAAAAGAGACCAAGAAAGGGTCAAAATGACGCAAACACGCACACACAAATGAGTTTGACGTCCAGGCGCGCCGTGCGCTGCCCTTGCTGAGGCCCGCACACATCGGAGCCCGGCTCGGTGTCAGATCCCCGGTCCAGTGGCCTCTCTGGCTGGCTGATGTCGGCAAGCCGATCCTTGGGCAGCTCCGCGGGAAGATCCGCGCAGTGCCGGACCTGGCACAAGGAGTCAACCTTCTGCAAAGGGGCGTGTCTGTTTTTAGGGTCCCCCCCCCCACCCCCCCAAAAAAAGAAAAAAGAAGTGGGCTTCCCTATTGGCTTCCCTTGACAAACCACCAAGAAAGGGGTACCCTCGAAACACAGACCCAAAAGTCTTCTGTCTGTGGGAATGAAACAAGAAGTTGAGGGCCTCAGGCAGAACATGTTGAAACATCTATTGAAACATGCAAAAAAAGAAGAAGACAAAGAGCCAGGCCAGGGTTGAGAGAGCCCTTTCTGACACTAAACCCTGTTGGCTCCCTGCAGGCAGCCTGGGGCCTGGTGGTTCTCTCCCCTGCCATTTCGGCCCGGCCTCGGCGTCCCGGTCGCGGACAGGGACATCCGAGCGGCTCCTCGCCAGCGGGCTGAAGGTTCCGGCGGTTCCGGCGACAGGTCCGGCGGCGATGGGTCCGCGCGCAGAACTCACAGCTTTGGCCGGACCTCTCGGGGAAAAACTGCAAACCTGGTGGCAGAACGGGAAACCCAGAGGTGCTGAAACAGTGGTTGCGAAAAACTTCGTTGCCCGGCCTGGACACAGAGATCCACAAGGTTAGCCTTGACAAAAACACGTGGACCATAATGGTTGATTTTGGATTTCATTTCGGGTCGATTCGCTGTGGACCTCCTTGAGGATCGGATCTTTTTTCCGGCCTTGATATCTCGCAGGCGCCAAAGTGGACGCCGAGGCCGAGGGAGCGGCGCGGCGCGAGCGCACGGAGCTCGCCTCCGAGCCCTCGGTGGCCGCAGCGGGCGGCGCCGCCGCGGCCCGCGGGCGCGGGCGCGGCGGCCGCGCGGCGGGGCTCCCGGGCGCCCGAAGGGTGGCGGTCCACGCTCTCGATGATGGATCTGCCGTCCTCCTGGGCGCGACTTCATCCCAGCCAAGACGAAACCAAGCCTTGCCACTGCGAAGTTGGAAAAAGGAATAGTGCCGAAGTGCGGAAAAATGCCTGAACTAGGCCAAGAACGAGCTAGAGCAACCAAGTCTCGCGCCGATCATCTGCAGACTCTTTGGTGTTGCGCTTTGGAAATTCAGCTGGCTGGGTGCCAATACTGCCTGTGACAGGGTCGAAACTCCCTCTGTCCACGGTCATGGCTTCCTTATGAGGAACCTTCACCAGCGCTTGCCCAAACTCCCTGAGTCCAAACAATGAACGCATTCCGAGACGAATGACCATTCCCAACCTCAGTTGCGCAAAGGAATTGGGGGTATGACTATAGAAATGTGCCAACATCGGAAAAAACAAAAGGGTCATTTCAGGTCGATTTGCTTTGGCTAGGTCCTCCGGTAGAGAGGTTAGAATAAGGGTACGCTTTCTTCTGTAGTCTATTTTAGTGGGGGGGAGCCCTCCCCTAAAAAGGGCACCACTGGGAGACCAAGCTTTGAACCACTGAGCAAGCCCGAGCGAAAGTCGTTTCACCACGCGCCTGGCCCACGGACACTGGCTTCAGAGCTCGGCTGCTCGCCCGGCACATCTCGACCCGCGATCCGCTCCGCGCTCCGCCGGGCGACGCCGGGAGAGTGGCGGTCCACGCTCTCGATGGATCTGTGGCCGTCCTCCTGGGCAGCAGCTGTTCATCGCGGGTGTCGTTTTTGGAGGGCACCCCCCCTTGTTGGTCTGAAACAAGGGGAACCAAAGCAAAACCACCATTTGGATGGGGGCTTTCTAAAAAAGATGCCCAATTGGTGCTGGAGAGTTACTCCACATGGACCGGCGGCTCTTTCAGCCCCGCCCATCCAAACCACCCAGGGCCGAACCGGCAAACTCGCGGCGACATCACGCCCAGCCGCCAAGACTCCAGAGCTGGGTGTATATTTTTTCATTGGGCCCCAAAAGGTGGGGATTGTCCTCTTAAAGCCGATCTGAACACGGTTGCTCTAAAAAAGGACCGGCCCAAATTAGAACCCCGATTGCTAACAATCCCGGCAGAATGGGAGCTGCGCTAGACAGATCGTAGGGGCACAGCACCCAATGAAAAGACAACGAGAATGAGGCAACTAGAGCAACCAAGCCGCGCGCCGATCATGGGCAGGTTCTTTTGCGTTGCGCTTTGAGAATTCAGCTGGCGTGCCAATACCTGCAGGGTCGAATCGCGTCTACGGCTCTTCAACAATGCTTGCCCTTTTCTTCCCTGAGTCGCAAATGTCTTACGTGGCACAACTAGGACCCAAAACCTTAGGCAAAAACCTTGGTGGGCCCATGAGTCGACCAGACCATTCTAACCCCAAGCTTAAAGGTCGTTTCACCACGCGCCTGGCCCGTGACGGACGCCGACCTCAGGGCTCTCGACAACCCGCCGCGCATGGAGCTCGCCGCTTCCGGCGCCAGAAGGGTGGCGGTCGACGCTTTCGATGGATTTGCCATCCTGAGACTGTCCAACCAACGTTGGGGCGCAGGGCTGTGGGAAATGACAACTGTGATGCAACAAAAAGGCTCCCAAAGATTAACGCCCCCATGGAAAGTAGGAGATTCCCTTGTATGACAGAAGTGGGGATAAACTCCTTGATCATGTTCTTGAGCAAGTGGAAGTTTAAAAGGGGCTTAAAAAGCCCTGAGCTGTCAAGCACCCCTGTATGAACGAATATGTCAAGGCTTGACAAGCTGACCCTCCGCGAATGCTTCTTATGCCACTGGCAACAGCCCAGGCAACGTTTCACGGGGTAGCCCCTCGAAACGTCACCTCGCCCAAAGGAAGCTAATGCCCAGAACCCACCCAAAGGTGGCCCGTGGGCGTGCTTACCATGTGCCAGGCATATGTGCAGTGCTGAGCGGGTGCACTCAAGCGTCCTCCAAAACTACCCTCTATCTTGAAATAGTTGTGCCAAACCGCCAAAAGTGGGCAGGCGAGAACACACCTCAAGACTCAAACCTTCCCAAAAGGTGTCGGACACAACAGGGCACCCCCAAAAGTCAGCAAGAAATCCTCTTGGTTTCCCGTTGCAACCCAACACTTGGACCCCGTTTCGTCCCACTCCCGGAATCGACCACGGCTTCCGGACGAGGGGGTTCTACTTCGAGTGAGAAGAAAGTGGGGCGAATGACCCACTAGTTGTTTTTCTTGATCCGTGGACTGCCTTGGAGATCCCAGGGGAAGAACAAACAACACCCCACTTCAGAAAACCCAGCTTCCCGACAGGTACTTCGAGTATGTAAAAAGAAAGTGGGGTGAATTTCCTTGATCCGTGCACTGCCTTCCCACACAACAAAATGAAAAAGACACCCCACTGAAGAAAACCCAGCCGGTCACTGCCAAGGCTCCCGCTCAAAGTCCCTGCCCCCGCGCTTGCCAAGATCCGACGCCGACGTGCCGAACGCGCCTCTCAGGGTGGAGCCGACGGCTGAAGCAAAATGATTGGCTTCCCTTCTTCCCCTTTGGCAACCCAGCAAAAGGGGCTGCCCCGGCAAAGAAAAAAACATCCATATACTCTTTTAAGAAAAAAAACACTGTTGTTTGCTAGGGCCACCGTGGCCCACGGTGGCCCCATCGTTAATAAAAAAAGCGCCTCCTTTTCAGGCTTTTCTGCGGGCAGGCCGACCCGCCTCTAGCTCCACCAGCTCCACTCCGCGCGCTCGCAGCCGCCGGGCTTGCGGCTTTGGGGTAGGCCTGCGGCACTTTTTCTGCCGGCCACTCGGCAAATGATACCGTAACTCACTCGCCCCTTGCGAACCTGGAAAGAACCAGGTGGGCCCCAGGAAAAGAAACAGCATACTTCCAGTAGTGATGAATTCCTTTTAAACCCAACAAGGGAACATAAAAACATAGTCTTAAGCAAATGGAGGTTTTCGGGGCATGAAAGAGGAATGGGGCCGAGAAGGGGAGAAACCCAAAGGTGGTTACAGGTCGCTCCGCTGACGGAGGCCTTTCTACTGAGCGCAGGTCCTGTGGTTGCTTTTTGGGCCAGGTTCCGGGGCGTATGGGGAACGCGCAGGAGCCCTTTGGCCACACAAGTATGATGCAACCAACCCAAGCCCCATCAGCCACCTCCAATAAGCCTCACACCCCATGAGCGGGCCCACGAAGACGAAAGGGGTGCTGAGAACCTCCCTGGTGAAAGGAGTGCTCTCATCAGCTCACGTGGTTTGGATTGGTTTCACTCACTTGGGGACATAGTCTTCCAGCAACATGGACAGGCTATGCCCATTGATTCGAAAGGTGCGCAGGCCAAGGCTCACCTCCCTCAGTTGACCCAGCAAAAGGTGATCACGATTGAAAACCGCTGGGCCGATTCGTCAGCTCCGGTCGATTCGCCAACAGGGCCTTGATGAGCTGAATTTGACCCCCGAAACCAGTCACCACAGGCGTGCCTTCATCCCCAACGTAGGCCCCGCCCAAAAAAAGGTCTGCACTTATTGTTCCACCACAAAAAAGGAAAGAACAAAAAGAAGAGCAAAAAAGAGGGGGGGAAAAAAAAAGGTCTTCCCCAAAAGTGCCTAGTGACCAGGAAGTGCCGCGCCGGCTCGTCCCCCCACGCCTTGAAAGGCGCCCGGCGAATCGCCACGGCCACGGGGGCCCTTGCCATCGGGCTGTGGCGGCTCACGGCCTCGATCCTGGGGCGAAGCTGAAGCCGCGGGAGCCCCTCCGAAACCGGCTTTCAGAAAATGCCCGGGGATAAAACAAAAATCCGGAGGCTGGAAGGGTTGGGGGGGGCTGGGGGGGTTGGAGTTGGGGGGGGCTGGGGGGGTTGGGGGGGTTGGGGGGGTGGGGTGGGGTGGGGCTTGGGGCTTGGGGGTTGGGGGGGGGGGGGCCCTTTAAAACCAACCGTCCGTCCTTCTGAAACAACACACACAAGTCCGGTGGGGATAAAAAAAACCGTTTAAACCCAACAGGGGGGAAAAATACAGATATTCATTTCAGCAACAGGAAGAAGATGCTGGCCTCGAAAGTGGCTCGGGCAATCGAACGTTTCTCACCATAGATTTCGGATCAAAGACCACTGGCTGGGACTTCCAATGAATAGATCCGCCTCGCCAGCCGCATCGGTTTCTTCTCTCCCGCCGTTTCTGCACCAAAAAACCTCAAATCTTGTGGTCGGCTTCGCCCGCCGAAAGAAATGCGGTATGCTTTTATTTTTCTTGGTTTGCGTGTTGAGTATGGAACCCTGGGGGTCCTGGAAGACGATTTTCTGTTTCAAGGGACCCCCGAACGTCAGGTTCCATGTTGGTGGGAGGGTCATCCTCGAATGATCTTCAACGGGCGGAGGTCCGCACCGATTTTTTATTGGGGACTATGCGCCACGAGACGTGGCGCCGGGATTTGAGGCGGGGCTCGGGGCGGGGTTTCTGCTTCTTGCGGCTTAGGATGCTGAAAGGGTCCCGCAAGAGACTGAAGTGTCAAAAGGTCTGGAGAGTACCAAGATGCACCAAGCGAACAACAAAGGCAAACAAAGATTCCTGGGTCGCTAGGTCGACTTCTCTATTTCAACTGTCGATCTGAAATCAGTGAGGTTGTGGCACTGCTGCGCCTTAACAGGGAAGCCCCTGAAACCCCATCAATAAGGGCTCCAGGCGGCAACTCCTCAAATACCCGTATTTAAGAGGTTGGACCCCCCCCCCAGCAAAGTGGAACTCCGGGTGACGCAACGGCCGGCAGCTCAAGTTGCAGGCCAAAGCATGGCTCCACAGAGCAATCATAGGGGAAGGGGGGCCAGCCCAGTAAATACTGCGTGGCTGACTGGCCAGACCCTTATTTCAGGATTGCTGGGTCGAATTCATAATCTACCCAGACAAATGAGAGTGGACGATTCAGTGTACCAAAGAGGAGGAGCACGAGAGTCCGAAAAACACGCGCAGAATACAGAGACCTCTCCCTCACTCGCATGGCCTCGCGAGTAGCCGGTCGCTCAAAAGACCCTAACTTGCGGCCTATCAAACCACGTTTCGTGATCTCGCGTTGGTTGGGTCGTGGAAGGTGGAAGAGAAGCGCTTTCTTGGGGGTTCCTTGGGGCTGGGAGCTGTTTGGTCAACACCTCGTAGTGAGCCAAAAGAAAGCAAAGCCAACCCCAGGCGTCGAAACCCCACCAAAAAAAAGCACAAACGCTTCCGAACACCTGCAGGAGAAAAAAAGGAGGAAAAAAAGCGATGTAACCATTCATCCGAGCCAACTCTGGCAGGCACACGGCTTTAACGCTTTCGGTCAGGCTTCGTTTTGGTCGCCTTTGTCCGACTTGCAAACCTCTTTAGGGTTTGCAATCCCTGAACACCTGAACACCGCTTGTCCCAAGTCTTGGCCGTCCTCAGCTCCCCTACGAAAAGTTTAGCTTTTAGTGCGTTGAACGGACACCCCCCCAAGACCCTCCAAAGCGAAACAAAACGAACCATGATCCTGGAGGGCCACATTCGGTCAAATTCCCTTTTTCGACTCCAAAACCCCAAAATCACAACCAGTTGTCCCAAGTGGTCGCTGAGTGGCACGTTGCTCGAGCCGCCTTTCTCGAACTGCTTCGCCAGCGTCGCCACCGCGTGGCGCAGGGAGCCGCTCGATGCCAGCTCTTCAGGCGCCAGCGCCTATGGCTCCGACCACATGTGCAGGACATGTGCGTGGTGCTGTGGACGACATCCGCTTCGCAGCAGCTTGAAATCAAGGAAAGCCATATTGTTTGTTGGCATTTGCAGGGGAATCCAATCATTCCAGGGTTTCTTAGGAGATTCTTAGGTCTTAGGTGGTGCGAAATGGATTTCGTCCATCCACAGTATCACAGAAAAGTGAGTTTATTCTCCACCCCCATTCTGCACCCCCCCCCCCCACCACGATTTCTGAGTGGCCACAAAAAGTCCGTCGACTTCTGACATAGATCGTTGTGAACACGTGGCAGGAACAGCCCAGTTCAGGGGAACCATTGTGTGGTGATCTTCATTGCCTCAAGAGGCTGACTGATGATAGGCGGCTTCTTTCGCATTTCAAACCTAGGGCACACCCTGCTCAGGGAGTGCCAGCCAACCAACCAACCAATCAGCCAACCAGCCAGCCAGCCAGCCAACCAACCAACCAACCAGCCAACCAACCAGCCAACCAGCCAACCAACCAACCAGCCAGCCAGCCAACCAATCTCTCACATCCTGAGCGGTTACCAGCCAGCCAGCCAGCCAGCCAACCAATCTCTCACATCCTGAGCGGTTGGCCAAAAAAAGGTCCAAACTTGCTGTTTACCACTACAGTTGTCTTCCCAAACGTAGGAAGTCCAGCAACTCGGGAAGTGAGATCTATCCCATTTAGCGCCAGTCTTCACCAGAAACGGGAAAATGGAACCGTAAATGGAATTCCGCCACCCCCCCCCCCTCGCCCAATCCCATTTTGAGGGGGGGGATGACCCAAGTGTCAAGGGGTCCCTTTCCAGTCCACTGGTCTCTTGGGGCGCTGCGTCTCCCTCAGAGCCGCTCAACTCGCCCCAGGACCTGCGTGCGGCCAGTGACTCAGCGGTTGGGGAAAATCCATCCGCTTCCCTCTCGGCGGCAAGGAGTGGTTAGACGGGTCAGTCTGAACCACGGGTTCAAACCCCAATCTCTCATTGGTTTGGAGTGGTGCAAGAACCACGGGTTGAAACCCAATCCAAACCTCCCTGCAAGAGTCTCAATCGGCCCAGACCCTTCCTTTGAACATTTGGTAAATATGGGGGGCCCTTGAGAAAGCCGGATCAGAACACTTCGAAAACCACACGGCAACTTCTCGGGACAGATTTTGGCAAGTGCATAGGAATCCACGCTTATCGTCTACATCAAAGCCCCAACTTGCAGCCTTGCCATGACCTCCCAGAACCCAGCCAAACTTGGAGGCCCACTAACCTCCAAAGTAACCTGCATGAGGGGTCCTGGAAGACTGTTTTCCTTCAGAAGGGACCGAGTCTCTGGTGGGGACAGGAGGCCTCAACAGCCCAGCAGACCAAACCACCCCTCACAACTCAGCAGCTCAGCCCCGCACACTTCCGACTCCTCCCGGTCCAGCCACTCCCGCCGCGCTGAAGCGGTCCCGGTGGCCGCAGGGGGGGTGCGGCTTCCGGCATTGAAGCGAGCGGCGGAGGCGTCCAAGACCTGAGTCTCAACGTGACTAGGTCCTCCAGTGGAGATCTTAGAAGAAGTTGGTACCGTTCTCTTTGTTGGTTTTGTCTATTTCAGTAGGGGGGTTTCCTCCCAACCAAAAAAGGGGTGAGAATTGGCACTACTGGGGGACCTGGGTGAGGATAAGCAGGATATGGGTGGCTCGTCGTTTTTTTTTTTCCTTCTTTTTTCCTCTCGGAGTCGCTACCCCCTTTGGTTTGGGTGAAGGGGCTAAGGGAACCAAAATGAAAACAACCACGTTGACCTTTAGGTGAGTCAAAATCAAAACCCCAGCCAAAAAGATATTTAACAGAGCCACGCAAAAGAATAAGAGACCGGCGGAGAAGGCAACCATTTATGGCAGGAGGATTACGGGATTTTCCCCTAACCTTCATCCCCCGGTTTGAGCAAGTGGCTCAGATTGGAGGATATAACCAGGGTTATGAGTGGGGTAGCTAAGGTTAGTGCCCTTGCCATGGCTATAACCTACTTCAGCTGGCCAGTGCCTTTACAACCATGGTTATAACCTACTTGCACCCTGCGGCATCATCAACCAACCAGGTTATAATCATCCCAGTGGATCCCAGTCAAGCTACCATAGCAGGTAACCCTCCGCCATTTTCCTTTGGGCGTTTAAAGGGCGGCTTCATTGGAGGCCTATAGGGAAATGGAATCACTGCGTATGGTCACAAGTGGAGGAACTGGGGTTAAGCGCCCTTGTAACCTTGACTGTAACCTACTTTCCTGACGTTCGTTGGTTGAACGCCCGAGCGGGGTCGCGGTAGTGAGAAACAAGCCTTCTTGTGAGCCCAAAGTGGGATTTCCATTCCAACGACCTACTTTGAAGAGGGGTCCATTGCAGAAAGGCCCCAAAACTCAATTTCCACCACGGGTGGCATGACCAAGGGGCTACTTGAGGCAGAGTACTTAGCTGGTTAGCAACCATGGTTATAGGCACTTACACCTGCTAGCTGCCCTCTAGATGGATTGTGACCAGGTTACTAGCTACTTACTAAGTAAGCTGCCTCCTCCTTGAGTTCAAAGTAACGAATTCATTGAAACAAGTGCAAATTCGGGCGCAATCTTGCAGCGTCCCCTTCCCAAACTTCGACACATCAGGGCCCGAGATGGAAGGATTGGCCCATCCCTTCGCTGGAGGATTTCAAACTGGGCTCGCCTGCTGATATTCAGGGGCACCCGTGACACACCAAGTTGTGGGTCATGACCCCCTTTTTGAACTGAACCGTGGTTGTGGAAATCGCCCTTGTGATACGAACATGGGTAATTTTTCACGAGCAAGTTCTTCACTTTCAAGGAGGTAGCCAAAATCCCAATTTTTCGCATGGGAAGCAAATGGCGACAAGGGGAATGCACGCCCATGACCTGAACATCTGGGTGTCTATTTTTTGAGGGTACCAGTATATGTGTTCTTTATGGTATTCTCTCGTTCTTTCTTTTTTGGGAGGCGGGGGTAAATAAAATGACATAAAACAAAAACCACAAGTGTGGAGCGGGTGATTTCCCGCAAAAAGCCGGACCCCTCTGGCCGTTCTCGCGCACCGCGCTCGCCTCGCGGTGCGGCGCCGCCGCCAGCCCGGGCGGACGCGGCAGCCCGGGCCCGCTGCCGGAGCCGCGCGCAAAGGCGGGGCCCTTCGGACCTGGGGCGCGACGAACGGCGAGGGCAAGACTTCTGGACTCGGAAAGGGACAAGTTTCTAGGCTGGAATTAGGACCCCAGCAAAAATATATATCTTGTTTGCCTGGTTAGTGGAAAACAAAAGGGACCCCAAAAAAAGCAACAAAGCAAAAAGGGGAGCTAATTCTGGGGAAGGTTTGACTTCGATGACTTCTGGGACTTCTGGCTTCTGGGGCAACAAGTTTCTCCGAGCCAGAAGGACATATTTTATCCCAATTCTCCGGAGGGGTGCCCTGGTTTGAGAATTACACAAAAAAAGACTCCCCGACGCCAGATGTTTTTCCCCGGATACTGGTGTTCAGCTTCCTAATTTTCGGAAGTGAGTCAGTTCCCACTATTTTCAACCAGTGTTGTTGTTGTTTTTCTCGAACACCAGGAGTTTCCGAAGTGTTTTGATGGTTTTCTGAAGAGAAGGATCCCTGCAAAGGCTGCAAAGGTGTTCGCAGACTCGCTTGCCCAGTGTGGACCTGCACATAGAAACGGTTAAGCCTTTGGGGCCGTGACTGCTGATAGACAAACTTGGAAAACCCGCAGCTCAGAAGGTTGGCTTTGAACAGCTGCGAAATCCCCCAAAAAGGTTAGAAATACGCCCCCAAGTTCGACCAACTTAGCAAATTTGGTTAAAAGCTTGGCAAGGACACTAACCCCAGCTACCCCAGCTACCGTGGTTATAAGTTATAACATACTGACTGGGTTGAACACCCAATCAGAAAGGCTCCACCCCAAAAGGGTCTCCTACAAAGCCAAGGGCAAACCCTCATACTGTGGGTGGACGCACTCCATTTCGCACCACCTAAGATCGAAACCCCGGTTTCCAAATTTTCCACGGCAAAAGCGCTTTTTTTTCGTCCATCAGGGTCTCAGACCCGGCCTGGCGCCCTGCTGGCCGTGGAAAGGCTGGAAGGCGAGCTGCCGAGGCCGGGGCCGGGGACTGGACGCCCAAGGCTCACCTGGAGCACAAAGCACTAGGCACGCGGGGGCCACAAAATTTGAGACATCCACGAACTTTGAAGGGAAAAACACGTGGTGGTGGGTAGGGCCCGAAAATGATTGATAAATGAATAAATAAGAAAATAAATAAATATACATACATACAAAAGAGAGAGAGAGAGAGAGCGAGAAAAAGAGAGAGAGAGAGAGAGAGAGAGAGAGAGAGAGCGAAAGAGAGAGATAGAGAGCGAAAGAGAGAGATAAGCCCTAACACCTGGACAAGTCGCCTCGACGCTCTCGCCGACGTCTCGTGACCTCTGGGTGGGCGACCCAACGCCAGAAGCCGGGCGCCGAGCGCCCGAGTGGCGGTCCACACTTTCGATCTTGCGGCCATCCTCCTTGGTTGACGTCTAGGGATGCCCCCACTTGCGATACACTTGGTTGACGTTGGAAGGGGAGCAGAAAAAAATAAATCTTGGCAGTTAAGTGGTTGCATTTCAACCACTAAGCCACAATAAGCAACAATGCAAAATGTTTCCCAACGACAACCATGTAGAGGGGGCCGTTCTGGGGGTGAGGGGTCCATTTCCCCACTTCGTTGAACGAGTCTTCCCCATAAAAAGGGAAAATGGGTTGCAATAAATTCCATTCTTAAGCAGGGCTGTGGGGAATGACCACTTCTGTGATACAACAGAAAGGGCTTCACAAAGACTATTTTGTTAATAGAAAGAGGGATTCCCTTGTATCACAGAAGTGGGGAGAAACCCCGAGTGATCCCACAACCCTGTTCTTAAGGGGCCCGAGCCCCCCGGGGCCAGCCCAATGACAGCTTTGTCACTTTCATCTGAGCGAAAAGGAGCCTACCCAACTAACATTATTCCTGCCAAATCAGCGGAAACAGCATTTGGCCGGTCCAGCACTGCCAAAAACAAAAAGGACGGACAAGCAAACCTCAAGCCAAAGGACCTTGAAATGGAACCTTGACTCATGTTTTCTGATTCCGGCCCATAGTTCCCGAACCTTACAATTCAAAACGGGCATGTGCCACTTTTGAGGGCAGTAGGTTGCTTGAAAGGGGAAGCAACGACCCATTTTGGAAGGGTGTGGCTCCCCATTTTGGAAGCGGGTGCTTAAGAGCGGAACCAATTTTCTGCCAGTACAGAATCTTTAGGGAACACTTATCATGGTTGTCTGAATTCCCTCCACGACCATCCCTACCAACCAAGTAAAGGGCGTCTTGATCATGGCGCCAAGGGTTTTGTGATTTTCGAGGGTACTTTTTTCCAGGTTTGTTTCTTGGAACCACATTCATGGGAAAAACCACCACAACGTTTAAAGGATCCGAATCCCCTTCTTGGCACATCCCAAACCCCCGAACAATCCACGTCATTACCCACATTTTCCAACTTCAAATGTTGGTTTCAAAAAAGGTTTCAAAACGAGTGTTGGTACATATCACCTACAGTCGGATTGCCTGCGACCAAAAGGCCGAAACGACTCAAATGTCGCTTTCAAAAAAAAAGTTGGCACATATCTGGGGGAACTACCAAAAAAACACCAACCTGAAACTTGCGGTGGTTAAGGGGCTCTTCCCCACATAAACTCACCATTTGGGGTGAATTCGGTCGTGTGAGGTCGTTATAATCCACCCATGCCATCCCCCCTACCTTGAGAGGCTCCCCCAATTCCATATTGAAGGGGGTGGGGAGTATGCCCTAGAATGAACCCCTTATTTGTGGGGCAATCAACCGTTAGTTGGCGGCTTTGTGGGAAATCAGCCCTGGGACCCCCGGTCGCCTGGGACCTCAGCCGAGCCTCGTGCCGATCCTCCCGGATCGGCCGCCGATCCGGCTGGGAAGCAAGGGCTCCACGGGCCGAGGCCGCCGAGGGCGGCGTGGGGACGGACCTCCTAGTCGGCCAAAATTTCTTGGTTGACCTTGGGTTTGGGGAGCAAAAACTCACAAAGTTTAGCAGTTAAGTGGATTGGAGTTCAACCACTAGGCCACAAGAAGCAACAATGCTTCAAATGGTTCCCAACAACAACCATGAAAAGCTGATCACCTTGTGGTTTGGCGCAAAATGTCGCCCTTTTCGGGGGTACTCTTCAAAAAAAAACAAAAGGAAATGGAAGCCCATTCTTGGGGTTTCCTCAATGTGAGGTTACCAGGAATGCTATGACAACATGAGTCTTCATTCTAGGGATGCATTCCTACCCCATGCTGGTCAACAATGGGAACCCTGGATAAACAACCCCCATCCAACGGCCCTTCTTTGTGCAAGCAAACAGATGTTTCTGTCTCACTGGAATGGCCCAAACATTTCCAAACCAAGTTTTAATCGTCCAGGAGCAGGGAGCTTCAATCGGTTAACGAAGTCAGAGGAGACCGAAGCAGTGAACGACATCGGGCATGAACCCTAAAAAACTAAAAAACTCGGGGGATGGCTGGGAACCACCAAGTAAAGTCCAGGGACTCAGGCTCGGAGACCCCCCCCCCAAAAAAAAAAAAAACTGAGAACAAAAAAACAGGCAGCCAGAGGTAAAAAGCTTCACCGGCTCCGGCGGCTCTCCTCCCGCTTGGAAGGGCCCGGCCCTTGATGGCCGCGCCGGCCCCGTGTCGGCTGGCTTCCGTCCTCAGAAAGCTCAATTTCGCTATTTATTTACTTTTCGACCTAATTGCTCATTCATGTATTTGTTTTGGGCGGGCGGGGCGGGCAATCTCTTGTTTGGTAACTTTACAACCTTTGAAACCCTAGTTATGAGAAGCACCCGTTTGGGTGCGGCACGAATGTAGTGATTAGACATCACCTCTCCAACAGAACACATCTTTTGAAATCGACAGGACCCGTGCCGCGCCCCCCAGAACGGCAATGGCTTCCTTAAGGGAACAGCCTTTTTCGGCTTCCTTTAACAGTGAGCCAAGAGTTGCAAGTGTCTCACCAAAAGATCGATGCTTGAGAAGGCACGGCCAAGGGTTGGCGAAACCCTGGAAATCTGCGGAAGACATCCGCAGAAAAAGCCCGCTCGCTTGATCGCAATCATGCCCGCTATGTCTGCCCACCGCGAAAAACCGACGCTCTTGGGGGCCATTTTTGAGGGTTCGCGGGATGCAGGGGATACAAGGGATGCAAGGGATGCTGGAAAGCCTGGATGCTGGTAATGCAGGAATGCTGGGGATGCTGGCGAAGTTAACACAAATGCAGAGCCCGTCGCAAGGCCAGGGGTGTCGGGGATGCTTTGGGGTCCAGATGTTTGGGCTGGTATGCGTGCAGGTGATGCAGGGGATGCTGGGTGTCAGCGGTATACCCCGCTCTTTGAGCTCGAAGACACACGGCCCCGCTCTGTGAGCTCGAAGACACACGGCGCAGCTGGACTTTCAACTGGCCCAAAAGGTGATGTTTATCCGACAGGCGCAAGCATCAGGGCGAGCACCAACCACCGGGCCATTCCGGCACTGATGTCAGATCAAACCCCAGCCATGCTAGCCACAGTCGCCACACCACGTGCGGATGGTGTCCAGGGCCTTGCTTTCAACCTTTGACTTTTTGTCTTTCCTTCCAAGGCTTGTGCATTCCAGCACACACTTGTCAGGATGCTCAAGTGGGTTGCCCCTCTGTCGTTCAGAAGAATGGAACCGATGCTTGTGACAGGAGCTCCCTCAGGCCAAGCCCTGCAGAAAGTGGGAGGGCGAGTGGAACACCCTGGTCGTTCACCTGATCCAACGGCATCAGCCAGTCCGCAACCGACAGGTAATCCGCAGGGACCGCCTGAAAGATGAGCTGGGGAACGCCAGGAATTGTGCAAGGAGCTCGAGCAAGGCTACCCCGCAAGTTCCTCCGGAAGTAGCCGGCTGTACACAAGCTCGCCGTCGGTTTCCATATCGAGCCCGGGGTATCCAAACCCAAAGGTGCTAGGGTGTGCTTTCGGCCCGAACGCGCAGCGCAGAGGACCAGCATGCGACTGAAGGAACGCTCTCCCTCAGCATGCACCCAAGTGGAACAGGAAAGAACACGTAGTCGCTTGTGCCTGTGTAACCAGAACAAAACTTTGGCCCCTTCAGGATCCACAGCTATGAGGTTCTGGGGCCTAATCTACGGAGTTGGCGACATGAGAGGGGCAGCATGCGCTGTGGATCCTGCGGGGCCAAAAAAAATTCTGGTTACACAGGCGCAAGCGACGACGTGTTCTTTCCTGTTCCACTTGTGTCATCCGCCTTGAAGGCGAAATTCCCTCTGCTGATTGGACTGGTACACTCGTGCATCCCTGTCTCATTGGATGAGGATATGCCAGTGCCCCATACGACCAGCTCAAGACGACTTGGCCCTCGCGGTGCAGCTGAGGGTTCGAGGAAACTCTCGAGCCCCACCGATGCCTGTCATGGTCCTATACCCCTCTAAACCCCCCAAAACCCCAAACCCCCCCCAACCCCAAACCCCCCCAACCCCCCCCCCCCCCCAAACCACCCTCAAACCCCCCAACACAAACCTCAAACCCCCCAACCCCAAACCCCCTCAAACCCACCCCAAACCCCCCACACCCCCCACCAACCCTCCCCCCGGCTTCGCCGCCGCATGCGCCGCCCTCCGCGCGTCCTGGCGCGCTCCGCCGCCCGCTCCATCCTCTCCACCGCCGAGGCCACCGTCGCGGCCGCCGCGGCCACGCCGGCGCTGGAGGCGCCGCCCCGCGGCCGCGAGGCGCCGGCGCCGGCGCCGCCTCGGATGGATGGCTTGGAGGGTGGCTGGGGCTCCACCCCCAAAAAAAAACATTTGCTTAAGGCCCCAGGAAAAAATACAAAAATATTGCCAGTAGTGTTGAATTCCTTTTAAACCCAACAAGGGAAAATATAGAATATTCTTAAGCAAATGGAGGAACACCAAGCACCAATCCGAAACACTTGGGGGCAAGCAGATCCGGTTCAACAAAAAGGGGGGCCGGGTGCAAAGAAAAGAATTAAGCGGCGGGCCAAAAAAACCAAAACCGCCGATCGATCCAAACCGGTGGCCAATGCCTATCACATCCCGCACCGTCCTTTGGGGCGCTTCTCCGATTCTTCGAACCCGGTTCTCCGAAGCCGGTTCTTCAATCGGCTTGTAGGGGGTGAGAGCTGCCGAAGTGTCCGACCAATGTTCCGTAGGGGCCAGGCCCCATTTCAAGAAAACCAAGCAGATTGCCCAAACTCTTTCAAAAACCCCCGGGAGTAAAAGAACCTCCAGAAATGTGGTTGTCCTTTTTGGTTTCCCTTGAAAACTATGAATCAATAAGGGAACCCTCAAAAAAATGGCACGCCCGTTTCTTTTGAGGGTCTGCCGGAGATGTGGCTTGGTTGATCTTGTGCTTGGCTCTGAAACGGGAGCCGCCTGCTCCGGGCCCAAACGCTGAACAGAGTCCCCCACGGCCCCAAATGAACCAGAGACTGGCAATCTCAACTGAAACAGGTCAGTCTCTCCTTGTTTTTGGGTTCCCCAAAAGATGCTTGTTTGAAAAGCAACCCAAAAGGAACCAAAGCCGAGGTTCTCCGGCCGCTTCGCTCAGTCGTCCAGGCCGTCTCTTCTTGGCGAGGGCTGGATCCTGACTCGTTGTTTTCCGGCTGAAGCCCTGACTCGCCTTTCCAATTCTTGGCCTAGGACCTTCCATTTGTTGTTGTTTGTTCGCCGCCTGGAAAAATGAGCATACATGTCTCATGTCCAGTGAAATCAGGGGAAAATAACAAAGATTCACTTCAGCAAATGGAAGGGACTACCCAACCTGGCAAATGAATGGTGACAAGTGAGGAGCCCACTGCGACTCAATTAGGCGTTCAAGAACTCTGGTCAATACTGGGAGCCCCGGACTCATCAAACCTATCCTATTTATTGGGTCGCCCGCACAAGGAAAGGATGACACCCCCTATTGATCAACCGGGTGCCGTTCCAGAAGTCCTGGCAGCTCCTTAGCTCCCTCTTCAAAAGCAAACTTGGATACCAGCGCCATAGCTCCCTTCCAACCACCAGCGAGATAAATCTGGGGTTGACATGGCCATGGGTCAAGAGCCAAATCGCACCCCCAGTGAACATCCCAATCCCCAATAAAATCTTGACTAAAATGGGTGGTGAATTCACCTACCAGCCAAAATGGGATCCAAAACGGTTTTGGCAACCACGGCCACACTACTTAGCGCCGAGGCTCTCCGGCCCTCAGCTCGACCTGTCGACCAGCCGGCCGTCTCGCCTATCTCCGCGCCAGAGTTGCTTCCGTCGGCCACACCCCGCCGGTGTGCGCCGGCTGGGCGGCGAGAGCCGTGCAGATGCTCATCGTCTTGAGGAAAGCTCGGGCAGGATCCTGGCGAAATCTCTCCGGCAAAGCCCCGGGGGTGTCCTTTCCGGTGAACGTATCCTTTTTACTTTTGCGGGTGAACGCCCCGTTAAATCAATAGATCGGGCTCTCAGTATTGACCAGAGTTACTGAGCAGTTGAGTCACGATCGTGAAGGACGGGGGGGGTTCCTAACTTTGCATCACCATTCATCACATTGAATCTGGGGTTGACACTATTTAGCGCCAAGGTTCTGCGGCCCTCGGTTCGCTGACCTGTCGACCAGCCGGCCGTCTCTACATCCGCGCCAGCGTTGCCGCCTCCGTCGGCAACACCCCGCCGATGAGAGCCAGCTGGGCGGGCGCCGTGCAGATGCTCATCTTGAGGAAAGCTCGGGCAGGATCCTGGTCTATCTCAAGCCTTCTCGGTTCACTTTTCCCCCGAACGCCGACCCAAGCCGCGAACCCGAAAACCCCAGCCCCTTACTTTTGCTGGAGGTGAGCCGCGTCGCACTCCCGAGCGGGACAAAGAAAACAACTAAAGTGGAAAGGCTTGGGCAATGAACCTCCATTTGCTTAAGTCCCCCAGAAAAATGAGAAACATATGTCCAGTAGTGATACATTCCCTTTAAAACCAAAGGGGAAAATATAAAATAGTCTTAAGCAAATGGAAGTGAAGAGATCGGTTACATTTTAGGCCAGGCTATGATCCCGAGCGCCAAGGTTCTCCGGCCCTCGGCTCGCTGGGCAGCCGAGCCGTGTGCCGTCTCGACGTCCGCAGCGTTGCCTCCGTCAGCGACACCCCGCCGGTGAGCGCCGGCGATTCGGCGAGAGCTTTGCAGCTGCCCATCCACTTCTTGAGGAATGCTCGGGCTGGATCCTGTCAGATCCAAAGCCGGGCTCCGGAAAGCAGCAGGAAAGCAAAGGCGGACAGGGCGAAATTCATTTCTCTTTTCTTTTTTCTTTGGGGTAGATGGGAGAACTGTGCCCTCTTTCGCCCAAAGGGCTCAAGATGAACATCAAGGTTCGGGCCCTCCGGCAATAAGGTAGTAATTCGTCAACGTCTGGTTGAGTGAAACCGCGGAAGCAGATTCTGCTTCACATGTCGTCTACCTGGGTGAAATGGGTGTGTGTCAAACTACCCCCCCCTGAAAAAAAAAAGGAAAAAAGTAAACAAGTAAGTAAACACTCTCTTTAAACCTTTAAAGGTACGGTCGAAAAAACACACCCATCCAAAGAGTTCCGGACAGTCGCGCCAAGGCTCTTCGCGTCGAGCGCGCCATCGCCTCCGGCTCGGTCACACCAGGACCTGGCGGGTGGGGCCCCACTATTAGGAAAATATAAACATATTTCCAGTAGTGAATTCGTTTTAAAACAACATAGTGATATGAATTCGTCAAAAAACGTGGATGCGTTAAAAACAGGTCCAGTAGTGCTGATGAAGTCCTTTTAAACCCGACCAGGGGAAAAAATACTCTTAAGCAAACGGAGGAAGATGGTTGTAAAGGTTGACATGGCGGCCATACCCAACCTGCATGAAACCGGCTGGCGCGGTTTTTGGGCGCGGCTCACATGGCTCGCGGCCAAAGAGCCCAACCCCCGGCCTCTTCGGGGCGCGGGCATGCCAGGCAGAGGCACCGGCCTTACTGGCGCCCCACGGGGTTTGAACATGGCCCGACGGAGCTGCCGGGGCCCCACAAACCGAGAAAACATGTCCAGTGGTGATAGACTCCCTTTAAAACCAATGGGGGAAAACTCCAAATAGAAAACTATTCTAGCCAATGGAAGCAAACCAATCGAAACCAACGAAGGGCAAGACCTGAAGTGATGCGAAAGCATCAACAAACGACGGGTGTCGACGGAACATCCCACAGTAAAGGGGGAGGGGGGTGCGGAAAAAGTCCACCCATGTATCTAGTCTTCCCCACGGAAATGGAAGCATACATGGAGATCTCCAGAATTTACACCCTGTCCCCCAATTCCATGTTTCAGGTGGCGGGGATAACATGCGTAAATGCGCCACCCACTTCTTCACATCATTTTTTACCACCAATCTGTTGAAACAACCCGGGGGTTTCTGTCAAAGGCCAGCGTAGGTTTCACATTTGCGCCGCGGAGGGAACCCACATCTTAAGGCGCCGCTCGAAAGCTGTGCCAGGGCAAAGTTAAGGAACCTCAAAACTGAGCCGTCCTCAGATCCCCCGCTAAAAGTGACTAACTCTTAGTGGGCTAAATGGAAAACCCCACTAAAAAGCTAAAAAGCTAAAAAGCTAAGGAACCGGATGGCTGGGAGCCACCAAGAAAAGAGCCGATGAGTAAGCGTCAAAGAGCCCGTGGTAAATTTGAATGCAAGGTCGTTGTTCAAAAAGCACGTCGCCGTACCCTAGACACCCAGACCTCTGGTTGCAAGGGAAAGAAAGGACTCTTTTGTTGGTCTCTACCCTTGGTAGTCGACGTTCAACCTAAGAGGAACCCTAGATATGGATGATTACCCTTTAAAACCATCCTGAAAAGGGTAACCCCCCCCCCAAAAAAAAAAAGAAAAGAAAGAAAACGTTTAGCAAAGGAGGGGGGCAAAATGTTTCCAAACGTTGACCCAGGGCTAGCGAATCCCGATTCGCGGAAAAAAAAAACACTTGCAGGACGGATTGCCGACAGACCGCAATCCGAAGCCGTCGCAGAGGAAGAGACGCACAAACACGCGCGACAATCTTGCCAACTGAGTGGTGCAAAATAGTCTTGGTTGCTGCTGACCCCCCTGCAAAAAGTGTTTAACTTTTTGGGAGTTTAGTGGAAGCCCCCTTGATCTCCCAAAAAGTTAAAGTCTAAAGATCCAACCCAATAGCAGTCAAGTAGTGGGGTATGGGGAGCTCGTCCTTTTCTGAGGGTACCCGTGTTGGATGGTTTTAAAGGGACACCACATGCAAGACACAAGTGTGGGGGGTTCCCCTATTTTGTCAGACAAACCCATGCAAACAAACGCAAGTGCAAAAAGGCCTGGGTAATAACCAAATCACATCCCAAAGCGACTGGGCAGGTGGTTTGCCTGCTGAACTCTGCGGGCTACGAATTTGGACCCCCTGGCCGCCGTTTTTTTCCTTGTGGCTGGCTGAGTTAGCTCCGAAAACAGCTGGATTCTCAAGGATCCCTTCTTTCGCCCTTTGCGAGTCCAAATGGTCCAACCCCCTTTTGGTAGTTCTCAAAATTCTGGGCTTTTGCTTGGCAGTTGATTCGGACACCAAATGGAACTCGTTGCCATGTTAGGGAGCCAGGTTGCGCGGAAGGCCCTCCGTTCAGCGGGCGCTCCAGGCTCCACTCATTCCCGTTTCAGGAAAGGAAAGCTGAGACGGTAATCAATAGGGGCCCCATTCAAAACAGAACAAGCGAAACCTTGGTTTGTTGTTGTTGCGCTTGGAACATGAAAGCATTTCGGGAGCCAGGGAACGAGACCTGCGAAAAAAATAGCCCTAGGGAAAAAACGTCATCCACATTTCAGGTGGTTCTTGAAAAAATGAAATAAGATCAGGTGCGGAGATATTGAATGAACAATGACCCGTTCCTGTAAGGTTTCATTTGTCAAAACGATGGCAACCCAACTAGGGGACCACTCTGGCGCCGCCAGAAAGCACCAGGAGTTAAACGAAAAAAAAAGGGGGCACCTGGGGTTTGTCTCAAAGGCGGAGGTCCTTTCAGTTCCCTGGACACCCGCCCCAAGCGACCCGTTCAGCGTTGGCGGCTTGGAGCCCGGGACATTGACAGGCGGACCCGTTCAAATCCAAAATCCGAACCGCGCTGCCCAACAACGACTCAGGGGCGCCTGACTCTTAGGTGCATATATCCATACTTAGGTGCATACGCCATAGCCCCCCATACCCATTTCCGTGACAAGGGTACCACATTTCTCGGCTTGGGCAATGTTGACCCCGGTGGAGCTTGTGGAGGGGCCAAAAGCCACCACCCCCTATTAATAAACTTGTTGGTTGGTTGATTCATCTGGGGTTCACATTAGGGTTCCAGCTTTCACCTAAACCCCAGTTCCCCCCTCTTTCCCCCCAAAAAAGATGGTTCCCCCCAAAACCGTTTGGGTGGGTAGGGCCCTCATCGGAGGTCAACTAGGTCCTCCAGCGGGGAGGATAGAATAAGGGTACCACCTGTTTTTTGTTTGTTTGTTTTTTCTGTTTTAGTAGGGGAACCCTCAAAAAAGAAAGAGCGAGAAAGGGCACCTAGCTTGGGGGACCTAGTAAAGGTTGACATAGGCCATACCAAACCTGAATGAAACCAGCTGGGAGGGCCATATCAAACCTGTCAACATGACCTGACATCCATTCAGCACCCACCGCCTTCAGCCCGCGCGGCTCGCGCTCCCGCGACCGGGACCGCTCTCGCAGCACGTCGGCCTCCGCCGACTCGAGCGCCGCTTCTTGCAGCTCGTGGGCGCGAGCCTTGCGGCGAAAGGAAGAGGAACTGCTTCCAACACAGATTAATCAACCAACCACTTCATTAATCAACCAACCATTTTCTTTGGGGGGGGGAACAGGGGGAAACTGGGGTTTAGGTGAAAGCTGGAACGCTGATGTTGAATCAACCAACCAACCAGAGACCATGCGTGGCCTTTTGGATTGTAGATGGCCCTGGTAAATGGAACAAACCCCATCGAAACCAGTGCCATCTATGTTTATCGAAACTAACTTTAAAAGGACACCTGTGTGAGAGACCAGTTCATTTGTTGAAAAGACAAAATAAAGAAAGGTGGGCCATGTTGCGGGGTTTGCTTCATTTTTCCTTTTGCTGGCCTCATGTTTTTTACCGTCAAAGGCAACCCCGTTCAGTGGTGGCTTAAGGGCAACAACCATTTCCAGTTTCTATCTTCGGCAACCCCCAGAATCTGTCAAAATAATGCTCCAGAGCCTTGGTTTGACTGTTTCTTGGGCTTATCAAAGTCAGAAACTGCGGTGGCTTGCCTTGAACCTACCACTTACGCCACTTATGGGCTGACTTAGGCAGTGATAAAATAATGGGGCAAGTAATGCAGAAGGCTAAATACTTAGGAATGACTTACCCCTGTCATGATATGTGATTGAATCATACCCCGCACACCAATTCGGATTTAGGCCGTCCACCAGGTCGACAAACCAACCGATCAAGCTGGGATTCTCACACCCAATGGAGAGTGACCAAAGAAGCAACCAAACATTTTGTCTACACTCCCGGCTAACATGGAAGCTCCCAAAACTCCAAAGTACATGGGTCCATGTCTTCCAAAGGGGTGGGACCTTCCGTGGAATCTCCTGGGGGAGGGTACAACTAAAATGCTCCAACCCACAAAGCTGCAAGATCGAGTGACCAAAAGTCTAAGAACTGCTTGACCAGTTCTAGCAGCCGCCACTTTTTGCGACTCAAGTCCCACTCAGGGAGTTGCACCATGGGATTCGAATCCGCATTGCGTGGCCAAAAAGAGCTGACGGTTTCCTGCAGCCTAAACATGAACAGAACAAAGAAAGAACTCTACCCAGCAACCAAGTCTAGGTCGGCACGTTTTGCTGTAACCACCCCGGGTGTTTTTTGGGGCGCCTTCCAAGCCGAAAAGCAAAAAGGATCCGCCTCCCCCCGCCTTGTTTACATGAAACACCCCCCCGACGATGCCCGACATGCCCCCCGACTGGGAAACCGGGGGCCCCGTTTGGCTTCCCTGACTTAAGCTCACCGGCTGGGAAAGGCGGCGAAGAAAAAAAACCGAACGAGAAACCGCTTCCCTGCTACTGGCTTGGATTGGTCTGGAGATGGTTTCCAGATGGTGTCCCATTTACGCTAGAAGGGGTTCACCCGAACCGTCAATCCAAGCCACCAATTACTACATGCCCAGATCAAACCGAACCTTCATGTCACTATTTTCATTTTGGCGCCAGGCATATTGATTACTCCCCCCCCAACTGTGCTGTCCTCAAACCTGCTAAAAAATTAACTTTTAGTGGGTTATAAAAGAACCCCCCCCCCCAACTAAACCACCTACAAACATCTAAAACACCTACAAACATCTAAACCACCTACAACATCTAAAACACCTAAGGCACCGAATGGCTGGGAACCACCAAGCTTCGTGTCACAAAATGGAAGATGACGAGCTCCCAGACAAAAAACAGTTGTTTTTCCAATGATGATAGATCCCTTTTTCAACCAAGCTTCATGTCACCAAATGCAAGATGCAGAGTTCCCAAAAGACCCTTTTGTTTTTGGGTGAACTTTTCCGGATGGTCATCCCACCTGTTGATCACCCCCCCAACTGGAGAATGAAGGGTTCCCGGACAAAATTGGATTCACAATCTTCCATTTGCTTTTTCGACCCCTGGAAAAAATAATAATAACATGTCCAATAGTGAAATCGATTCCCTTTCAAACCAACAGGGCAAAAAAAATCAGCAACTGGAGGCCCCCAATCAGGCAAGAAAACACCATAAGACCATTTGACAGCCCTTTGGACGGTACGGGCTGTTGACAGGTTGGCTCCCAAGGGAGCCCTGGCATCGCTTTCGAGCCGCGATCTTGGAGGGCCGCACGCTCACGGTGCTCTTGGCATCATCCCAGCTCGCGCGGAACACCACTTCCAGCACCCGCCCGTCCTCGGCTTCAACGGACGAGGCGTTCAAGCGCGGCTTCGGACAAACGGAGGAAACACGGGGCTGGCTGCGTTCGAAGCGAGGAGCCTTTGGCGTCTGTGTGTTTGTGTTTGTGGTTTGGGGTCTTAAAAAAGAGAAAGGACAAATGGTCTCCGTCCGAAGAAAAAACACCACCTGCCTCCGGTTGATCAGAAACGCTGTTGTGTAAACAAAACGGGTGTTGAGAGCCTGCTGTTTCTCCACACTTGTTACAAAAACGCGAGGGGTTCCCGTGTGGGTTTTACCATTTCCGACCGCCCCTTCGCTTTTCAACTTGAGCCATGGAAACCTCGGACAGAGCAAACCCTGCGGCAAAGGGCAGGAAGCCCTTCGGAATTCTTTGCCCCTGGATTTCTATCCCCTTGGCTTAGGCATCTATATTGGCAAACCCCAGAAAATGACAGGGCACTCTAAGAGTCCACAATTCATGAGGCCCGGTTCTACATGGCTTTTTTCCTTGTTACCCACCAAGTGAAACCATGGGTATACCCATGGCCCATTTTAGAAAGCAATCCCCCACGCGTTTCGAGGAACACGCCCTAACCCGCACCAAAAGGCCGCCAAAAGCAGAAAACGTAGGGGCCCCGCGGTGCGCTCAAAAACCATTCTTCAGACGTGCTCACAAGAGACTATCTAGAAAAAAATGTATGTGTGTGTGTATGTGGTTGTGTGTGTGTGTGTTTTAGGGGACCCTCACAATAGTGGTTGTCCTTTTGGTTTCCCTTCAAATCCATAAGAGAAAGGCAGCAACTCCCCAAAGAAGACACCCGTCCCCCGGGCTTTGGTCCAAAAATCAGCCTAGGCTTTGATTCCTGAGACATGTGGCCTGATCCCACCCACCGAAAACAACAGGGGTTTGCATAAAAGCATCCGGGGTCAGCATTAAGAAGCTTCTACCCCCCCCCCCCAAAAAAAAAAGAAGAGAGAATGGGAAGCGTCCCACCATCTCCAATCCTTCTTGTCAGTAGCCCATGTTTGGTTCAGCCCCAAACACAGTGATCCGTTGTTGAAAACTCCAGAATGGTTGAAAAGAAAGGGGAGTCAATCATGGACCCATGGGGAATCAATCGACCCACGATAGCCCATGTTTGGCAGCCCCTTCTGTTGCCTCTTTACTAGGCTGGAATTAGGACCCCAGCCAAAGAGATCATTTTTTTGCATGGTTAGTGGAAAACTAAGGGGACCCCAAAAAAGCAAAAACACATAAAAGGGGAGGTAATTCTGGGGAAGTTTAGCCATTATTAGGGGGGTGGACACCCCTTCAAAAGTGATGAATCCCCACTAAAAGGAGACACCCCCCTATTAATCAACCAGGGGTTTGTTAATCCGGGGTTGCATTAAAAGGGAAACCACACCCAACAGTAGTGTTGAGAAGCCTCCAAATGTTGATTCCAGTTTCCAGCCTTGGATTCGATTCGGTCTGAATCCCAATTTTGACACATGCTCAGAATGGAATGATCCTTTTAAACCAGCAGTGCCCTTTTACCCTTTTTTGGGGGGGTTCCCCTACTAAAATAGACTACAGAACCAAGGGTGCCCTTATTCTAACATCTCTACTGGAGGACCTAGCAAATGATTCTCAAAGGGAGCTGCAAAGAACTTTTTGAGAACTCTAACTTCTCTGAAGTGACCACCTCAAACTGACACTCTTAGATAACCAAACAGCCTCAAGACTCAAAATGACCCTCTTAGACGTAACTCAAAAGGACACCCTGCTTAATCCGGGGTTCATATTAGCCCCTTCTGTTTGGCCCCTTTGGCCCCATCTCCGTCTCGCCCCATCTCCGTCTCGGCGCCTTGTGCCGTGGAACCTTCGCCAGGCGCCGCTTGAAAGGCAGCGACTCCCAGCGCACGTTCTGCGAGGAGCGGTCCTGCATCTCGGCGCGCGGATTTGTGCTTTTTGGTTCGCAGCGAAAGAGGTGTCTTAAAAAGGGGCTCCCAAAAACTGGGTGGTTTCCCTGTGGTTTCACGAAAAAAACCACTCCAAATGGGAGGGGATCCTAAAAACACACACACACACACACACACACACACACACACACACACACACACACACACACACACACACACACACACCACACACACACACACACACGCACACACACACGCACACACGCACACACACACACACACACACACACACACACACACACACACACACACACACACACACACGCACACACACACACACACACACACACACACACACACACACAGAGTGCGGAATTGAATTGGTCTTGGCCTACATTATTTAGTCTCTTCGACAATTGTTTTGGGATCGGAGATCCCAGTGTTCTGGCTGTTTGCCGTGTGATGCGCCAAATCCAGAAATGTAGGAAACCCTGAATTGTCGGATTGCGAATCGCGACTCAGATTCCATGGCTTCCATTTGCGTAAGCGTTTGTTTTGCTTCTGCCCCCCTTGGTCATCAAGAGAATTTAGCACTGGAGATATGTGTTCTATATCTGGAGGTTTCCCATTTACCCTCTACAAGAAGGGTCATACAACCCGCAAACCAACCCAAGTCACCTGAGCAGTGCTGGCTTCCTCCCCAACCTCCCATCCGATTCTCTTTCCCGAGTGGATTTGCAAAAACAAATGCCACTGAATAGTCCAACCATACCTTTGGCTGGGGTCCAAGGCAGCTAAACAGGGGTTCCTTGGCGGCCCAGGTGCCTCCCCTACTCCAAATACCATATCTTTTTGTGAACAACCTGGCTTTCCATGTTAAGTGGTTAAGGCATGATACCCAATGCTGGCTGGCTGCTTCTGGCCATCTGAGGCTGCTGGATTTGTCCGATTCCCTTCGCCCCGCCCCGACTTATCGACTCCATCGACTTCTAGGTTTTCCAGATTTGAGAGGTTAGAATAAGGGCAATTACCCTTCCTTTATTTTTTCCTGCAGTCTGTTCCAGTAGGGTCCCGAACCCTCCCAACCAAAAAAGAGACGGTGAGAGCGCGGGCGCTGATCGCTTGGGGGCCTAGTTACTCTTACCCCTTAAAACTCCAAGCCCTGGGGAAGTTAATCTTTTACAGACATATAGCCCATGTTACCCAACAAGTTGAGGAAAGTTGTGTTTTTAGGAGGTAAGCGCTGGGGGCGCCGAGTTACTTCGTCTCCCACCGAGGCGCGGAGATGGCGAATTGGAACTCCACCTCCGAGTCGAACACCAGGGGCCCGGAGGTGACCCACCAGGGGAACCGCTGCGCGCCTCGCACGCGAGCACGTGCTTTGCTGGCCACCCCCAAACGGGAGGAGGGGGTCGGGGGGGTGTGCCCTCTGCTCCCTCTATACCCACCTTTTCGGGGGTTATCACATGGGCATCATGTCCGCCCTTTGCTGAAAAAGGAGGTTTTGAAGAAAAAAAATACAAAAGCAAGAGAGTATTTGGAGTAGGGGGTGGACACTTAGTGTCGGGTTGTTGCAACCTTGGGTTGCCAAATAGCCCAGGGCGTCCATGGCCTGGAAAAGGTTTAAGATCTTATAAATATCCAGCCTAGAACTTTGATTCATAAACATGTCCTATGAGAAAGGAAAAAGTTGCCCTCCAACAGTCTGATTCCCCACTAAGACTAAGCCCAGGGACACCTGTTGATAATGGGGGTGCAGGCCCATCGCCAATTGAAACCAGCTAGAGGTTACCTGTAAGAAGGAAGGGATTACGAACCCAAGGAACCTGAAAAAAACATTCGGGGAATCGGTCCTGGTTTGGACCATTGGCCTTTCAACGGGGGCCATTTCCCTGTCAGGTTCCGAGGGCCGGCTGTGAACGGGAGGGACGTTCCCCTGGTTGCGAGGGGCTCCTGAACTCAGGCCTTCCTCCAGATTTGAGAGGCCTAGGAAAAAGTTGGTACCGTTTCTTTTTGTGTAGTCCATTTTAGTAGGGGAGCCCTCCCCGAAGAAAGGTACCCACTTTTTTTCTGGACGTCTATTTTAGTACGGGGGGTTCCTCCCAACCATAAAAAAGACGGTAGAGAAAGGGCACCAATTGCTGGGGGGCCTAGTCACCTAGTCAGGCCTTCGAAAAGCCAGCGGGCTCTGCCAAGGGATCACGAGACAAGCGGCTCGTCTCCATCATCACCGCCCCGTGGAGGTCCCAGTTGCCGATGACCCCATCACCGCCCACCAGCAGGATCGCCTCCGATGCGCTTTCGACTTCCCCCCTTCCATTTTGAGACAAAGCCTCACTGGGGACCAACGGGGCTTAAACATGGCCCGGTGGAGGTGCCGGGACCCCCCAAACCTCCATTTGCTTAAGCCCCCTTAAACCCCTTCCATTTGGTGCAGGTTTCAGGGAGGGAGAAAAAAAAAACCTTTCCGGAGAAGTGATGGATTCCTTTTAAAACCAAGAAGGGAAAACCATGAAAAATATCTATTTCAGCAACTGGAGGCCCCCAATCAGGCGAAAACGCCATAAGACCATTTGGGGGACCTTTGGACGGCTCGGGCTCTTGACAAGTGGGCGGCCAAGGGAACCGCAAGAAAACTAGTGTCCTCGTCTTTTTCTTTTTGGGACCATGTTGAGACAAAGCCATTTGAGCTTTGTCTGCCCAAAGGCCCGAGAATATCTCCGGCGAGCGCGGAGTTTTTTACTACGCAAGCCTCAAGATGCAGGGCTTCCCACTGGATATCCCTCCATTTGCATTCCTCCCCCCGGGGAAAACTGAGGACATATTTCCAGTATAGTACTAGATGCCCTTTAAAACCACCAAGGGAAAGCAAACAAAACATGTTTTTTTCAGCCAATGGAAGCATCCGGGTCAAACCTGCCACCTCCGGCCTCCTCCGGCGCCGTGTGCGGGCACTCCAGCCTCAAGCGAGGGATCCGAGAGATCAGTAACGATCGGTTGGGATCTCTGCGCGTGGAACAAGATCAGGTTCCTCAATTGGCTGCTTGGATGGGCGGTTTGAGATTTGAACGGGTCCCTGGCTCTTGTAGAGCCAAGTAAACAAAAAATAGTCCCATACGACTCAAACGACCTCTACTGCACCTGGACGCCACTTGTGTTGTGCCTTTGTACCCCTTTTTTGTGGGTCTAAGGCTGACAACAAGGAGTGAGGTACATAGGTGTCCTTGGTTTCGGATACGACTCAGATGACTTTTGTACTTGGCTGTCCGCTTTACCCCCTGCCAAAAGCGAAAAACCTTTAGTGGGCCAAATGGAAACCCAACCACTGGGGCCACCAAGTGTATATATATATATATATATAGACATTGGTATCACTTTGAAGCATGTCAAACCCATACATTTCAGCAAACCCCCGCAACAAATATCTCGCATGTTTTGTTTCCGTTCAGAAAATGACAGGTCATGCTAATTAGCACCCGAAGAAAAGGAAAACCTGCTGGAAGGAAAAATGATGAGGAGGCCCTGGGCTATGTACCACATATACCTTGGTACCCCTTAACGCGCATCCAGCCTGGCACGCAATCATTCCTCTTGAAGGAGCATGGGCCATTGCCACCAAAACACCTGCCATTGGAAACCCAAAAGCTGAGGAGGTCACTTTTCTCCTTGGCCGGCCGGCTCCTCTTCCGAGTTGCCATGTGATGTGCCCCATCGAGCCGACCCGGAAAACACAAACGCAAAATGAAACGCGCGAGGGGAAGCAACAAAAATCGAGCTGTGACGGGCACATGAAGACAGGCCGCTCAAAGAATGCGATCATCGCCCCATCTTCCATGAGGATCGCATGACCAGCTGCGGGCCATCGCCAATTGGCAAGCTCGAGTCTGAATCAAGTCACCTCTTTGCCTTTCTCTTGCTGCCTCTCGATGTGCGGCGCCTAAAACCCAAAAAAATGCACTTACAAATTAATTTGTGACACCACCAAAAAACAAGTTCGAGTCACCTTTGCTCTTTTTTTCCCCGGGGGTCGGAACTGGCACGGAAACGGTCGGAACTGCCGGAAACTGGGCCCCACCCTCTCTTTCTTTGACCTCACGGCCTCTAGCGCTTTGCGCTGGCTTGAGCAAGTTGAGCCGATTGGAATGCCGTTGTGCAAATCAAGTGCATGTCAAGCTAGGAGTTTGGAGGTATGGATGCAAAACTACGCCACCAATAGAAGCTGGCAAGGCAGCAGCGTATACAAACCCTACATACGTGGTATGTAACTGACCTCCATGCCTCCAAAACCCATACCTGAAAATGCCCTAGGAGCCAGTTTCCTTGGTGAAATGCGGTGCATCGCCGAAGCGGGGTCATTGAAATCTCGCCCAAAGCACCTGATGATCACCCTTTGGGACTTGTGAGACTGGAGCAAACAGGGTGTCTCAAGGTCGCCTTTGGAGTGCCCCTAGACTGGGGTATTGCCCCGTTCTGGGCTATGTCACAAAATGCCGAACATGGACGAACTCGGGGATTAAAGGGTGCAATGACAAGTCCGGCAGAAAGCCCTGGCTCAAATTGAATGGCGAACAGAATGAATGGTTCAGGCCTAGTCGCGAGTGATAGCTTTCAGAGAACGAACCTCAAGTACTCTCTCTAAGGTTCCGCCGTGCCTGCTTGCTTCCCCTTAAAGCCAGCAACAAAAAGGGTTATTTACCTTGTTAGGATTCGATATGTTCCCCCCACTGTTCCCCTATTCCGCCATCATCCTTCTTGCAAAGGGCTAAGACTCACTTTGCCAAAGACGAGCTAAACAGCAGAACTGCACTTTTTAGGCCACTGCTAAACCAAAGGGAAGCCACCAAACAAGTATAACGTGTGCTCACTGGCAGTGTGAGATGCCTCCAATGTCTAGGCCGTGGTGTTGAGACAGCCCAATTTAGAAAATAGATTAACTGAACCACTCACATGGCCAAATCGGGTGTCTTGCTTATGGTTAAAAAAAAAGCGCACCATGGTCAGAGTACAAGTCCTCCCCCATGAAGGTAAGAGGGACGCACCCCCTACTCAACCAGGGCTCCATAAAAAGCCCGGGTGTCCATTACTCACTTCCAAAAAGCCCGCATTTCCACTACTCACTTCCTGAACTGGATCGAACTGCTTGGGTAGCAAAGCACACCACCAGCAAGACCTACAGGTGCCAAGAAGCACCTTCCAACAAACAACCCAAGGCCAGCAGGGAAGCCAGCCCAAGCACCTCCGGGAGCCAAAATTCAAATCCAACCGACGGGCTCCGACTCCGACTCCGCCTGCTCCAAGGCTCTACGGACCTCGCGAAGGGGCCGGGGGGGAGGGGGCCTTTTGAGTGGTCTAAGAGGGTCATTTTGAGTCTTGGGGCTGTTTGGTTATCTAAGAGGGGCAGTTTGAGGTGGTCACTTCAGAGAAGTTAGAGTTCTCAAAAAAGTTATTTGCAGCTGCAGGTTGAATCATCTACTAGGTCCTCCAGTAGAGATGTTAGAATTTGGGCACCCTTGGTTCTGTAGTCTATCTTAGTAGGGGAACCCCCCAAAAAAAGGTAAAAGGGCACTGCAGTCTGAGCATGTGTCAAAATTTGGATTCAGACCGAATCCAAGGCTGGAAACTGGAGTGAACGTTTGGAGGCTTCTCAATACTACTGGTGGGTGTGGTTTCCCTTTTTATGTTAACCCCGGATTAATAAACCCCTGGTTGACCTTTTAGTGGGGATTCATCACTTTTGCAGGGAACACCCCCCTAATACTGGGACGGGTTTATTAACCCTGGGCGCTTTGTGAGGAAGGACAGCGCCTTGCGACCAAAGAGAAAAAGGATTTTCCCAAGTGCGGAAGTATGGGACGGTTTGAACGGCAAGGCTAGCAGCAGAGAGTGTTTGAACAGTTGTGGTTAAAAAAAGGCGTAGTTAAGGGGTTGGCATGCCTGATCAAGGCGCACGTGGGCACGTCGGTTCTTTGCTCCGGCACCGACAGGCCTATTGCGCTGGCAAAACTACCACGTCCCTAATCAGAACTCCAATCGGTAGCTCCTTAGCTGGCTGCCTCTTAGGCAAAAATACCACCAACTCCCATCACTAGCGGCTGCCTTACCACCGGCTAGTAAAATAAAACCGCTTTTTGTCCAAAGAAAAAACTGTCCCCCTTTGTTTCGTTTGTTTGCAGGGAAGCCAAAAGGGAAGCCAAAACGGAACCCACATTTTGTGAGGTCGCCCTGTTCTCAGTTGCGGATGAGACCTAGAAATGAAAGGTGATCAGCTTTTGGAGCCCACAGCAAAAATGCAAATACCGCTGCACCAGTGAAATCTACGTGGAGCACACAACAGAGACCTCCTATCCAGGGGCCGTGCCTAACAAATGGCACCCAAACGGAGAGAGATTATGCATAGGGGGGGGGACCCTCCAAAAGTGCGTTGATTGCAACCACATTTCACCCAGAATCGGACACCCCCCTATCAGGGATCCTTACATTATACACCTGAACATTGCCTTGTAAATGGTGGTTTCCCTTTATTTTGGCGGAAAAAGCCATGTTTCAATTGGGCCAAATGTATCTTTTAAGGAGCCCAGCCTATTCAGAAACGTTACTCCAACTGCCCAATTGCTCCCACACCCCCCCCCCCAAAAAAAAAAAAAGACGCCTGCGCGACGCCGCCGAGCCCGTGGAAGGCGTGCAAATGCTGCCTCGCTCGGCTCGCGGCTCCGAAACTTCCCCCTTCGAGCCTGTTTATCCTTTGGGCTTACCCCTTAAAACTCCAAGCCCTGGGGAAGTTTTCATCTTTACAGACATATAGCCCATGTTACCCAAAAAAGTTGAGAAAAGTTGTGTTTTTAAGAGGTAAGTGGGCCTTCCATTCAAAGGAAACCCCAAGGCAGCCTTGAAAAAAAAAACACGCCTCACAGATGTATGAGCGTTCCGGGGACGAACGGCTGTTCACCAAAGATACGACGCTGGGTGTGACGAAAATGAGGAGTTGGAGCCCAAGACTGGAGTTGGGTTTGGGCGCCATAACAGCAATGGGGGTCATCTAAATTCGGGCCGACCATTCTTTTGGAGGTCTCACTTACCTCGTGGATTGGCTCCCATTAAAAGTGAAAATGGGTTGCAACAAATTCCATTCTTAAGCAGGGCTGTGGGGAATAACCACTTCTGTGATACAACAGAAAGGGCTTCCCAAAGACTATTTTGCTAATAGAAAGGGGGATTCCCTTGTATCACAGAAGTGGGGAGAAACCCCGCGTGATCCCACAACCCTGTTCTTAAGGGTAGAAAAAACCACTCCCAAACTTGTTGCTTACCACCCAGCCGCTCCAAGAACCTTCCATGCTACACCCCGGGCGGTTGTCTCAAAACCTGCCCGCTGAGGGGCCAAACCCGTCAGAAGCCAGGGGCGGACTCCGACCGGGGACGAAAAACACGCCGCGCGCTCGGTCCGGATCCCCCCCCCCAAAAAAAGCGGCGGCAGTCCCAGAACTAAGAACCCGACTAAGAACCCGAAAAATAAGCTCCGGATCCAAGCACCCGAGCCAAGATTCTCGCGCGCTTTCGCTCGAAGGCGACTTCGATCCGAGGCGGGGGCCGCACTCGGGGGTCGAAGTCTGTCCTTCGGACGCCAAGGCTCGCGAAGGCTCGCGGCCGAGCGGCCGCGGTGTGCAACATGGGCGGCTCGGTGATTTTCTTCTTAGAGGCTCGGTAACGTGGACCCACGGCAAGTTCCCCACCGTGGACATGGGCTGCCCCGAATTTTTGGGGGGTGAGGCCGATTTTTGGTTGGGGCAAAGGCCCAAAAGTCGGCCCAACCCTCCGCTTGGTGGTTCGGGGATGGTTGCCACTTGCCCTCAAAAACCAAAAGTCCAATCCAAACCGAGGGATACCTGACAAACGCTGCCACAAGGGTCCGATCGATGGAAGGGTACTTAGTAAGTGGGCAATCACCATGGCTATGCCCCACTTACCACGGCTGTAAGTCTCCGAAAGCGGGTTATAACCATGAGGTTGTTACCCACTTTCCAGGTACCCGACCGCCCCTTTGAGTGGGCCCTAAATCCCACGGGACCCACGTCCTGCGCAGCTCCGGCGCGGAGCTGAGGATCAGCGCGATCTCCTGCTCGACCTCGCCGGCTCGGAGAGGCCCCGACAGAGGCTCCAATCCGAGGCCTTCAAAGAACCGAACGGCTTCGAAGACCTAGGCTGGAAGAGGAGGACTTCTGCCAAAAAGAAGAAAACCTCTCTTTTTCGCCCGGCGAGCGGTTTTTTTCCAAAGGGACCCCCCAAACAAAAGCCAAAGAAAAGAAAAGCAAGGCGCGGCGAATTCCGGGGAGCGAAGCCGCCTGGTTCGGGGCCCCGGGGTCCCAACCACCTTCCATTGAAAGCCTCCAGCCCCTGGGGACAGAGCAGGGCGCTTTGGGATCGGCAAGGCGACCAACTTTTTGGGCTGCAGCCGATTTTAGCAGTTTGGAACCCCCCCCCAAAAAAAAAAAAAAAAAGGTGAGAAAGGGCACTACTGGGGGATCTAGGAAGGCGTTTCTTGGTGTTTCGTTGGAGTGACCTATTTGGGTGCGTCTTTTCTTTCGGTCCCCAAACTGGTGGTTTTCCTTCTGGTGTCCCTTCAAAACCAAGCAGCCGAGGGTACCCACGAAATGACATTCCCAAATCTTCGCAGAGGCAAGGTCTCGTTAAGCAGGCGCCTGAAGCTTTTTCGTCCACTTGCAAAATCATCAGCGTACTGTGGCAAGATTCGAAACAATTTTCAGGCAAAATCGGCACTGTCAACTCAGCCACATGAGCCGACGGGGCGAGCATCATCCACTTGCTGAAGTTGGCTGCAAACTTTTGGGCAAACCTTCGCTTGGGACATGGCTGTAAGCAAATTTCTGCCAATAAAACGCGCAATGATAACTTCCATGTCACGCGAAGGGGGCCCTCTTGGCCCGGAAAAGAATGCTATATTGCCAAGCGGGCCTGCATCATGGGCCTGGGAATTTATCATTTTCAGTTAATCCCAAAAAGCGACGTTTTTTCCAATGGAAACCGCCGCTACCAGCTCGGGAATCTCGCCCCATAAGGCACTTTGATGCGACTTTTGTGCGACAGCCCGAGCTGAGCAAAAGTTTGCCCGGAGGGGCGTTGCAAGTCTCCGCCGGAGGTGGTGTTGGGTTAGTAGAAGTTCCACTTGTCAAGAATAGTTCAGGAGTCAAACTTGCAAGCCACTAGTGGGTTAGATCCCCACTACCTCAGTTCCATTTATCCATCCTTGCTCAAAACAGGGGGAAATGGAACCATAAATGGAATTCCAGGTGTCACCTCCTCCCAAATTCAATTTTAAGGGGGTGGGGATTGGACTAGATTGGACCCGACATGGGATCTAACAATGAGCTGCTGCACGCATGATTGCCCTTTGGTGCAAGCTGGAACCCGCTTCATAGAACCTGCTTAGCGATGTAATAAATTCAAGGGGTCCTGAGATCAGCAGTTGCTTGGCTTTCAGCACGGCGGGGAGCTTAAGAACACCCGTGACACGTGACGGCACGCCACGGCATGCGTGGCAAAACCAGTGAGATCTAACTCCTAGGATGCGACCAACCCCCGCTTCCGCCTCTCCTCCTCCAAGTAAGCATCCATTAGTCGCCCGAAAGGGATGTTATTAAGACCCCTGGAATACGGCCTGACGTACGGCCTGATTTTGGGGGGAGGCGGGTTTAGGTGAAAGCTAGAACCCTCTTCAGGCCCCAGAAATGCCCACGTGGGCATTTTTGTCTTCGCCTCTGACTGCCAAGCTTGATCTGAATCTTCACAACCTGCCTTGAGCAGTGTGCAAAACTTCCGCCCCATGCGCCCGATGCGCCCGATGCGCGCTCGATGCGCGAGCGGTGGAACCGCAGAACCGAAGAAACTCAATGCAGACTCGGAACCGCCAGCCGCCCAGTGCGGAACCTCAACGGATCCGTGAGTCAAAGCCACAAGAAGCTAGCTGCAGGAAGTTCAGCAAAGGGAAGGATTCAAATACCCTTGGAGGTTCGGCCAAGTTTTAGTTAGTGGTTGGCTTGGGTTGCAACCCACCAACAGCAGGGTTGACTCCACTTAGGGTGACTTACAAGTCTTGGTTGTAACTCAGGTTGCCAACAACTTACCAACCCGGCCGAACACTCAAGTGCTAAATCCCTGGATTTCTGCGCTAACTTCCGATCCCTGCGCCTTGTGTCTTAGACAAAGCTGACATTTCGTCACTAAATGCATCACCCAAAACAAAAAGACCATTGTTTCTGGTGTTTTGAGTCGTTATATGTATAAACATATATATATATATATATATAGAATGGTGTATATATATATATATATATGTGTGTGTGTATACATATATATATATATTTAGGGGCCGTGGCATGGTCGCAAAACACTTTGCTGGTTGCAGCCCCTTGCTAAAAATAACCAGAACCAAATAACTTAAATACATGTCAAAAACAGTGATGGGTACATGTAGAAACCCATTGAAACTGCGATAAAGCGGGTGTTGTTCTTTTATTTGGATCAAATAAAATAGTTTCCGGAACCCCCTCCCACCAAAAAAATGTGGGTTTGGACCTCACAATGGGGGGGGGGCTGAAAATTGCTTGTCCTTGTGTTCGCCTTGAACACTGCCCCCGACCAGGGTAAAGGGGGGGACGACACATCCAAATGGGAGGACAACTGTAGGCGAGCTTCCTACCCATATCAAAAAGTAGACGGGCGATGCTTCGTCTGCCCTCCAAAAACAAATAAACAATGAATGAATGAATGAATGAATGAATGAATGAATGAATGAATGAATGAATGAATGAATAAATAAATAAATAAATAAATTCACGCGGCGCGTGCCAAAAATAATTGAAGAAGACGTTCCAAATCTGTTGGCATTTCAAATGTAGATTTCCCCCACAAAAAAAAAAAAAAAAAAAATCACCGCACATGGCGGAAAAGGCATGCTTAAGTCACCCAGAAGGGAAACGTCGGGATCCCAAATTAGGGGAGCCCAAAAAAATGCTGCCCCTTTCTGGCGTTGACGATGCTGAGCTGGACAACTGCACACTTCCGCTTCCCTAATTGGTGGTGTGGATCGGTGGTTTGGAGGTCAGGGGGTTTCCCGTTAACTCTGCAGGGACTCCACGAGAGCCAGGGCTTCAGATCCCCAAGCCGCCCACCCAAACCAACTGAATCATGATGAAGACCTCTGAAAATGGTCGACCCAGAACCACGCTTCAAGAATGAAGAAGGCATGGTATCCGCAGCTACTTATGGTCCATAACTTATGGTTGGGATTGTCCCTTACTAACCTCTGAGGGAATCGGCCACGAGCATCGCGACCAAGGAGCCTCAGGGATCCTGAAGTATCGTCAGCCAGTCGAGCGTTGAGCTCTCGAACTGCTCGTGACGAAGGAGTCCCAGCATGGCCACCTGGACATCGGAAAATTCGCGCCGGAGAAAAAGCCTGGAAAAAGATCAAGGGAGGGGTATGTGGTTTAGGTGTGTTTCTCCTTCGGTTAAAAAGAACCCACAAAGAAATTAAAAAAGGAAAGAATCCCTCAATAAATCCGCACCCTAAATCAACTAAGGCCCTGGGTTGCCATACCCTGCGCCCTGAAAGGACTGCACTGTCAGGGTTTTAGTTATTCAGTTCTGGTGGCTGCATGGAATTTGTCTCACTTGCCAAGGGTTGGAGAGATGATCACTCCACCAGAACGAGGTCTTGTGAAGATCTCCAGTCTGTGGTTCTTTTGGGAAGCATATGGTAAAACTGGAACTCAGTGCCATGTCCTCTTAGGCAATCGCTCGAAACTGGGTGGTTGTTTTCTTGAGGGGCCCTTTTCGGAAACAACAAGGAACTGCCGAAGCCTTTTGTTGGGCCCCTGTTTTGTCACATGCTCAATTCCTTGTCCCCTTTCTGTTTGGTGGCTTGCCGATTGAAACAAGGTCCCACTAGTTGTCACTGGGCTGGTCCATGAGGCGTGACCGACTCGCCCCCGTTTATATCTTTTGGTGGGACCTTCCCAACCTCGTAGCAGACCCCCACAAAAAATGAACAGAAGTGCTTTGTGGGAGGGGGTGGTCTAAATTAAGGATGTTCATTGCGTCTCCCGATGATGTTAGAGTTTGGTGGGCGGCCTCAATTTCGCAGTGGTAACTTGAATCAAGGTCAATGTTGCCCTCGGCTCCTCCAAAGCCAAATCAAAACGATGTTGATCCTGATCCATATCTGGTGAACCTTAAATGCAAAGTAACTTCAAACGAGATCCGGAAGAAAAGAACAAACGACCGCTAACGCCCGAGCGAAACACCTAAGGGACCGGATGGCTCGGGACCACCAAGAAAAAGGCTGGACCAGAAGGGAAACCCGAAACTTGGCTGCTGTTGACGGATCTCTGCAAGAAGCTACACATTTTGTGGGTCCAAATCCGAAAATCCGCCGTTTCCAACGAAAAGATAGAAGTCCAAAGATCCAACGAAATGGACATAAATGAAAGGTGTCCGTGGCTCAATGAAAGGTACCAAAACGGAGACTTGGTAAATGGAGCCAATGCCGAACATCTGCGCAACCCTAGTTCTTTTTATTTTTGAGCCACACCCAGGTCAGTTACCCTCCCACCAACGTGCGGGTGCGGGTGCGGGTGCGGGTGCGGGTGCTGGAACCTGATAGGGGGCCTTCTAAAAGCAGAATGGTCCAAACCATGTGAACAGGGTGGGAGGGTATCGCTCGGTTGCTTTCTGCTCCCCTGCTGAAAGTTAACCTTTAGCGGTTTGGTTCGGAAAACCCATTAGTTGGCAAAAAGTTGAAGTCCTGACACCCCTTGGCAAAATGCTGCAAAGATCAGGCCGATTCGCCAAAAAGCGACCTGAAGACTATTTCCGGGGCGCCAGCACCAGGCGCCCATCCGCTGGGTCCGGCCGAAGTTCCGCCACGGGATCCGGCCGGAAACTGGCGAGGCAGGCCTGGAACCGGAGGACCTCTCGCCCCCGGGGCCAACCTACGAGGCCAAACCCCAAGCTTTGAGTTTAAAGAACATCCAGGGAGAAAACCACCAGTATCTCTTTCGTTGTTCATTGTTTCGCCGGGGGCGTTTCTACAGAAAAAGCACATGCAGGAAGAAAACCACCGTTAGAATGTCTGGCTGTTGGTTTTGGGAGACACCCCTATGTTGAAAAAGAACAAGCCAATGATAGTAATGATGACATTAGTAATACTAATAATAATAATAAAAAAATAACAATAACAATAGCAAGAATAATAATAATAAGAATAATAATAAATAATAATAACGTTTGTTGGTATTGAACATATACAATAAACAAAAATAAATAATATAAATAATATATATATATAACAATAACAATAATAATAATAATAATAATAATAATAATAATAATAATAAGAATAATAATAATAATCAAGATACTGATAGGAACAAAAATAGTAATAAGCATCAAGGGGGCCCTAGGTTCACCAAACCCCCCTCCCGACCGCTCGGCCGAGGGCCCCCGCCATCCGCATAGTGATGCGCCCGAAGCTCCGCTCCGCGGCGCGGCGCTGCTTGAAGAGGCCCACCTCCGCGTCCGCGGAGACGGGGCGCAGGTGGAGGCTGGGCAAAGTCATCTCCTCGGATCCGGCGAGAGGCTAAAGGCTGGGGATCCCCTTAATGTTGACCCCTCCCAGGGGGGTGGAAACCCCTCCAAAAGTGGTCCGAATCCAACCACTAAAAGGGGACACCCCCCGATCAAAATCAACCTGGGGTTTATTAATCCGGGGTTAACATTAGGGGGGGGGCTGGGGATCCCCTACCTGCAAAAGCTAGGGGGGAAAAAGCACGGGCCAGAAGCCGGTGCCAAGCGCTTCGCTTTGCTGCCGAAGCATCACCACCCAGGGCCACCGGATCCCAAGAAAACGCCACGGGCCTTGCTTTCACATCGGCCGCCGCGCGAGAGGTTCGCGCCTCACACCGCTGGAAGCTCGGTGATGGAGTTGTCGGGGCGGTATGGGTCTGTCCCGGATAAGCCAAGGAAAAGCCCGTAATAAGGCGTTCCTAGGGGCGCCACAAAGGGAAACCACGACCGTCCGATAATCGGGGGAGGCTTGGTTTTTGAACAACCCCCAAACACTCTCTCTCTCTCTCTGCAGATTGACAGATCCAAAGCCACCAAGACACTCGCAGGCGTTGGGACCCCCAAATGGGCCCCAACAAAAAAATCGGTTTGTACCACAAAAGATTCCTCAGGATGCTCTTTGTCCACCTTGATGTCCGCGACAAGCCGACCCGCCGGCAAACTCCGCAAAATTCACTCCCTCAGAACATGGAAGCTCCCCCAAAGCGGCCATTTTCAAAGGAACCAAGTGTTCAAAGCGGTCCTGGGAGCTTCCATGTTAGCCACCCCAACGTTCGGAACGAGCTCTGCCCCCGCGGAAAGAGCTTCCGTGTTAGGCCTGGGGGAGAGTAGCTCCAAAACCGAAAGTAAGAATTTCCGCTGCTCCGAATGGCCTCTTTTTCAGTGCTTGTTGTTTGGAAAAGAAAAAACAAAAACCTTGTCCATGGTACATGCCTCCTAGTTTAGGTAGAGAGTCGTCATACCCGGTTCAGTCAAGGACCTCAGGTTTTCGTTCGTTCTCTCCAAAATCGAAAAAGGAAACGAGCTCGATCCAGGGGCCCAAAAATCCTGCGATCGGAAACGCGTGGATTCACGGCCCTCACCCCGGTTCCAATAAATATAGTTTGTACAAGGCTAGATGAGCCCTTCATGGCATGAGCCAACCTCCTGATTCTGCCTCAAGGAACAAGCGCTTCAATATTCCTTGGACAACTTTCAGTAGTCAAATAACTATTACCCTAAACAAATGTCGCCCTGAAGTGGTGGGTCAAAGGGAAAAAACCGTTGTCTGATTCCTGGCAAGCCAGAAGAGTAAAATGACCCGATTTAGACATGCCAGTATCATTAGGGGTGTGTTCAATGAAAATGTTGGCGCTCTCCTGCTTTATGAGCTGGAAATGGCCGGGTACGTGATCAAGGTCCCGTCATCACTCCCAACCCCGGCAACAGCCCTCTAAAATTCCCAAAGGGCGCATGATCATCTTCCCGCCCATCAATGACACTGAGTCGTTTTTTCCCTAGGCTAACAATAGCTCACGTCCTACACTGGGAATTGCCGAGATCAGATCCCCGAATTGGAGGCTTGCGGTGGTTAGGGAGGGGGGCTTTCCATTTTCACCCTCCACAATTCCCAGGGACCGATTCAAATCCAAATCCAAACCGCCAATTCAAACCACCAACTAAGAATAACCTAAGGCGATGCTCAACTTGACCAAAACACCCTGACTCGCCCCCTGACCAGCCTTCCGCGTGCCCTTTGGCATGCGAAGCACCGACAAACCTGCCAGGGTCAGAAGGAAAGCAGCATGCTCGGGACTGACACACACCTCCATCGCCCATGGTAAAAACATAGGTGTTTCTATTGTTTAAATGTAATATTAAATGTAATATTATTAGTACTATTATTACTAGTAGTAGTATTATTATTATTGTTATTTATTATTATTATTATTATTATTATTATTATTATTATTATTATTATTGTTATTAATTACTATTATGATTATTACTTTTTATTGTTATTTTTATTAGTTATTATTATTATTTATTATCATTATTATTATTATTACTATTATTATTATTATTATTATTATTATTATTATTATTATCATCATCATCATCATCATCATCATCATCATCATCATCATCATCATTATTATTATTATTATTATTGTTATTGTTATTGTTATTTTAAGGGGGAAAACGATATATACTCCGGCCACTTGACACCCAAAAGGAAGCCCCCCTCCAAATGAGAAAAGGAAAGGCATTGAAGGTCTGAAACGGTCGACTTGTGGGTGGCCTCTTGAACCACAGGGAAAAAAAGCAAGGAACCGCCTCCATTTTCCAGGTCCCCTCTTCCTGGGCGGTGCAGAATGAGGGGTCTTTTTTCATTCAAACCCGTCTACAAGGGGAAAGGCGGGGGGGATCTGGCATAAGGATTTACAGGGTTCCCTGAAAGATAATTACATCCAAAAGCCACCTGCTTCAGAAGGGGGGCATCTTTTCAGCGACCCAGAAATATTAAGGCTTGATGTCGAGCCCAGATTTCCATTTCCTCAGTTGCACTTAGGGTCCCAGAAATAACAGGCTAACCTTTTGGGGCCATGACTAAAAATTGACCAAATGCGAAAACCAAAAGATTGCAAGGCCGATTCGCAACCCTTCCCCCCGCCTACCGCCGCCAAAACCGTGTTCATTCTCCACGCGATCATCGGACCCAACGGGGAACCGGGGCGCGGATCCACTACGCCCAAGACGGCCGTAGGGCAAACTTTTGCCGACGGCGAGGAAGCCAACATGGCCATGGCCAGAAACTGAGGCAAGCCAACGCAAGCCGATGATCCATTGAGCTTGGGTTCGGAACCCGTCCAAGGACACTATCCCGGATTTGTTGAAGAGGTCTCATGCAGGAAAAAAATATGGGCTCGTGAGCGCACCGCATGCCAGATCGCGATCACCACTTTTTGCCAGCCCGAGCCAAAACCGGGAGGCGAGGGCTGCGCTTTCCGGCGTGGAAGCTTGTGGGGCACCAACCAACCAACCAACCTGCGCCAGCTTCATGCGTGAAAACCACCCAAGCGCTCTGGCAGCTTCTTTTCTGCGCAAAACCTCCAAATCGATTGGTCTCTTGCCAGCGTCGCGCCACTACCATGTCCTTCCAGAAAATATGGTTGCTCCTTAGCCCCCTCTGGAAAACCCAATTTGGATACCCCCAGCTCCGTAACTTAACGGCCCCTTCGAACCACCTAGCTAACCCTGCTGGGCTTCTTACCCTCTGCCTATCTCTGAAGGTGTCACGACTGCGTCTGGATCGCGCCAACATGGCTCGTCGCCCTGGGCGAAGCGTGCGGAACACACTCACACACAAACAAACAAGCAAACAAACAAACAAACAAGCAAGCAAGAAACCAAGCAAGAAAGCAAGCAAGCAAACAAGCACGCAAGCAAACAAGCAAGCAAACAAGCAAGCAAACAAGCAAGCAAAGAAAGCAAGCAAGCAAGCAAACAACCAAGCAGGCAAACAAACAAGCAAGCAAGCAAGCAAACAAGCAAGCAAGCAAGCAAGCAAACAAACAAACCAGCAAGCAAGCAAGCAAACAAACAAGCAAGCAAGCAAGCAAACAAACCAGCAAGCATGCAAGCAAGCAAGCAAGCAAGCAAGCAAACAAACAAACAAACAAACAAACAAGCAAGCAAGCAAGCAAGCAAGCAAGCAAGCAAGCACACAAACCAGCAAACAAGCACAGCAAGCAAGCAAGCAAGCAAGCAAGCAAGCAAGCAAGCAAGCAAGCAAGCAAGCAAGCACACAAACAAGCAAACAAGCACAGCAAGCAAGCAAACAAACAAACAAGCAAGCAAGAAAGCAAGCAAGCAAGCAAACAAACAAACAAGCAAGCAAGCAAACAAGCAAACAAGCAAGCACAAAAAAAAACAAACAAAAAACAAGCAAGCAAGCAAGCAAGCAAAGCAAGCAAGCAAACAAACAAACAAGCAAGCAAGCAAACAAACAAACCAAGCAAGCAAGCAAGCAAACAAGCCAGCAAGCAAGCAAACAAACAAGCAAGCAAACAAACAAACCAGCAAGCAAGCAGGGGAATCCATCAGCTAAATGGTGGACACATCTCCTCCTTCACTTTTGTGGGCTTTGGGATTGATTAGCTGGTTGCGGGGGAGGTGTGATACTTGTTTGGAGGAATGGCTGGGGGGCTTGGAGGTTTGGCGGTTTGGAGGCGTCCCTTTTCTAAGCATAGCCTAAAGAAGGTCGTTCAAACTGCATTGGCAAATTGAACGTAGGCACCTTTAAGAGGTGGGATTGGGGATACTACGCCCACGTGCGGCACAATCAAAACCAGGCACTTTAAGCGGGGTCTGCCCAAGCCACGTGAAGAATCAAGAGGCTGGCCCTGAAAAGGCCAGCAAAAAGCCTTAGACTTTGAGTACCACTCGGATCATCATTCCAAAAAGGTGTATGTGTGTATATACATATATGTAGATATATATATATATATGTGTGTGTGTGTGTGTTATATAGGTGCGTTATGAACAAATTTACACACACACAGATACATATATATATATATATACATGTGTATATGTATATACAAGGACACGTATAGACATAAAAGCACCGAGTAGGCCGTGGCCGGTCTCCCAAACTCTCCGCAGGATTTTCCGCCGAGGCCGGGCCGGGCCCCGCGCGACTTCTGAAGCCCGGGGATCTCCAGTCGCTCGGCCTCCTGCGCATCCGCCCGCATGCCGCCGGGGTCGGGCGCACCAAACTCGGGGGAAAGCCGGCGCCCCAGAAATTCGGATTTGGAGCTCATGAACACCTGGCGCTCATGTCCTACAGGGGCCGGGGGATATGTTCATCCAAGAAGTTTGAGGCGTGCCGAAATCGCGGTGCCTGGGGGGGGGGGGGTACCTCCATCAGGGGCAGTCTTTTTCAGATTTGGAACACCTTCTGTGTGGCAAAGGCAAAAACAGCCTTCAAAAAATGACACACCCAACTAAACTAGGTCCTCCAGTAGAGAGCTTAGAATAAGGGTACCCTTTTTTTCTGCAGTCTAGTTTAGCAAAAGAACCCTCCCAACCAAAAAAGGGGTAGAGAAGGGCACCACTGGGGGACCTAGTAAAACCATCCCGGGCCGACGCTGGCACCCGGTCCTTCGGGACGGAGCTGGTGCTGGTCTTCTTCGCCAGCAGCGGCGCCTGACCCGAAGCCCCCCCAAAATGATGATTGGTTTTCCCTTGGCTTCGCTTGCCTTTAAAATAGGGGACCCCCGAAAATGAAGATTGCTCTTTCTTTGGCTTCGCTTGCCTTAAAGGGGGAGCCCCCCAAAATAGTGATGGGTTTGGTAGACCGCGTGCATGCAAAACTCAGCTGGGCCGGGGCAGCCAAACTGGTGAGACTGCCTGAGCAAGAACCCTTTGGCTCAGTTGCTGAAAGGACTTGGAAATGAAAGGTTCACCTCTTGGGACAAAAGTTGACCAAACAAGTTGAACACCAAAAGGGCAAAAGGTCGATTCGCTTTGAACAACTGAGACCCAAGGAGATGGATGTCTTTAGAAAAACCCAACATGGTCAAGTTGTCCGATGTCCTTTTGACTTTCCCTTGACAGTGTGCAAAATCCGGGGGAGCCAGTGAGGCCTCTAAGCCTTTTGCGAATGCGTCCCCGTGATAGGTGTCTCAGCTGCCCACAGGACCGAATGTTGACCACAGATTTATATACCCCTGGTTGACTAATATGGGGGTGTCCCCTTTTAGTGGGGATTCAGACCACTGTTCGAGGGAACACTCCCTAATAGTGGGACAGGATTATTAGTCCTGGGTCAACAGTAGAATGATCACCTACTGGGGTCAGGACTACCAACTTCCATTTGGCTAAGGCCCCAGGAAAAATATTTAAAAACAAATGTCCAGTAGTGATAAATTCCTTTTAAAACCTACAAGGGAAAATAAACAATATCCTTAAGCAAATGGAGGATGAGAGATTTCTCAGCTGCCCAAAGGACCTAGAAATAAAAAGTGATCACCTATTGGGGTCAGGACTACCCATGGCCGCAAAAAAGGGGAAAGCAGAAGACCTGTCAGTTCCCGTCGATTCGCTTTGGGCAGGCAAGCTTCCCGTCGAACTTTGCTGGTTCTCCAGGAATGACCTATGGCTTAAGGAACCCAGTCCCCCCTCCCCCAATCAACCATTCTTGAGGGACCCGGTGGGGATACCATACCGTGGATGGACGAAATCCTGCACCACCTAAGAAACCCTGGTTTCTGATGATTCCCCTGAAAATACTCACAGACAATTGCTGTCTCATGGTTTCTTAGTGGTGCGAAATGGATTTCGTCCATCCACCGTATGGCTGCCCCAAACAACTTGGGCTGTCTCCCCGAGCCGAGGAAACGGCGAGCCTTCAAGGCGTTGGGGCCGCCCCCCGGCGCCGGCAGGTGCGGCGAGCCTCCGGGCAACGGTTCGACCCCCAAGCCGCTGGGAGCCGGGGCTGGAAACTTCGGCAGACTACGGCGGAGCTGGGTCTGTCTTTTCCTTTTTTTGTGGGGGCCTCGTTGTTTCTGGTTTAATGTCTTTCTTTTTTTTGTGAGGGCCTCGTTGTCTTGTTTTGTTTTTTGAAGGCATGGCAAAAGGAAAACCGAGGCTGCTTGGGGCGGTCCACTGAAAAAAGACACGCCCATCTGCCCTTCATCTGGGTGTGGCCTATTTTTGAGGGTATCTGTTTCAGGGTTGGTTGTAAATTCGGTGGTGCGATAATTAGGTAGGAAATGAGTTGGAATGTACCCAGGGGTCCCCGAGGAAAGGAAACCACCAGCTGGATGGTTTTTCTCGACGTTCATTCAATTTCTCATTCCCTGCCTATCCAACCAGCAAGTACAATCCCGAACCCCCGAACGGTTGAGTCCTGGCCTCAGTCCTCCATTTGCTTCTTCGTCCCCAAGAAAAAATGAGCCCGGGGATTCTTAGGTGCAGGACGCCGTCCATCCACGCAAAATGTAGAATAGTTTTGGAGGACGCCCCAGAAATGCAAGTCAGCAAGTTCAGAATGGAAACAAAAACGAACCTGCAAAAACGAACTTGCTGAAATCCCAAAGTCGGCAAACCCTAGCTGGGTCTGTCTCAAAATAGGGAACCCCAAATGGACGGTTGTGTGTTTGCCTCTCTCTTGTTTTAACCAAAGGGAGTTTCGCGAATTCTGACCAAGCAAAGCGTCTTCGATGCCCGCTTTCGGCACAAGTGGGACGAAACAAACATCCTGGCTTACCCTTTAACATCCCTTGAACAAGAGGACCAAAACCCCAACTGCCCAAAGCCAAAACTGACCCCCGCCGATCCAAAGCCAATCCCACTCACGGCTAAGGCGCCACCCACTCGCGGGGACCCGCGAATGCCTCAGAGTCAAACTCTGCGCGGGAGGCGAAAAAGAGCCGAGGAATTCCTAGCCTAAAGACCTGCATTTGCTGAAGACGACGCAACTCAGTTGTTCAAAGACGACCTTTTGACCTTTTGGTTTGCGCATTTTGGTCTACTTTCAGTAGAGGTCCCAAAAGGTGAACCTTTTATTTCCAGGTCCTTTGGGCAAGTGAGGCAAAAAGTACCCCGCGACGCACCTGCCCCTTGGCATTTGTTCGCTTCTTCCGGAGCCGCGGCGCCGCAGCTTGCAACCATTTTTTTGAAGCCATTTTTGTTCTCAGCTGAGAGGACCCAGCAAAAAAGATGTTTCCCCCCAAAACCGTGTGGGTGGGTAGGGCCCTCATCGGAGGTCAACTAGGTCCTCCAGTGGAGAGGATAGAATACGGGTACCACCTGTTTTTTCTGTAGTCTATCTTAGTAGGGGAACCCTCCCAACCAAAAAAGGGTGAGAAAGGGCACTACTGGGGGACCTAGTCAGCTTGTGGGACCAATGTCTCGTAAAATATGTTGGCCGACCATTTCCCCAACCAGAACTTCTGGTTGCTGCGCAGGCTTCCTCAAAGCAAAAAATTGGATTCGTCCCAGCTCCTTGGCTCATTGGCTCCCTTGTTGTGCTGTCAAGCACTTCCCAATTTGGAGAACCCATCCAAAGTTCCCAATCGTGGGCTTACATGATTCTAAAAGGAATATGACTTGATTTCTGGGACATCTTCCATGATGATCCTGATTCTGTGTGTGTGTGTGTTTTTTTTAAACCTGTCAAGGCTATTGTACCTGGGAGTCCAACCCTCCTAGGCGTATTTGAAGGCAAGCAGGCATTGGAGCCAATGCCTTTGGCCGCCCACATGACACAAAATCCCGGGAATAGCCTTCTGAGAACACACGCCCCCGAGACCTGAAGTACGGCGTAGACGGAGTTGACCGGCCCGAAGACAGTTCTTGATTCTTGGGGTTCGGGATCCGTGAGCCCCACTTTACTCCCGCGAAGTCGCCTTCGGCACTTCCCAGCACGACTTTCAGAGTTCGGGGGGGGCCAATTGGAACATTCCGACTTGACTTTTTGGTGCCTTTTGCCAAGGGATGCTAGGACGTTTTTTTTCCTTTTGCCCACGAACGGGTTGTCCATGAAACCACCAAAAAAGCTAAGCTGTTCGCAGGGGAGCTTTCGAAAGCAACCGCGTTTTTGGCCGCATGGGACACAATTCCTTCCTCCAGTTCTGCAGGCTGTCAGCACCCTCCGGGCATCGCGGAGTTGGGTCTGCTTCTCATTTCTCAACGGGAGCCCCCTGCAGGTCTAGCTCCCGTTGATGGACTTGAGTCGTTTTGTTGGGTTAGGACCATTCCGGTGGGAAACAAGTTCGGATCTTCTTTTGGCGAAAACCCACACGATCGGAAGTGAGAGGCGGTTAGTTAGTTTCCTTCGGGTATCCTTCAACCTTACGTTTCTCGCCCAAGGAGAAACGACCTTTTGACCTTTGGGCGTCCCTTTCGAGGTTAACTGTTATTTTTGTTTGGTGGGGGGGTGTTCCTTTGGGCAACTGAGTAGCGAGTTGCCCTGGTTGATCTGATTCGCGCGGCAATTTCGGCGGGGAAACGGGCCAAAGGTCCACCTAGCGTCTTTCTGTTGCACTGGCTGCAGGGCGATTCAACGAAGATGGCGGCGAGGTCAGCCCGCAAAATGGGTTGAGGCTTGAAATTGGACCCAAATAGGATCAATCAACCATGCAGCATTTTTTTCTGGAGCAACATATGCTAGGTCCTCCAGTAGAGAGGTTACAATAAAGGTGCTCTTTTTTATGTAGTCTTTTTTAGCAGGGAACCCTCCCCCCAAAAAAAGGCAAAAGGGCACCACTGGGGGACCTAGTATGCTTTGAGGCTGTGTGTCCAACCATTCCATGCTGGTTTGCCCTTGCGCTCGGCAAGGAAAAGTCGTTGACAACTTCTTGAACCTGGGCAAAGCGTCCAAGCATCCAATCCAACTTACAGAACTGCAAACCTACCATGTCCTTCGCTTGCTTCCTAGCTCCCTCTGTTGAAGCAGAAAATTTGGATAACCCCCTGCCCCGAGCCCGGCTCCAAAGCCTCCAGCCAGCTGGAAGGGATGTAAAAAAAAAATGGCCCTTGCTTCTTTGTTTCTAGTGAATTCTAGTGAGCTTACGAAAATTGCAAAAGTTGGGGATTTATTTGTTTATTTATTTATTTAAACAAAAAAAAGTAGTTTTTCTTTGTTTCTTTTCTTTTTTAGTTGGTTTGTTTCTTTTTCCCCAATCCGGGGCGGCCCGGAGGTAAGGTTCCACGAGGGTTCCACCAGGGTTCCACCAGGGGTTCCACATGCTGTTGGGGATATCACCTGAGCTTTTTTTCTAGTTGGTTATTTTTGAGTATCAATTCAGCCACTGCAACCGACCAACTCGCCCCAAATTCGTCCAGGCCACTGCGTATGGTCAGGGATCTGTCCACGTAGTCGCTCTCATCTTCAATATTCTCCTGGAGCTCCCGACCCCCTGCGCCGTTGCTAGTGGCAGTGGAGTGCTTGCAAAGGTGGTTTTAGTTCTATGTGTGTCGTGTGTTTCTTCTTTTCTCTTCTTTTGTTTTTTTTTTTTTGGGGGGGGGGAGGATTTTGGATTTTGACTTCTTTTCATTTTTCTTTTTCTTTTCTTTTTTTTGAGGGGGGGGGGGGGCTGGGTGCAGCTGCTTGATGGTTCATGTAGTTGCCACTAAGCCAACACGCAATGTGGCACTCCGGAGTATGCAAATAATGCTGACCCCTGATGAATAAACTCCCCCCTTGTTAAGGGGGGTCCATTTTTGTTGGTGGGGAATCCTTTCTTCCAGAAAAACGACGCTCTATTGATATCGGGGGGGTTTACTGGGCTCTCCATTTTATGATCCCCTGCTAAAGTGAATCTATTTCTAGTGGGTTAAATGGAAACCCAACCACTGAACCGACTGAAAAGATCCAAAAAGCGAAGCTAGACTGAATGGTAAATGGAAACCGGCACCAACATAGGTGTACTTTTAGGGGAAATAGATGGGTTTCCCTGGTAGATGATTAAACCACCAGGCAAACCAGGAATCGCCATCTATTTTTCCACCAAAACAACCAAAAAGGACACCTACTGCGCCTACTGTGGATGGACGAAATCCATTTCGCACCACCTAAGACACCCTGGAATGTTGATTCCCCTGCAAATACCAACAAACAATGGTGTCAACCATGGTTCCTTAGGTGGTGCAAATTGGATTTCATTTCGTCCATCCACAGCATGGGCGTGTTTCAAAATGAGGACTCTAAAAGGCTTGAAGAGTCAAAAGCCAGAAGCCGAAGCCATATGCCAGGGCCTCGAAAAAAAACAGTTTAACTTTCAGTGGTTTGGTTCGGAAAACCCATTTGTTCAAAAAGTTATCCAGTCCTAACAGCCCTTGGCAAAATGCACCAAAGTATTTGGTTGAACTACCCCCTCCAAATACCCGACCCTTTTTTTAGGGTATGTCAACCTGGGTAGAACAAAGAGACGAAACATGGCCACTAAAAATGGGTGTCAACCCTGTGGATGGACGAAATCCATTTCGCACCACCTAAGAAAGCCTAGAATGATGCGATCCCCTTGTAAATAGCTTCAAAGTGGTGCCAATGGCCACTCAAAATGGGTGTCAACCCGACTAAACATGGCCACGAAACCCAAAACCATCCAAGCTCAAAGACCGGAGGACTGGGACGAACCCACCTGGATACTGTGGCCAATCCACTCAGAGAGTTGTACACCTTTGGGTTTACCATGTTTTTTATAACCAGAATCATAAGGCTTGAGAGAGGGATGGGCTTCATAAGGCTGTCCATGATACTGTGGCACCGTTCAGAAACCCCGGTTTCGGTTGATTCCACTGTCAACACCAAGCAATGGTTTCCGTTGGGTTCAAAGTAGTGCAGGATTTCGTGCATCCACAGTATTAAAAGAATACTAAAGGAGTACCAACAAAAAGAACCTAGAGGAGGAAAAACATGTGAAATCCGCAAAACAACGCATCCGAACCGTGCTCTAGCACAAGCCAAACCAGAACTTTGGCCAAAGGATTCGCAAGCTCCGGCTAAACAAGGATTCGCCAGCGCCTCACTCTTTTTCCAGCAGTCCTACATCTGTTTCGGTGATTTAGGGGAATTTGCGCAAAACACGCTGCCGCTGCGTCATCCAATCGTCTGGGTGCAATTCCGTGAATCACAACCTTCAACCCGGAGAAAGATTCAGTGCAATAGGTGACCGTTTGAAAAGCTAGTGGGTTTCCCTGGCAGATGGACTGGAACCAATCGAAACCGGTGGAACCAATCGATTTCTACCCAAACTTGCCGATCAAAAGGGTACCAATGTTCCGTACCCATTCACTGACATGGCCCTATGAAGAGCCCTCCCAGGACATTAGTCCCCATGAAACCTGAAAAGCCTATGCTAAGCCCATGTTAAAAAGTAACGGTAAAGGTTGCAGCCGCAGGTGTCCTTGTAGGGCAAATAGATGGCCCTGGTAGATGATTAAACCACCAGGTAAACCAGGGCCAGCGATTTTTCCACCCCAACTACCAAAAAGGACACCTATGGTTGCAACCCACTTGAAAGTCACCCGTTCAGTGGACTTCACCCTGGTAGTGGGGTACAACCCAAGTGGCTTACCGCTTCCTAACCCTCCACTGGGACTTCCCTCACGCGAGCGGAAAGGCCTTTCCGCTTGCCTCGATCGAGGGTCGCCAAGTCTCACAAATCTGCAACTTTGGCAAATCCAAACTAAATCCTCCCAGATCCGTGCACCCGCGGATTTGCATCCGACAAACTTCTGCAAAATTGTTGGTGGGTCGAGTTGAAAGGGGGAACCCCCTCCAAAACCGAAGAGTTTGTGAAAAAACAGGGGCAGCACAGGTCGGGATCCTCTTGCGGATCGCGCGCTTTCGTTGGAGCGCGGCCGTTTGGCTCGCAGCAAATCGGCGTTAGCTTTCTGAATTGGGGCTGCGCGTCTCAGGCACCGTAACAGGTTCCAGCACCATGCCCGCGCATGCCCAAGAGCCCGAGAGCTCGCAAAGGGCCCGTCAACTCAACTGGGCTCCCACGATTTCCTCCACCGAACCTATGAAACTCGCACAACAAGTTGGCCAAAACCCGAATCATGACATTTCAGGTGGAGGTGGGAAATATGGTTGGAGCCCTCAATGCAAATCGCTTTGGCATTGCTAAAGTCAACCGCTCGCAAGCAGCATCTTCAAACGTAGGCGGAGCAGGCGAATAGTTCATCCAGCCTGGCAGCTGAGAGTTTGCCCAACCTCAAGGGGATTCCTGGTTGGAATGGTTCATAACCATAGGAAGGGCACCAAGCCCAGTTACCTAAGTTGCAAACATGGTGAGATACTGTGGATTGACGAAATCCTGCACCACCTAAAGAAACCTTGGCAATGATGATTCCCCTGTAAATACCAACCAACAATGGTTCCCCCTTGTTTCTTGGGTGGTGCAGGATTTTGTCCATCCACAGTATCACCTACTAAGTTGGTTGAATCTGTGAGTAGAGGGTTTTTCTTTGGCAACGCGGGAGTCCGGGGTTCCATCTGCGCAAGCTCCAAGCATGGCGACCTTCTGGCTCAATTGGTTGCACCCAGGTGTGTCGAGGCGGGAAGCTTTTGCGCTTCTGGGCTCGAAGCCCGAAAGAAGGCAGCTTGGGGGGGTCGGCTCATGACCCCAAACTCGCAAAAAACCAGTGCAGAAGGCGCCACGCAAAAAAAAACAAGGTACAAATGCATACGTATGTATTCACAGTTTCCTTCATTTGCTCCATTTACATGTTCATGGCTGTATCCATACTTGAGGCGTACATGTAGGATTCTCCATGTGTGTACTTATCTACATGCATGACTATATATATATGTGTGTATACATATGTATATATATATATATACATATACATGTATATATATATATATATCTATATATACATATGCATATGTATATGCATGAATGCATGCATAATCCCATTCCGTTGACCCACCGGGCCCCTGGCCCATCGAGCCTCTCCAAGCTCATCACCAGGGCGCGGGCTTGTCGCTCCCCGGCCCCGTAGGTGACGGCCACAGTGCCGCCCTCGCCGCCGCCAAGAGAAATCAAAGCGCGCCAAGTGGGTGAAACCTCTCCAGGTACTGTTTGTTGGCAAAGGGAAGTCATCATTCCAGGGCTTCTCATTGAGAAATGTGGTGCAAGTTGGGTTTTGTGCAGCCACAGTATGAGGATTCAGGTCCCACTGTGGATGGACGAAATCCATTTCGCACCACCTAAGAATCCCTGGAATCTTGATTCCCCTGTAAATACCAACGAACAATGGTGTCTCATGGTTGCTCAGGTGGTGCGAATTGGACTTCGTCCATCCACAGTACGGGCCCCTACAATGGCTCCTGCCCTGCTTCCCATGGAGGTGGCCTTTCCTTGTGAATACCAGGGGGCGTGAGACTTCTGCGCGCTTTCTGGAGCCAATTTTGGTTGACCCAAGGGAAAATCACCCAAAGCGGGGGGTAGGGACATCACCTTCCCGAGATATCAAAGGCCGGTCCCAGCTGCAAGGTTGAAAGGGAGTCCCTTGGTCTCACAAAACTAGGCAGGAAGAAGAGGACCCCAGCAAAAAAAATGGTTTGTTTGTTTTTTTGTTTTTTGCCTGGGTAATGGAAAACAAAGGGAACCCAAGAAAGCACAAAGGGGGGCTAATTCTGGGGAAGAAAAAATGGCCCTAAAACCAAGGCACTTAGATGGTGGACTGATAGTAACCCCATAATGCCAGACCCACTTACCATGGCTGTACCCATTTAAGCTCTTGGGCATGCAACGACCGTCATTAGCATTTTAATCATGGGTCCCCTATTTTGAGACAAATCCAGATAGGTATGGCTCAAACACAAGGAATTGGGGATTGTCAGTTGCTACAAACTGGGTGTTGGGGGGCGGGGAGGCCTCAATCAATTAATTCTCTTGGCCAACGTTCAACGCAAAACCAGGGAAAAGATGTAAGCTAGCACACGTTGACCAATTTTTAGGAGGTTCCCCCGCAAAAAACCGAAGTTGACATCAAAAAACCCATGGTCAAGAATCAAGAGGCCGGATGCCCGGCAATTTATGGCTGGGGCAAAGCTGCACCCGCCTGGGTTTTGATTGCGGCGACTTAACGGGAACCCCCCAAATGGGAGCCCTCCCATTTAAAAGCCACGAAAAACGGCGGGGGGCGTGTTAGCTTCCGTTGAACGATTTCAGCAAAAAAGGGTGAAGCTAGATCTTGATAGCAGCAAAACAAGCTGTGCTTTTTCCAGGCCCCAACTAAAAACCTGGACAAAAACGGATCTTGAAAATGTCTTCCTTTCACAAAAACCTGGACTAAAACCCAGGTTGACTTGATGACTTGCAAACTCAACCATCATTCCAACACCCGAAATCAGAATTGGACCCCCTAGTAAAGCACCTTGCGGTTTCGCATGAAAATGCCCCGTCGGCCAGCTCATTGTAAGTTGCCCAGACATTAATCAAGAGGGGTGGCCCGCCAAACTGGGCCAGACTTGGACGCCCTGCAAAAAGTTCACACGTTTCGCGGGTGGAAAGGGGCAATGAAGGAAAAGCAAAAAGCAAAAGAAGCCATCCCCTACGGTGGATGGAGGAAATCCGTTTCGCACCACCAAATAAAATTATGGTTGAAGACCCATGGCTTGGTGGCATTTACAAGAAACGGATACGGATTTCTGAAAGGTGGTGCCTCAGAGGATGTCGCAACCATCCACAGTATCCGATAGGCCCAAATAGGCTTCTATGTGAGCAACTTAAAGCCACAAGTTCAAACAGGGTGCCCTATGCGCCCTATGATTCCCCGTGGGGGTGGCGGAAAAACGTCGCCTTCTGCCCACGACCACCGGAAGCGTCGCCAACAAAAAACAAAAACAACTTGCTCGAGCGAATCTTTCTCGGGGCCATTCCACTTCTCATCGTCCATTTGGTGATGGCCCCAACAGGAAGAAAAAGAAAAAAAAAAAAAAAACATATTTCCAGCAGTGATGAAATCCTTTTTTAAAACCCAACAAGGGAAAACAACAATACAAATATATATATATATATATGTATATATATATATATTCATTTCTGCAAATGGAGGCTTCTTTTTGATTCCCTGCCCAAGCGGCACCCTTCCCACGGGGGGGGAAAAAAAAAAAAAAACGAACCCCAGGCGGCGCCGGCGCCGGCGCCGGCGCGCCTCCACTGCGAGGCCGCTGGGCGTCGCGAAGGGCGGCGCCTGGGGCGCCGGCTCCGCCTCCCAGAGCGGCACCGGACCACTGACCTCTCGCCGGGCGAAAGTCGGTCCGTCGCTGGACGGCTAGGCGGCGGGGGAAAAGGGGGGAGGGGGGGGGCGCAAGGAACTTGCCGGGGGAGTGATTTACTGCAGAAGTATAGTGTGTTTGATGTTTATTCTCTCTCTCTTTTTTTTTTCTTTGGGGGGTTGGGGGGGGGGGGGAAAAAAAAGAAGAAGCCCTTGTTAAGCCCTTAATAAGGCCTTATTTACGGCTTCTTTGGGCTCCCTCCCCCTACCCTCCCTCCCCCGCAGCCCCCAATGTTAAATTGGATGCTCAACCAACGTTAGGTAGGCCATAACGACTCACCAGGCGTTAAAAAGGAAAAGGCACCCGGGTGTTCAAGCTGCTTGGTGACTAATTAGGTCATAGCAATGGTCACATGGTGGTTAGAAACCTCCATGTTCCTCCTTCTTGTTGGTCATCCCCCGCTCGCCACACTTGGTTATACTTGGGGTTTCACCAACTCAGCAAGTCACCAACCACTTGACTATAACAATGGTCATTTCAGCACCATCCCCAGTTACCAAAGCTAGAACCATGGTTGTAACCCTGGAAAAACCGTTGATTTCCTTTGGGACTCCCTCCAGCCAACCAAAATTTCCTTTGGGACTCCCTCCAGCCAACCAAAAAGGGCCTAGATCTCTGGATTCCTCGGGGGGCGAGTCCACTTGTATTGTCGTGGTTGAACAAGGGCAGGGGGCCAACCACCCTCACACAGATCCAAAAATGGACACCCCCAAACCACCGGCACCTACACACCTGACGTCGGTTCAACTCCCAAGTATACTTTACTCTATTTCGCGCCCATGATGATGAAGGGTCCATGACCATTCCTAACATCCACATGCCGTTACCGTTTTGCGCACGTGCCCACACCCCCCGGCCATGAGGAAAGCAGGCCAGCCTTCTCTTGGCAGTTCATGGTAAACAAAAAAAAAACTCAAACAACAGGGATCCTTACATTATACACCTGAACATTGCCGTGTAAATGGCGGTTTCCCTTTATTTTGATGTTGAAAAAGCCACATGTTTCAAATGGGTGGGCAAAATGGAAATTTATTTTAAGGAGCCCTGAACAATTTGGGCAAGCCCCAAGAACCCCTCCGGCCTGGGAACCAGGAGAACCCTCCCTGAAAGCTGGATCGATTTTTGCTTCCCACTCTTTCGATCGAACTTCCGGCCCACCTCCAGTACCATGAAGGGGGGATCCGCCTGGAAGCGGTAGAAATGGTGGAGCGAGCGCCGGGTCTCCTGATGAAAGGGCCCAGGCGATGGAATCGGCGGGAGCCCAGCCCGAAGTTCCCGGGAGCGAACGGACCCCGAAATGGAAGACTTGGTGACCCATTTTGCAGGATCGGCCTTCTGGGAGCTTCCATGTTAGCCTCTTCGGCAGGCAATGTTTTCCAACAAATGGTGTTCCATGTTTGGAAAAGACATGTTGATGTAGTTTCTAACTCCTTTCGAAACTCAGGTTCCAAAACACGATTAAAAAACAAACGACCTGCTAAGTCAATGGCACGACACTGGAAACCATGGGCTAAACAATATGCATGAGAAGGCTTGGGATTGGCCTATAAAGCTGCCCAAGCTGGGCTCCTGCCCTTTTATTGAAAAACGCAAACCTCAACGTGTCTTTTTGGAGGTTACCCCCCCCCCCCCCCCCGTTTTGTGGTTTTAAAGGAAGCTGACCAGGAACACTGTCGTGCCAGTGGGGGGACTTCGATTCCCGAGAAGAAAAAAAAAGGGAAAAAACAACTCAAACAAACAAACAAACGACCAAAACCCGAGCCACCCGGGGTTTCCGGTGGCCGAAAACCATGGATCGCGGCGAAGTCGAAACCAAGGCGCGGGGTTGTAGATCTGCAACATCCCCAGGAAGTGATCGAAGCCTCAGATGCGTCACATGCGTCACATGCGGTCCGCGAGTCGGAAAAAACAACAAAAACGGGGGAAAAAAAAAACGGAGTTGGGGTGCTGTTGTTAAGGCCCCTGGAAAAGGAAAATGAGAAGAGAAATGTGCAATAGCGAAATGGATTCCCTTTCAAATCAACGGGGAAGACACATATTAAGCAAAAGTCCTTCAGCAAATGGAAGCCCTGGGGTCCTAAAGACCATTAAAACAAAGGCCTTTCTATGAACATCCTTTGTTTGTATGGTCGAGGATAGCTGCCTAGTGCCTCAGCCCGTGCTCAATACTGCGGCAATCGCAATCGTCTCGCAATAATGCGTGCATGTGTTTTCCCAACCTCACTTTGTTAGCATGGCGTCGGATCAGGGTGGTCAATAGTGTCTCGGCCATGTCTCAAGCATCAAGCACGGGGCTCGCATAATTTTGAAGCCGGTTCGTGCCCAATGTCAGTATTCTTGCCAGAACACGGCTGGGTCTTATGTTTGATATTCCGTAACTTGCGCAAACCAGACTGCACTGTGTGATATGTTGTGAACTCACCAGCTGTGCTGGCCATGCTCGCCAAAAAATGCAGGGCCATCGGCGCAAGGCCTGTGCCAACCAAGATCATTTTCCAGCACATGTCAAAATGTCAATTAAATCATTATTGTCATCAACGAGGGGTTCTACGGGACAACCACTTCGCTACATGGCTCTTGCGTGCAGTCATTGTGAAGGAAGCACTGCCAGATCTGTGGATGCACACTTGACCATTTAAGAGCAGATGACTGGACTGTGCCCTGCTAGCTCAATGGAAACTTGACGCACAAAGCAAAGAAACACGGCTCCGTTTTAACACCTTCTATCCCAGTTTGGCCCATCTATTCACCGCTTTCACTGTAACTTATAAGTCTTGATCAAGATGCCTGTCTTGTCTGTCCCTTGTTTCTTGCTAGAGCGGCTTCCTTGGGACTCAATTTTTTCCAAGGATGCCCATCAAAAGAAAGACAACTTATTACTTACACCTGTTTGGCCCTCTTTCGGCGATGAACACAGCCAACGCGGCAGGCGTGGGCCGCGAGCAAGATATCGCAGATTATGGACGTTTTTGGGCATAGGCCGTTCACCCCGAAAAAAGGGGGTTCACCCCAAATGAAGGTCGTTCACGGTAATTTCACGGCAGTTTCACGGTAGTTTCACGCTCCTCGTGATTTCCAAGTGCAGTATTCTTACTGGTGAGAGCGCACGCAACCTTGTACAAAATCACTAGGCAGGCAAAATAATTCCTTCCACCAGCGCTGAGGCACAGACAAAACCATTGCTAGTTGTTCGTAGGTGCATGTGTGCCTTGAAAAGCAACAAATTTTACAAAAGGTGTGGACTCTGTGGTCGCGCAGCAAGTCGCTGCAAAAGAAATGAACAGCGCGCATGCTGGGCAAAGGATTCAATGATGAGGTGAAATGAGATGAGATCCGGTCAGCGGGAATGCTGCTGGCATACCGTTCAGCTTTCTTCTTACCCGCAAGGAATCCTTCAAAGAGTCAAGTTCAGCTGTGCACGATTTCCCCGTCTGATCTAGAGGTGCAATCAACCGTAGTCCTTCAAATGAATATCATACAGCACATGAAGCATGTGCGAGCGTGCGACCGCTTTGATTGATGTCTCACGTGCAGCATGCGCAAACAGGAACCCTGAACTTGCCAGACCGACCAGACGAAACCTCAGCAAAGTTCCTCCTCTCCCTAAATCGGACAGAATAGCTTTCAAACATTGACAGCGAGCACAAGATGACACTCATGCGGCATACATGCCAAGTGGATGATCTACATCAAGAAAGTTGCTCCTACAGGCCACCTCCGCTAAACCTAATGGTACAAGCAACAGACGGGCTTACGCGTGGAGCAGCAGTATTCCCCTTTGCACGGCTATCGAGAGCAATAAGGCCCGTTCCGTTCAGTAATATCGAGGCACGTGGAATCCAGCAACTATGGCTTTTGAAAGCAGACACTAGCTAGCGCAACGACCTTCCAAATTGCACAAAGAATGGCCTTTGAGCACAACAAAAGGTCGAGTCCTAAAGACCTTTCTTTTAAAGGTCGCCGAACCCCAGGGGAAGCATTCGAGCTCCGCGAATCCCGAAAACCATCGGTTGGCCGTGGCCCAAGCGGTCGGGCTGTCCGATCTGGGAAAGCAAATTGCTGTTCAACTGGAAATGCGGAATCTTCACTGGGTTGCGAAATCTGCGAAGATTTACTGCAGAAAGTGACTAACTTTTAGTGGTTTAGTTCGGAAAACCCATGAGTTAGCAAAAAGTTGAAGTCCTAACAGCCCTTGGCAAAATGCACCAAAGTTCAAGTCAGTCATGAGCTCAATTTCTACCCCAGAGCTCGGAATATAACTTGGGCAGCCCTTTTTGCGAGGCCCAGCCCGCACTACGCCTCCCAATCGCAATCGGCCCCAAAATAAAGACTGTCACGCGGGAAGTTTGCCCAACAGCCCTGGGTTGCCTACTTGAAACTCGCAGTCCAATAGCTTCTTGCTTACTTGCCCTGGAAATAGTTCAGATAACCTTTTGAGGAAATGACGAAAAGTGACATTGCGCCAAACTCGGAAAACCAAAAGGCAGCCCCAAAAAGGTGGAAGAAAAACAATTAAGATCGAACAGCACATTGCTTCTTATATGCATCATGGGATTTGCTTTCTTCGGTTTTCTAAAAACCAAATGCCAAGAATGGCTTGCTTAGGGATATGTTTCAGCCGGGAAATTGGTTGGTTTCCTTAATTTGGGAACCCCCAGGTTCATTCCCAACGCCTGAGCACCAGCAAGGAGAGGAGATCCAGAAGTAAAAAGCTGCCTTGTTCTTTCACCTGTTTCTGGCCCCCTTTTGAAACACTCAGTTGTAGGGACCCAGTGAAAGGTGATCTGCACGGGGGGCCACTAAAAAACGGTTGAACCAAGTCGCTTTGGGCAGGCAAGTCAGTGTTCATGACACGTTCCCCGTACCCAAACTAAGCCGTGACAGATAAGTTTGGGTACTTTGGGGAATGAGGGGAGGGAAGTTGGGCGAGCTATAGGGCGAGGGGTGGCTGGATCCTGGATCCTGCCGGCCTGTCCAAATATACTTCAGCAGGGTTGCGTAAATGATGCATTCCTGTTCTCGAACAAAAAATTACGTTCCCCACCAACAGGGCTCTTTTATTTATTTACTTTCGGCGCACGATTTCGCTTTCAAGAATAAGATATTGTTTTGAATGGACTCAGGCCAGACCATTTTTTTCAGGATCAAGTAGGATGTTCAACCGATACAATCAACCCCCCCTTTGCCAGTTTCAAGGGGTGTCTACTAGGCCCTCCAGTAGAGAGGTTAGAATAAGGCTACCAACTTTTGTCTGTAGTCTATTTTTTAGTAGGGTCCCGAACCCTCCCAACCAAAACCTCCCAACCAGAAAAACGGCACCTAGCTGGGAAACCTGGGGCGTCCACCTGTGATTTCAGGGGATCCGTCAAGAGACCCTGGCCGAGGGGCCTGAGGGGCGGATCGATCCGACCGACACGTTCTCGGAGCTGTTCGCTCTCACCAGCACCGCCTGCGCGGATCCTGGCGCACCGCAAGCACCGCGGACATTGGGCAGGTGAGACACTGCGTGCTGTGGTTTTTTTCTAGGCTGGAATTAGGACCCAGCAAAAAAATATCTTTGTTGCCTGGCTAGTGGAAAACAAAGGAGACCCCAAAAAAGCAAAAAAGGAAAAGGGGGAGCTATTTCTGGGGAAGTTTTGAGCTCAAAGCGGCCACTTGCGATCACGCGGGTCCGCAGCTTCTGGAGAGAGATGGGATAGACAGTCAACTGCAGGTCTGTCTACACCACAAGACATGTCTGGGCACCTATAAATTGTCGTTTCCCGCTACCTGGAGTCTCCATGACCCTGGTAAAACCGGGGTCATGGAGAAAAAATATATCCAACGTCAAAATCTCGTGTTCCACGCCACAGGGTCACGGAAAATCGAGGTAGGTTTCCCTTTGTTCACACCTCGAAATTGCAGCTGTCCTCAACGAGTTGAAGCGTGCACTTGTACCGGAACCGAAAGGACGCCATACATTTTGGGGGCTTCCTCTATTTACCTGAGTTTTCTGATCCCCTGCTAGAAGTCAACAACTTGGGTTAAATGGAAACCCAACCACTAAACCAACTAAACCAACTACAACAAAACACCTCACAGGCACCGGACGATTCGCTGGGAGCCGCCAAGAGAAGGAGAACCATGCCAGTTACCAGGGCCCCTGGGGCCCCTTCCATTGAAACCCCCTGGCCTGTGATCTTCAGCTGCGGGGAGTCCAGCGTGAGCTGCTGCAGAGGCCGGAAGGTGGTGCTATACCTGGAACCCACCAGTGACCTAAACTGGAAAGAATCCATGGGCCGCCCTGCGTAGATGGATGGCTCAAACCCCATCTAAACCAGCAATTACCCTTCAAATGGTCTAAACTCACCGATCAAAAGGACGCCTGGGCGCCCAGGTAGATGACCTCAGCCGCCCAAGGGAGGCACCCTGAAAAGGGTGCCAAACAAAATGCGATCCATGGGTGTGTCTCTGACCTGATGGGTGTGAGCTGCCGGCCAGAAATGAAAGGTGATCACCGTTGGGTGCCATGACGGGAAAAATGACGACCCAAAAAAAACACGACAACACGACAACTGACAATAACAAAACGGCAAAAAAAAAAAACGAAAAACGACACAAAGCGACAAACAAACTGAAAAGGTCCGCTTTGACGAGGGAGAGGCCGGCGCAGGCCGGAGACAAGCACCCCTCAGGTTCGGTACCAGCTAGGGAAAGTTTTTTGAATAGACCGGGCTCCTCCAACCGTGAAGGTAGGTGCGGAGATCCCACCTGTTGTGTTCCTTCTGCGGTTAATGTTGACCCAGGATTAATAAACTCGTCCCACTATTAGGGCGGGCGTCATGCCACGCCTCAGAGAGAGCAACGAGGGTTCGACCTGCACAGACTTTTCACTCTACGGACGTGGCTTTGAAGGTTTGCAAGATACAATCCCCATGAAGCCAGAAGAACCAACTACTACTTCACACCCAGAAGAAAGGTCAACATGCCTCCAACTACTAAAATGCTCAACGCACCCACTTTTCAAGCGCCCTGTTTGATTGACGTGGACAGGATGCTTCGGGTGGACAAAACCGTCAGCCTGCGATGAATGATCGGGCAAACATAAGAGCCTGAAGAAGTATAGCGATTGTGAGCGTAAGCCTTGGGTGACAATAGCAAACTAAAACATGAGATGACATGAACAACTGAAATCAGGATCAGCCACATAATAATCAGGCCGCCTTGGTTGTATAGCTGATAGCAAGCGCGAGGGATGGTTTTGGCGCTTTCCGCTCTGACTTGTTTGTGGCTGACCCGATTTGGGGGCAGGTCAAAAAGGGCAGCCCGAGGGTCTAAAAGCGCCGCGTTTTGTTGGAGCACGTCCAAGTTGAGTGCTCACAACACAGCCAGTTGAGCCCCAGGAAAGGCTACCGACCAAGTCCACCAGAATGTTTTGATAGTCTTGCTTTTCTTTTGCAACAGCCTTGCCAGCGCCCCGCGGCCCGTGAGTCGGACCTTTCTCCGAAGGCAACGTTCGGGAAAATAACTGGGCCCGTGTCTCTGACTGGACAAACTCGGAACTGGTGTCCGATCGATTGAAACTAGTTCTTTGGGATGTTGAACACTGTAGACCCTACAAGCAAGTTGTTCAAGTCAAGTTGATTTGGTTCCCAACAAGCCAACGCACATCTGAAGAGGTGGGTGACCGTAGCAAAGACACCAGCAGGAAGATCTGCCGGACAGCCATTGCACGTTTTGGGCAGCTGGGAAATTTCTAAAGAAGGCAAACGCGGGCTGAAGGATGATAAAAAGGGCTCTTGAAAGTGGAAAGGATAGAAGGGTTCCCACGGTTCACAAAGCTACCAAGCCAAAATCGCCAAACACATGCAAACCATGTTCAGTTCAGCTTCGGGTTTTCGAGTAGAAAAGGCGCTTCCTGACCCAATATTGGGGCGCCGCTACATAAATCACCCCGAGAAATTGAAATTGGGCCCCCCCTCCATATACCACTTGTGAGAATGGTGGCCCTTCTCTCAGCGGTTCCCTGCAAGGCGGCTTAAATAATATAGGACCAATGAATCCATGTTTGATTCATTGGGGAGGGTGTCCTGTCCTTTTGTTTGGCTTGTTTTTCTTCTCTCTCTCTTTTTTTTTTGGGGGGGGGGATGGAAGATCTGCGGGTCGGCGCCTTTGGAGACAAACCCCCATGATTTGACAAGCGGGCAATCTGAGCTGCTTGCTCTCGGGGAACCAGCTGCACCTCCTTTTTCGAACCAAGGAGTTCAAACGTCGCCCCAGAAGACATGATGTTAAAGAGGGTCCGGAACGCTCAGAAAAATATCAATCCGTCGTTTGTCCCTTGTTGTTTTGCCCCAACGGCTGAAGCTATGGGGTCGATAGGTTCAGATAAGCTCTGGGGTGGTTTGGAAAGGTTTCAGAGGGTTCCGGGGCTGTTGAGTCCAGATATAAAGCAGCCTCATGATTTGACCATCAAAGTCACCCCGGTCCAGTGGTAGTTCAAAGCGAAACATCCATTTCCAGTCGTTGGCGTTGAGAACCCCGAAAAAACGTTAAAATAATGGCCCTAAAGCAAAAAAAAAGCCAAGGAAGGCCTCTCGAGTTGTGAGTGAACCCTGGTCTTGCGGCATCTTCCACTGCCGGTGGCCAAAGGGCCCGGGGCCACGGGCCCAAAAGGAATCCCCCCCTAGGGGAAGGGGAATGGGGCCCCCCCCAATTCCATTGGTTTAGTCTTCCAAAAACATTGGTCTTCCCCCCATTTTTTGGAAAATGGAAGAAATGGAAGTCCAAAATGCATGCTGGCTTTCTGGAGGTGCCCCTTTGGTTAGTTTTAAAGGGAACCCAAAAGGAATGGGGGGGGGGGGGCTTTTTATCCTTTTTTATCTGTTTTTATGTGCTTTTTTTCTTTTTGCTTATTTTCATCATCACTCTCCTCTGTATCACTCCTCCCCCAACAAGAGACAGACCCAACTGCCGCCTCCGTGCTTTGAGTCGGATTTTCCGAGCTACG